GTTGCATGCCTGCCCATTCCACAACAGAGCCTTCTGTATCCACAGCTCCTTGAAAACCCTGCGGATTTTGCAGCTGCTTGAATCTGATCCTCACATCAGCTGTGTGAAATGTTTCCCACTGAGTATTCAGCACTAAAACATGCACAATCCTGCTAGGCAAAAACAACATCTATATTTCAAGGTGTCAACAATACATTGTTTCCCTCCGGCTCCAAGCATTGCAAAATTGCCATGTTGCTCGTTTCCTTATTAAGAAACCAGTTTCCGAATAAAGCAAAATTGGCACCTAGTCACCAGCCAGCTGGCGGGTTCATGTAATCCTCTCGCTGAGGAACACCATCATGCTAATTTTTGCTGGCACTTTCGCTGTGTACTTCTTTCATTAACCCATGTGTGGAATAAGGGCTGCTTCATCATCTTCTTCATCTAAGCCCTGATTCAAGAAAGGCAGAGTGGCTTAAAGGGGGGGGGGCATATTCAAAGCCATTATGTAGGCTACTCCAATGAAGGAAAACCTGCTATGTGTAATAGAGGTTTATCACATGCATTATCCAGCATTTTTTGCCAAGCCGCTACAAACAGACCAACAAATAGCCTGGTTTTACAGATCCACGTGGGAAACATATGGAACCAGTGTGCTTTAGTGGTTAGAGCAGTGTTTCTCAAATGTAGGTCCCTAGCTGTTTTTGGACTACAACTCCCATCATCCCCAGCTAGCAAGACCAGTGGTCAGGGATGATGGGAATTGTAGTCCAACAACAGCTAGGGACCCACACCCCAGGCGCCACCAGGGAATGCTTCACCACTGCTCTTAATCCCTTCAAGACACTAGATTTCTAAGTATTTTGTAAGCCGCCTTGAGTCCCGTCAGGGCAAAAAGCGGGGTATAAATAAATATCCATTCTGAAGGAAATCAGCCCTGAGTGCTCACTGGAAGGACAGATGCTGAAGCTGAGGCTCCAATACTTTGGCCACCTCATGAGAAGAGAAGACTCCCTGGAAAAGACCCTGATGTTGGGAAAGATGGAAGGCACAAGGAGAAGGGGACAACAGAGGATGAGATGGTTGGATAGTGTTCTCAAAGCTACCAGCATGAGTTTGACCAAACTGCGGGAGGCAGTGGAAGACAGAAGTGTCTGGCGTGCTCTGGTCCATGGGGTCACGAAGAGTCGGACACGACTAAACAACAACATAATTATAACACTTGGGTATTGAAGCACAAATGCAAAATCCCGCAGAAGACATGGCCTTAAAATAGGACGGGAGAAGGAATAAAAAAATATGACGATGTAGAGCTCTGCCTGGAGGTTCCCAAATACTGTGCTATAGTATGAAAACAGAAGCATGAGAAGGAACAGTGGAAGGAAAAAGGTGCCATGTTGTGTTGAGCTGTTCACATCCCCCTGTCAGATCCATGTGGGCCCCATGAGGACGATGAGGCAGTGAAAAGGTAAAGGTAAAGGACACCTGGACAGTTAAGTCCAGTCAAAGCCGACTATGGGGTTGCGGCTCTCATCTCGCTTTCAGGCCGGGGAGCCAGTGTTTGTCCACAGACAGCATTCTGGGTCGTGTAGCCAGCATGACTAAACCGCTTCTGGTGCAATGGAACACCATGACAGAAACCAGAGCGCACGGAAACGCCGTTTACCTTCCCACCGGAGCAGTACCTATTTATCTACTTGCACTTTGATGTGCTTTCGAACTGCTAGGTTGGCAGGAGCTGCGACAGAGCAACAGAGCAAAAGGAGCTCACCCCATCGTGGGGATTTGAACCGCCAACCTTCTGATCGGCAAGCCCAAGAGGCCACCCGCGTCCCTAGAAGGTAGTTGGGTAGGGAGCAGCCCAGTTGCTTTGTGGCAGGTGGATCAGATGTGCTGGATCAGACACTCAAGGCACTGGCGGAGGAAGAGGGGACGGGGGAAGCGCACTGCCCCTGGCACCACGATCCCGGTGGGGAACATGAAGCTCTGCCACTGATTCAAGGTGACCCAAACTCCTGCATGAGCATGCAAGGAATCTTAATAAAGAAATAATATGAGAATAGATCAGGGGTCAGCAAACTTTTTCAGCAGGGAGCCAGTCCACTGTCCCTCAGACCTTGTGGGGGCCCGGACTATATTTTGAAGAAGAAGAAAAATGAATGAATTCCTATGCACTACAAATAACCCAGAGATGCATTTTAAATAAAAGCACATTCTACTCCTGTAAAAACACCAGGCAGGCCCCATATATAACCCAGAGATGCAGTTTAAATAAAAGGACACATTCTGCTCTTGTAAAAACACTAGGCAGGCCCCACAAATAATCCAGAGATGCATTTTAAATAAAAGGACACATTCTACTCATGTAAAAACACACTGCTTCCCAGAATGTCCGTGGGCTGGATTTAGAAGGCGATTGGGCCGGATCCAGCCCCGGAGCCTTAGTTTGCCTACCCATGGAATAGATTAAAAAATAAAACTCATTTAGCTTTCAATCCTGTACCCACTTATCAGGAGTAAACTCCACTGATCTCATCAGGACTTGCTTCTGAGTAGACTTATATAGGATAAGACTCTTAAACAGACATACTCGATGCACAAATGGGATGCACGATCCATTGCAGAAACAGGTAATGTTTATTCCAGTGGGAAACACAGTTATATGTTCCCGTGCTATGCAATTGGCTTAAAGGGGGGGGCTTTCCCCCTTTTTGTGGTGGGACTGCAGTGCCCTCATCTATTTTCTCCTCTGTATGCCATTCAGTTTTCCCTGTAAAACCATAATCCACTATTGTTGGTTTGCTCACACTATTTGCAAGGCACCCGAGCTTAATCCCAAATTGAAAATCCATTGTATGCAAAGGCATCAGCGGTGGCATTGTGAATGGCTTCAGATGCACAAAGAGATCAAGGTGGCTTGCCATTTACCAGTAGCTTAACAAAATCTATTGTGTCCATGGAGTTCTCATTCATCCGGATGCTTTTATATCACAAGCTGGGAAAAGAAGTAAGATCTGAGAGTTTAAATCGCCCTGTCAGGCTATGGTGTCTTCCCCATCCCTCTACCCCCCATTGCAGTACCACTGTTATAGGAATTCTAAGGTCATATATATATATATATATATATATATATATATGACCTTAGAATTCATATGTTCATTAAGTATATTAACCACGTGTCTGAAATAGTACAGGAGAACAATCCTGAAGTCATTTTGACTCTCCCAGTGACCTCAAATATTTCTCTGCAAGGAGGCAGCAAATGGGAGAGCCTCTCCATTGTCTTTTGCTTACCTGTCTTCAGTGGCGTAGTGTGGGGGGTGCAGGGGGGGCCGGCCGCACCGGGTGCAACATCTGGGGGGGCGCGCTCGCACTCGCAGCTCTCTGCCCCTACCTGGCTCACTCACTCTCTCTCACTGCAGTGAATGGCTGTGCGAATCCGATCCGAGCCGCTGGGTCGCCGCCCACTGTGGAGGGGGTGGGTGCCAGGCGTGCGGTGCGGAGAGAGAGCGAGGGACTATTTGGGGGAGGGACAGTGCAGCGGCCGCCCAGCGCAGCGCTGAGCGCGGGAGAGAACCACACCAGACCAGCCCAGGCAGCAGCAAGAAGAAGCTGGCAGTGGCGGCAGGTTAGGGGGAGCAAATTACTTGCCTTGCCCCGGGTTAGGGGGCGCAAATTACTTGCCTTGCCCCGGGTGCTGACAACCCACACTACGCCGCTGCCTGTCTTAAGGGTGTATGTGCGTGTGAATAGGGTGAGCCTGTGACCTGGATTCAGGAATTAAAGTATTTACCATCACAAAAGAATGGCCGGGCTGTCCAGGTAATGCAATCAGTGACCATTATCAGGTATCCTGGCATACAGGATTTCTGCTGTAGACAGCCTCTTTCTGTGATGTATGTAGGATGCTTTGGGGGTGGTCTTGGGCTACAGGGTGGGCAATTTCAAAAGTCTATAAAAGGGTGTGCATACCATTGTTGTGGGTTCCTCCTCCCTCCTGCGTGTTGCAACAGTTTAATAAAGATCAGGCTTACTCGCTGCTTTGCTTCTCAATATTCTCTAGTTGGCCTCTGTTATTTTCTCCTACTGATAGGGAACCCACTTAAGGACTCTATACGGGCTCTTGGATACCCCATAAGGGAAAAGGAGCAGTTTTTTTCTTATAACAGAGCCATGGCACCTAGTTATACCAGTTGTTCCTGAAGCAGTCAGAGACCAACACGGGAGACTGCTATGGTTCAGCTTTGCAGTGGTACCTCGGGTTACAGACGCTTCAGGTTACAGATGCTTCAGGTTACAGACTCTGCTAACCTAGAAATAGTACCTCAGGTTAAGAACTTTGCTTCAGGATGAGAACAGAAATCGTGCAGTGGCAGCAGCAGGAGGCCCCATTAGCTAAAGTGGTACCTCAGGTTAAGAACAGTTTCAGGTTAAGAACGGACCTCCAGAACAAATGAAGTTCTTAACCCGAGGTACCATTGTATTTTAGAAGAATAAATATGCTTGAGAGGACCACAAATCTCTGTTCCCAATGGACATGCATTCTGAAAGTTTCTCTTCCTTGTCCACTGAATCACATCCCTTTATTCCAGATGAATTACCTAACTTGCTGTATTCACAACCACTGCTTTGACTGAGAACCTGCACACCCCCAACCAACATGCATCAAAACAGTGGGGCAACAATCCATTCATTGACTACTGGTTATCTTGCTTGTGAGTGCAAAAGGATTATGGATGTCTGTCCAAGGAGTATTCGCTTGAGTGTGTGCACCCTTCAGTAAACTTCATCTGGTGTTGTCTTGAACCACACTATCCATCTGTCAGTTGCCACCAACAACTGAAGCAGAACTTTCCACCTGCAAACATCTGGTTTTGGGAAAAGCTCATTCAACTAGAATCTAGGAGCAGATCTTTTTCTACATCAATCACCATAAGGAATTGGGGACTGTGGTTCAGCAGCTAGATAGCTTTCTGACAGACAGTGAGTTCTGGAATGGAATGCCAGAACAAAAGTGCAACATAACGGTAAAGCAACAAAGAAGAACAGCTTTTTCTGAGTCAGCCTTGCTAGGCTAAAATAGCTTCTTGCAGATGGTTTGGAGGAGATTTGTGATGCGAAACAGAATGTCTTGTGGCATGCTGATGATTCCCAAGTAACACTTAAAGGTAGGGGTGCCATATTTCAAAAAGTGAAAATCCGGATAGTAAAGTTCTTGATTTTCCCAGATGTGTAGACGATTTCCGCCCAGCCACTGCTTTAGACTGCAGTATTCCGGGTAGGTCCTGGAAATTCTGGACGTATGGCAACCCTACTTAAAGGAAGGTTTTTGTATGGAGTTGTGTGCCTGTCAAGAACTATATCATGGGTAGGCAAACTTTGGCCTGGGAATCAGCGTGTTTTTACATGAGTAGAATGTGTCCTTTTATTTAAAATGCATCTCTGGGTTATTTGTGGGGCCTGTCTGGTGTTTTTACACGAATAGAATGTGTCCTTTTATTTAAAATGCATCTCTGGGTTATTTGTGGGGCATAGGAATTCGTTCATTTTGTTTCCTTCAAAATATAGTCCGGCCCTCCACAAGGTCTGAGGGACAGTGGACCAGCCCCCGTTGAAAAAGTTTGCTGACCCCTGATCTAGTACCCATTTACTCGGGGAGAATCTCTTCTCAAACACCAGGACTTTTGATTTTTCATAATTGATGGGTAACCCATTAGAATATTTATGTTATTGTTTTGACATCTTGGGGTGGGGACACACACACAGAGAGAGACAATGGCCAGTTTTCTGGTAACATCCTCTTGACTGGAGAGAGGATGTTGATACTGATGATCTATTCAGGAGGGGTCAGGAATTATCTTAAAAACAATAATTATTATTTCTAAAGCAAACAAGCCACTATACAATAAAATTACAGACAAGCCCTGCCCTCAGATTTACTATATAACCAGGGCTTTTTGTCAGCCAGAACTCACCACTCAGTTCTGGCACCCCTCAGGTGGGCGCCATTGCCATTCTAAGAGAACAAGGGAGGGGTTCATGGTGAGATTTGGCACCTCTTTTTCTAGAAAAAAATAGCACGGTATATAACCAATATCTGGATCTGCCTCACAATCTTTCAGCAGAAACTGCCTCAGAGGGAGGTTGTGAGGCTCTAACGTAACTCTGAGATCCTTGAAACAAGGCCAAGGTATAGGTGTGATGAACTGATAAATGTGTTTGTGCTTCATGAGGTAGACTATCTGGTGTTTGCCAAGTGTCTCCCCACTCACCGCTTCTTTTTTAAAAAAATATTTTTTTAAAAGAGGTGCATGAATGCTCCAATGCTGGGTTGGCTGGCTGAACAAGGAACTGCTCAGCCTCTGAACAAGATAAATATATGCACACAGAGGTGCCATCAGGACGCGACTTAGGAGCTGATGCCCACGGCCACATTTAGTAGAAGGAGCAGGAAGTTCCCCACTCTTCATGGCATTTTGCTATACGTGAAGGAATACCCATTGCAATTTAAAAGGGGGTTAATAAGACCTCTAAGTGCTGTCTAAAATCGACCTAAGTGCACCACTGTATGCACGTTTCTTGAGAATCCTTTTAAAAAGTTAATTTAATGGCAGATGAATAAAAGGAAGGCCCTAATATTTAAAAATATCCAAGTTAGAAATGGCATTTGATTTCTGGTAAAAAGCCACAGGGGACTTAGCATTTGAAATGTCATCTTTGTCTTTGAAAATCACCCAGTTCAACACTTCTCCATTAGGAGGGATAATTGCACCGCCTGTTATGGCGCTTTCAAACATTTTTGGAAGAGATTCATGGTTCCTTTAAAAAAAAAAAAACCCAAACTAAAAAAGGGGCACATTTTGTGCTGCTTCCAAACCCAAATAGGCACTTGCTTATTAAATTGCTTTTAAAAGTGAAGAAACTGAAGATTTGTTTCCCCCTTGGGCTTACATCAGCCCATTCCGTCACATTCCTCTGCTTCAGAAAGGAATATTTTAACATATATTAACATTATCCAGGTGAGTGATGTGGATTGTACATGCCACATCTTGCTTCCACCTTAGGTACTATCTATTACTGGGCCAGCAATGCAGAAATAATTTATCATTCAATTTCCTTGTGGAGAGATGCCTCTCCTGAACATTTGTATTTTCAGGCATGTGTTTGTGTGTGTGTACGCACACACACGCGTGTCAGACAGGCAGACAGACAGACAGAAATTTCAGACCCTCCAAGTGTCCCTATTTTCCAGGGACAGCCCCAATTTTAAAGAAGCTGTCCCGGTTTGTTATTTGGTCCTGAAATGTCCCACTATTCTTTAAGACATCCCTATTTTCATTGGTCCATGGGGTGGGGGAGAGGATCTGGTCCACTGTGGTTACATCAATTTATATACAGTGGTACCTCGGCTTAAGAACTTAATTCGTTCTGGAGGTCCGTTCTTAACCTGAAACTGTTCTTAACCTGAGGTACCACTTTAGCTAATGGGGCCTCCCACTGCCGCCGCACCACTGCCACATGATTTCTGTTCTCATCCTGAAGCAAAGTTCTTAACCTGAGGTACTATTTCTGGGTTAGCGGAGTCTGTAACCTGAAGCGTCTGTAACCCGAGGTACCACTATATATAAATATATATAATAATGCAGGTGGCGCTATGGTCTATACCACTGATCCTCTTGGGCTTTCCAATCGGAAGGTTGGCGGTTCAAATCTGCATGACGGAGTGAGCTCCCGTTGCTCTGTCCCAGCTCCTGCCAACCTAGCAGTTCGAAAGCACGCCAGTGCAAGTAGATAATTAGGTACCACTGTGGCCGGAAGGTAAACGGTGTTTCCGTGCAGTCTGGTTTCCATCACAGTGTTCCGTTGAGCCAGAAGCGGTTTAGTCATGCTGGCCACATGACCCGGAAGGTTGTCTGTGGACAAACGCCGGGTCCCTCGGCCTGAAAGCAAGATGAGCGCTGCAACCCCATAGGCGCCTTTGACTGGACTTAACCATCCAGGGCTCCTTTACCTTTACCTTTTACAACAATAGATAGGTGATGATAGATGATAGATAGATAGATAGATAGATGATTGATAGATAGATAGATAGATAGATAGATAGACAGATGATATATAGATAGAGATATATAAACCACAAAAGCATCAAATAATGTACAATATCAGAAAGCAGCAGTATAGCGGATGGACTGCCATCCAGTTTGCCGTTGGCCAATTTATATTCCATTGGGTGGGGAAAGAAGGGAAGCACTACAAAGGAATAAATCAATGCCCTATGTCATGGGTAGGCAAATTAAGGCCCAGGGGCCGGTTCCGGCCCAATCACCTTCTAAATCCGGCCTGCAGACGGTCTGGGAATCAGCATGTTTTTACATGAGTAGAATGTGTCCTTTTATTTAAAATGCATCTCTGGGTTATTTGTGGGGCATAGGAATTCGTTGTTCTTCTTTTTTTTCAACATATAGTCTGGCCCCCCACAAGGTCTGAGGGACAGTAGACTGGCCCCCTGCTGAAAAGGTTTGCTGACCCCTGCACTATGTGAAGTACTTCCTTTCATTCTCCCTGAATTTCCCTGTGCTTATCTCCATTGGCTCTTCCCTGACAGTTGGCCATGTTGGCTGGGGCTGATGGGAGTTGTAGCCCAACAACATCTAGAGGGCCTTGCTTTGGAGCTTCAACTTTATCCACCAGACCCCCTTGGCTTTAGCCTTCCAAAATATGTTCCGAGAGGGATTATTTGATCCGGCAAGCTCTCTTTCTTTTCCTTGGCCTCCACGCCTCAGTGAGCATCTCATGCCTGCTAAATAACTCCCTGCCCTTAGCTAACTCCAGTTGGAACTAGTCTGATGAATATGTAGGTCTTTCTCTCTCTCTCTCTCTCTCCCTCTCCCTCTCTCTCTCCCACCCCGCCCCTCTGTTTCCTCTATTTCTTTCCCTGCCCCTTTCTCCAGTGATAACACCACCTAATTAGGCGGTTGATTGTTTCAGCTTGGGGAAAAAAGTCTCCAAAAGGTAGTGCTTGTTTGCTTCTTCCTCCCTCCTTGTCTGCCTGCTTCTACACTGGAGATCACTACTTACGAGTAAAGGAAGCCCATTGCCTAATCATCAGGATCAGGATGTGGTCATCTTTATTGCTTCTAGATTAGGGTTGCCAGATATCCCCAGTTCCCAGGGACAGTCCCTGGATTTGCAAATCTGTCCCCGGACAAATTCCGTCCCCAGAATGTCCCCAGATTTGCAAATCTGTCCCTGGGAAACGTGACAGCAGTAGCCTCAGCAGCCTGGAGCCAGTCTGGTAGCGCAGTTGGCTCTGGCTGGCTTCAGGAGCTGCTCGCTGCCATGGCGCCCGCCATTTTTCCTCACCGAAAGTCCCCATATGGTGTGTCTTGTGCGCAAAGAATAGTTTAGGAGCCTAATGCTTCCAAAGCTATCCCCAACTGTATAAAAAACCTTTAACCTTTGTTCAAACAAAATCTGCCCTATTTCCCTTATGGGGTATCCAAGAGCCCATATAGAGTCCTTACGTAGGTTCCCTATTGGTAGGAGAAAATAACAGAGGCCAACCAGAGAATATTGAGAAGCAAAGCAGCTCGTAAGCCTGATCTTTATTAATCTGTTGCAACAGGGTGCTCCCCTCACACGCAGGAGAGGAAGAGGAACCCAGAACAAAGGTGTGCCTGCCCTTATATAGACATTTTAAATTCCCTGCCCTGGAGCTCAAGACCACCCCTCCATACATCATACCTACATCACAGAAAAGGTGGTCTACAGAAGAAATCTGAGTGTGTTGTTTATCTCGTCTGACAGGTTACGTGTTAATGCTCACTTGATTGGATACCCTGGGGAGCCTGGCCAGTCTTTTGTAATGATAAATACTTAGTTCCTGAGCCAGGTCACAGGCTCACCTTATTCAAACACAGACATACCCTTAAGACAAGATTTGGGAAGGATAAGACAATGGGGAGGCGTTTCCATTTTCCTTTGACCTTGCAGAGAAAACATTTGTTCAATTTGGGAATCAAAAATGGTTTCAGGTCGGTCTTCCTGTGCTGATCTATGTACGTGCTTGGTTGGTACATTTATTATATATCTAAGACCTTAAAATTCTTATCACACCTTTTTAAAAATAATAATAATAATAATAATGAAAACCAACAGGCAGACAAAAATTACATAGCAGCAAGAAAAGCCAGCCAGCTAGTATAAGTGCTAGCTTGCCACGCAGGGAAAAAGAGGTTTCAGCCCCAATGTCCTGATGTATTCCTTGGTCTTACATTGTTCCATGTGTAAAGGAATTCATGTTATCCAACTATCCATATGGCCAGATCAGCTTGTGTGTTGTGTATCTACTTGCTTCTGCTGTGTGGGCTTGAAGTCGAGCCTGACCTCTGCTTCACCCTGTTTTGTGCAACACAATATGCCCCACGGAGGCCTGGCCAGAAGCAGTTTCTGGGCTCGGAAGCCTGCGGGCACTAGAATGATGGCCAATTCCTTTTGTAGAGGAAACAAAGGACACCCACTCCTCTTCCAATCTGCATAGCCGAGTCATATCCAATTTGCACTAGGCTAATTTCACTTTACATAACAGCGGATCTGCGACCAAGATTACCAGGAAACACATATACCCCCATGCAAAAAGAAAAAGAAAAAAAGTGTAAATAGCAGAGGGTGGTTACATATCATAAAAGGCTACCTTTCTTTCAGTGTATAACTGGACCTGCTTGTGAAATTGTTGTCTGCCTAAGCTCGGGTTGGGGGGGAAGTGGCCTGCTAGGTGTTGTTCCCCCATCCCTGGTACTGGGCTCTGATCTTCAGAAATTAGCAGCTGAAAGTATATGGGCATCGCTTGGCAGGGTGTATTCCATAGGTAGTCCTCCATCTTTTTCAGCATCTTGCAAGATGGCCACAGCCGTGATTAAATCAAGCCACACCTTTCCTCCAGTATTAGCAGTATGTTGCTCTAATTTGCAGCTTCCCACAGCCTGAACTAAATTCGGAAGACAATTGGATTTTTTTATTTTATTTTTATTGGATTATGATTATGATTTGAATGTCAATTGGATGTTTTTATTGGAAAATTAGGGACGCGGGTGGCGCTGTGGATTAAACCACAGAGCCTAGGACTTGCCGATCAGAAGGTCGGCAGTTCGAATCCCCGTGACTGGGTGAGCTCCCGTTGCTTGGTCCCTGCTCCTGCAAACCTAGCAGTTCAAAAGTACGTCAAAGTGCAAGTAGATGAATAGGTACTGCTCTGGCGGGAAGGTAAACGGCGTTTCCATGTTCTGCTCTGGTTCCCCAGAAGCGGCTTAGTCATGCTGGCCACATGACCTGGAAGCTGTACGCCGGCTCCCTCGGCCAATAAAGTGAGATGAGCGCCGCAACCCCAGAGTCGATCACGACTGGACCTAATGGTCAGGGGTCCCTTTACCTTTACCTTTATTGGAAAATTAATAAACGCTCTAAAAAAAAAAAAAAAAAAGCAGTATGTTGCAATCATCTCTCCTCTTTTCCAGGCTAAACATATTCTGCTCCTTTGACCGTTCCTCATAAGGCTTGGTTTCTAAACCCTTGATCATCTTGGCTGCCCTCCTCTGTACTCATTCATTCTTCGTAGCAACGCTATTTATGGCAGACGCATGCGAGACACTCTGCCAATATGACTTCAGGTTATACTGTGGCCTTCATGTCATTTGGCTTAGATAACTTAACAGCTGGGTCCGTCCCCTGTCCCGCAGGCTTGCTTGTGTTCCCAACCTTAGGTAGCATATGCTTGCTTTTGCCCATCTGCCAGACTATCTCAATCACCTTGATACCTCTTTGCATTTGCTACTTCCTCCCTGCACATATTTGCAAATTCTGAGGCCTGTGTTTGGCAGGCGGCTAAGAGTACTGGGATCATGGAAAACTGTCTTGTACTAGGTCATACCAAGATTGTTTACACTTTCCGGCAACAGCTCTGCAAGATTTCAGGCACAGGTCCCCCCACCCCTGTCCTAACTGGAGATGAAAGGTATTGAAAAGCTTCTCAGGACTGACGGCAGCAAGAATATTATTGGCACAAAATTGGAAGCAAGAAGAATTACCGACGAAAGAAGAATGGAGGAGGAAAATGATGGACTATGCAGAATTAGATAAACTAACAGGAAGAATTCGAAACCAGAGATTCTCAGGAGGCTGGAGTAAATTTACGGACTATTTGAAAAGTAATTGTGATGAACAGATTACGCCCGTAGGCTTGCAAGCAGTTTTGTAAGGTGCATTATTTGAAATGCTGCAAAAAAGATAATGAGGAGAATTTTTAGTTAAAGATAATTGAAGGTAATATGAAATTAAGAAATGCATAATAAGTGATAAGAACGGAAAATCATCAGAGGTGTTGACCGAAGTCCAAAAATTATTGTATAAGATGAGAAGTTTTGTTGTATGAATAATAATTAGTATGTTAAAAATTAATAAACATGTATATAAATGTGAAAAGCTTCTCAGGACAGCTGACAAATACAACAGTGATTAAAATATCCATAAGATGATCATTTTTTACTAACTAAAACTTAAATATAGCAGTAAAGCAGTGTTCTAGAAAAATTTGGGGCTGCCTTTTACAGCCCCTCTCCATCAAAGGACTCAGTTTCCTCTAAGTCCATTCTCAGTGAGAGAAGAATGGATGGAGGCAGGAACCAGTGAAAGGAAAACAGATATTTATTTTTCTGATGCAACAGAGTCCCATCCTGCCCCCCTTGCAAGGAGGTGATGACCCAAAACGAAGGTATGCAAGAACTTTTAAAGAAATTTCACAACCCCTTCACCGAAGACCACCCAAAAAACATCACGCACACATCACAGAAAGAGGCAGTCTACAACAGAAATTTGAGAGTGTTGCTTGTCTCCTGCCTAACAAGATACCTGATAATGGTGAAATAGAGCTGCCATCTTTCAAAAAATGAAAATCCGGACACAAAAGTTGCTGAGTTCTTTTTCCAAAATCTAAAAATAAAATAAAAATGAAGTTGTTGAGCATTTTTAAAGGAAATTCGCAAAATAAAAATAAAAACCAACACTGCCCAAATGGTTGCCAGACATATGTGTTTTCCCTGAAATTTTTACCGATTTTTGGAAATTCCGCCTGGACACTATTTCCGACAGACGAATCCTGTATATGTCTGGGAAATTCTGGATGGATGGTAAAAAAGGTAAAGGGACCCCTGACCATTAGGTCCAGTCGTGACCGACTCTGGGGTTGCGGCGCTCATCTCGCTTTACTGGCCGAGGGAGCCGGCGTACAGCTTCCGGGTCATGTGGCCAGCAGGACTAAGCTGCTTCTGGTGAACCAGAGCAGTGCACGGAAACGCTGTTTACCTTCCCACCAGAGCGGTACCTATTTATCTACTTGCACTTTGACGTGCTTTCGAACTGCTAGGTTGGCAGGAGCAGGGACCCAACAACGGGAGCTCACCCTGTCGCGGGGATTCGAACTGCCGACCTTCTGATCGGCAAGTCCTAGGCTCTGTGGTTTAACCCACAGCGCCACCCGCGACAGATGGTAGTCCTATGTCAAATGGTCACTGAATGCATTACCTGGGCTGTCTGATCCATTCTTTTGAGATAATAAATACCTTAGTTTTTGAATACAGGTCACAGGCCTACCCTATTCATACACAAAATATGCCCTTAAGACAGGATGTGTAGGATTTGTAAGTGAAAAGAACCATCAGGAGAGGAAATATTTGGGGTCTTAAGATGGCTTCAGGATTGCTCTCCTATGCTATTTCAGACAAATGGTTTATGTACATAAGGTACCTTGTGCACTCATGAACATTCATTTTATTTATGACACCTTAGAATTCTTATAGCAGCATTAATACCGTAATATAAATACAGATTTTTTAAAAATGTAGTAAGACCTAATTCGTGAGGTGTTTTGCACACACTAACATTGTTCTATGTTTTGTTTTGTTTTTTGCTGTTTTACAACATTGTCTTTACTACTTTTTTTGTATGTGCAGGTGTTATTTTGGTTTACGTTCATATTTTCTTCTATTCATTTAAATTATATGTGAATTCAAAACACTTCACCTCTCCCTGTGTGTGTTATATATGATACATATATTTACCAGAGTAATAAGATCATAGGGCAATAAGATGAATAAGATCATAGGGCAAAACCTTTTAGCTCTATTGAGATGAGCGTTTTAAGGTTGTGTTTGCATTTGTTTATAATTTTGATACAAACTGGTTTTATGGCACCAGTTTATATTTCATTTTGTGTTATTTGGAAATCCAGATCCCAGCTAATTTGGGAAACTTTCTAAAACATCTTCCACCTTTGCTCAGCTGGGTTTTCCTTTCTTTCTTTTTTAATTAACTGAGCTGGGTTTTAGCAAAACTATCCACTGTAATTTAAGAGCGATGCCAGCAAGGCTTCTTCCTTGGAGCACATAAAGTCGCAAATGAATGCTAATTAGTGGTATTAAGAGAACCAAAATGCATCCCCAAAGCACCAAGAATGGAGAGAACACTCCTATACATTCCTTTTATCTATTATATAGTAGTGCCTCATTTTTTTAAAAAGCAGCAACATTGTCAAATCCTGGAAAGTTATTCTAGTTGTTTCCTTTCGCTTGGGAGATTGCTGTATCCATGTAAAAAGAACAAAGTCTCTCTACGGTGGTATGTATGCATCAGTAGTCTAGAGAGACTAATAAAATGCAAAGACTTTAAATCATGCTCATTGCCAATTAAACGCAGACAATTAGCTCGTTCTGAAAGCAATTTGGGTTTCCAGCAGTTAATGTGCATGCATACCCAAACTCCACTGATGTTTTAGAGGAGGTATAAACAAAGCAAGGGCATTTGGGAAAAAACGGAAAGGTATCAGATGAGAATGGTCGTCTTGAATGGTGAATAGCTTAAAATATGGGAAGAGCAGAACATTTCCAGAGCAGCTGTGCTGTGTGCATTTAACACACAGTCCTAAAAGAGGAGGGCCAAGAATGTGAGCAGGTCAGCAGCTGGCAAGAACCACGCTCCCCTAAATCGACCAGGTGGTGGCGGAGATATCATCATCACCATCACTTTTAATTTGTATACTGCCAGAAGAAATATCAACAACTTCAGATATGCAGATGACACAACCTTGATGGCAGAAAGTGAGGAGGAATTAGAGAACCTTTTAATGAAGGTGAAAGAGGAGAGTGCAAAATATGGTCTGAAGCTCAACATCAAAAAAACGAAGATCATGGCCACTGGTCCCATCACCTCCTGGCAAATAGAAGGGGAAGAAATGGAGGCAGTGAGAGATTTTACTTTCTTGGGCTCCATGATCACTGCAGACGGTGACAGCAGTCACGAAATTAAAAGACGCCTGCTCCTTGGGAGAAAGGCGATGGCAAACCTAGACAGCATCTTAAAAAGCAGAGACATCGCCTTACCGACAAAGGTCCGTATAGTTAAAGCTACGGTTTTCCCAGTAGTGATGCATGGAAGTGAGAGCTGGACCATAAAGAAGGCTGATCGCTGAAGAACTGATGCTTTTGAATTATGGTGCTGAAGGAGACTCGCTCCTGGCAATTTGTGTCCCACCAGTTTAAATTGCATTTCTCCATGGAGTGTTCACTGGGAGATGGACAATGTAATTGGCAACACCTGAAATGGGAGGCAGGAAGTATTGTGTCAAGTGACACTGTTCAGATCTCTTCCACTACAGTCATAGCAAATGATGAAGCAGATCCTTTCCATCTGTGATATCAATGTAAATTTGATCAAAAACCATCAAGCGCATAAGAACTGTCATGTTTTTCCAGACCACTGATTCATGTGAGGCATAATTACAGTAGTGACTCCATGTTTATATCACCAAAACAGTAATCTCCAACACAGTGGTATCTGGTCTGGACTGAATAATCTCCCCCCCTCCTTTCTCTCTCTCTCTCTCTCTCTCTCTCTCTCTCTCTCTCTCTGAATTCTCAGCAAATCAATTTCTTCCATTTCTTTAAAGGACTGCATGCAAATTGATATTACCCCTTTTGGTCCTGGCACTTTTAATATTATTTGTATACATTATGAGAGTTATCTCTAGGAAATCATAAAGGAGGGCTGGCTTTTACATTCTGAAATTTTATTAGAGTTCACATAATGTGATAAATTATACATTGCTTCATTAAGTATAGATGTGGCAGTGCCTTTTGTCGAGAAGCAATTTCGTCATTTAAAACGGCACCTGTGATGTTTGCACAAAATGGCCCAAACTCTTTGTTATAAGTGATTGAAAAATATATCCTTTGGTTCAGTCTTGCATATCACAGTGGGAAATGTTATCGGGAGGGAAATGTTGAATTCATTTTGTTGTGGCTTGTTGAAATAGTGAACACCAGCTGTTGAAATTTCAAATGAAATATGCATTGGTTAGAGATGAGACCTTTTGGACTGTCCATCAGTTGTAGTGGTGGATATTGACCTGTTTTTACTTACTAGCAGCCTTTCTCAACCTGTGAGTCCCCAGATGTTGTTGAACTACTGCTCCCATCACCCCTAGCTAGCAAGGCCAGAGCTCAGGGATGATGGGAGTTGTAGTCCAACAACATCTGGGGACCCACAGGTTGAGAAACGCTGACTGGGTACCTACAACAACAACAAAAATAACGCTGCCGTAAATGGATCTGAGTAGGTAAGTGTTATTTCATTCAGGCGGCGAAGTCAGCTGAATGAAAGAAAGAAATGTTGAAAAGATTAGTTTAAGAAGGACTGGGGGAGAAACCCCCTTTTTACTGCAGTCAGAGCTGTCTTCATAGAATTACAGTGGTGCCTCGCAAGACAAAATTAATTCGTTCCGCAAGTTTTTTCGTCTAGCGAATTTTTCGTCTTGCAAAGCACGAAATCCCATAGGAATGCATTGAAATTCAATTAATGCGTTCCTATGGTCAAAAAAAGTCCAAACAAAGCCAAATTTGGTACAACAAGAGTTTATTAAGGGCTCTTTAAAGTCACACATACTGTAAAGAGCATTTCAAAAATTGAAGGAACAATAAATTCAAAAATTGAAGGAACAATAAATTCAAAAATTGAAGGAACAATAAATTCAAAAATTGAAGGAACAATAAAAATCAGAAAAATGCAGAAAAAAACCACACAAGCTTCCAGATTCTTGCAAACCCCTCCTCAACTGTTCCCCCAGCCACCCACCACACAGAAATTCAAATCCAGAATTTTTTTAAAAAAACAACATGGCCCAATGGTCACAGAAAATCATAAAAATTCAGAAAAAAACCACACAAGCTTCCAGATTCTTGCAAACCCCTCCTCAACTGTTCCCCCAGCCACTCACCACACAGAAATTCAAACCCAGAAATTTTTTTTAAAAAAACAACATGGCCCAATGGTCACAGAAAATCATAAAAATTCAAAAAAAACCCCACACAAGCTCCCAGATTCTTGCAAACCCCTCCTCAACTGTTCCCCCAGCCACCCAACCACACAGAAATTCAAACCCAGAATTTTTTTTTAAAAAAAACAGCAGAGTGGCCCAATGGTCACAAAAAATCATAAAAATGCAGGGGAAAAAACACACAAGCTTCCAGATTCTTGCAAACCCCTCCCCAACACCAAGTCCTTGAATTCCAAACACCCCAACCCAAAATCCAAAACCCCCCAAAAAAGTTTTAAAAGTTTAACTTACCAAATGGCTGCAAAAGAAGTTTTGGAAAAGCTTCAAAAATCACCAAAGTCTTCAAAAACCTCAAAAAAGGCTACCACACCGCATGCTATGAGTTGCTCCTCGAAGTCAAGTCGCAACTGCACCTCTTCAAGCAATGCACCCTGGGTATTAACGGTTTTACGAAAAAGGAAACAAACTTGCAAGACGTTTTTGTCTTGCGAAGCAAGCCCATAGGGAAATTCGTCTTGCGAAGCAGCTCAAAAAACGCAAAACCCTTTCATCTAGCGAGTTTTCGTCTTGCGAGGCGTTCGTCTTGCGGGGCACCACTGCATAGAATTGGAAAGGACCCTGAGAATCGCCTAGTCCAGCCCCCCCATACAGAAATATGCAGCTGTCCCATACGGGGATGGAACCTGCACCTTGGTGTTATCAGCACCATGTTCTAACCCAGGGGTAGGCAAACTAAGGCCCAGGGGCCGGATCCGGCCAATCGCCTTCTAAATTTGGCCTGTGGATGGTCCAGGAATCAGTGTGTTTTTACATGAGTAGAATGTGTCCTTTTATTTAGGGGTGGAATGCTCTGTCCCATGAGACCAGGGCCCTGCAGGATTTTACTTCCTTCTGCAGGGCCTGTAAGACAGAACTATTCCGCCTGGCTTTCAATTTGAACCTGGCCTGATCTTTTGTTCCCCTTCCTTCCCTCCCCCTCCCCTTTTTGTGAAGATTGCTCGCTCTGGGATCCCACAGCTGGTTTTCTCCTGGTCTCATTGCTGGCCCAAGTGGGACTAATTTAGCCAGCTAGCCCTGGTGATCATCTAATGTTTATTGGATGGATTTCCCCCCAAACAGATTTTTGATTTTTGATTTTATTGTTATTTATGCTTTATACTGTATTTTATGCTGTTTTTTTGTTGCCTCAAGTAAGTGTTTTAAATTCGTTGTTAGCTGCCCTGAGCGTGGTTTCCTGAACCAGGAAGGGTGGGGTATAAATAAAATTTTATTTTTATTTTTATTTTTATTTAAATTTATTTTTATTCATTTTCATTTTCATTTTCATTTTTATTTTTATTTTTATTTTTATTTTTATTTTTATTTTTATTTAAAATGCATCTCTGGGTTATTTGTGGGTTATGGGAATTCATTCATTTCCCCCCCCCAAAATATACAGTGGTGCCCCGCAAGACGAATGCCTCGCAAGACGGAAAACCCGCTAGACGAAAGGGTTTTCCGTTTTTTGAGTTGCTTCGCAGGACGAATTTCCCTATGGGCTTGCTTCGCAAGACGAAAATGTCTTGCGAGTCTTGAGATTTTTTTTTCGCTTTCCCCCCCCCTTTATCTAATCCGCTAAGCCTTTAATAGCCTTTAATAGCCTTTTAGCAGCTAATCCGCTAAGCCTTTAAGCCTTTAATAGCCGCTAAACCGCTAATAGCGCTAATCCGTTAAGCCGCTAATAGGGTTGCTTCGCAAGACGAAAAAACCGCTAGACGAAGACTCTCGCGGAACGGATTAATTTCGTCTTGCGAGGCACCACTGTAGTCCAGTCCCCCACAAGGTCTGTGGAACAGTGGACCGGCCCCCTGCTGAAAAAGTTTGCTGGCCCCTGTTTTAACCAACTGAGCTATCCAGGCTCAATAATACAGAATGGAAATGAAGAGCCACCATTGTAATTCACCTTGAATGTGGTTTATTGGTGGGCTGTGAGCTTACCTGCAAACACACTCATAAGCCATCATATCTAGCGTGGCTCTTCCCTGGGGGAAGCTGCTGGTACTAAGAACTTAGCAGTAGTGCTTTCTTTCCTATCAGATTCCACCAAAAGAGGTTTTCTTGCATCCTGTCCTTTTTATATTTGGAAGGTGGTTATAGGCAAATATCTCCTCCTTTCTCCCCTATTTTGTTTTTTTTAAAAAATATTATTCTTTATTGATTAAAAATTTACATATCTATTCAGACATTGTACGCTGTCTCTTTACATATGAAGAAAAAGAAAATTATGTAGAGAATAGAAAATTTATAAAGGAACAAAAAAGAGGCAAAGAAAAAATAAAGAAATAACAAAGATATGAAGTAAAAAAAATCAAAAGAGAAAAAGACAACATTATTTACACAATAAAAGTGTTCATCGACACAATCCTTCCCATCCTTCTCATTGTACTGTAATATAAACATTCTTTTTTAACACAGATTTGTATGGTATAATATCATTTCTTTCTACTTTGTATATATTCCTCTAATCGTTTTCTTTACAAATATCACTCAATTTCTGCGAATATGGAATTATTTGTGCAATAAAGTTTTACATAGTTGTTGAATATTATCCATTCTCTAGTTATTTTTTGTTTCAATGTTCCTCTAACTTATCGTATCTTTGTTATTTCTTAATTTTTTTTCTTTTTCTCTTTTTTGTTCCTTTATAAATTTTCTATTCTCTGCATAATTTTCTTTTTTGAGTCCCTCATCCCACTCTCTTTATCTTTCTCTCTTTTTTTGCCATGCCACTTTTGACTTCTGTAGTATTCAGAAATGCTCAGGCAATTCTTTCCCAGCTAATGGGGGGAGGGGGAGGCAGAGAAGGAGAGATTAAATTGTGGTGTAATGAGGTGTTGTAGGAAAGTACTGAATTGACACCTCTGCCAGCGCCTGCAAATTGTGTTCCTTTTTGTCCAAGGCTGAGAGCAACCAGCTTGATAGGTGTCAGTATGAATATCCGTTAACAAGGTGGGTGCCAATATATTTCAAGAGGTGAATTGTAATGGATTGCAATGATTTGGAATAGCTCGACTATTCCATATCTTTCTTTTTCTATGGCAGCTTCTAAGAAGCCAAACTTGACTTTCCGATTTAGGGATTTGCAAGTGAACACATGAAGCGTGAACAGTTTCAATAGCAATTTGCATGGTACCATTAGTGTGTCTGGTGCTTTTTTGGAAGGTTAAAGGTTTGAATCTGCGCAACGGGGGAGCTCCTGTTGCTCTGCCCCAGCTCCTGCCAACCTAGCAGTTCGAAAGCACACCAGCTCAAGTAGATAAATAGGTACCACTGCGGTGAGAAGGTAAACGGCGTTTCTGTGTGCTCTGGCACTCATCATGGTCCTCTGTGCACCAGTAGCATTTTAGTCATGCTGGCCACATGACCCAGAAAGTAGTCTGTGGACAAACACTGGCTCCCTCGGCCTGAAAGCAAGATGAGCACCAAGGCAACCCCATAGTTGCCTTAGACTGGACTTAACCATCCAGGGGTCCTTTACCTTTTTGCCAGTGTCACAGCCCCGCTTGTATTATTTGGGATCCCCAAGCCAGTTGCTGTCGGGAAGGCACCAAGGAGACCTGTGACTTGCCCCTGCTTTACATATTTACATTACCATTGTAATGCAGTATCAAACAGTAGACCAATGCCAGAAGTGGAACTTAACAATTCAGCACCATACCCTAAGTTTTGAACCATGAAGTCGAAGTCATCAAAACATCAAAAACATCAAAACATATTGTGTGAATTAACCTGGTGAAATATGTATTTATCAATGTACTTTTTCTGCATCTGATTGCCCTGTGATCTCTCTCTCTCTCTCTCTTTGTAAACCAAGAAAATTAAAGATTTTCTTGGTTTACAAAAGTATGTGCAATGTTGTTGAGACATTAGGAAGAAAAGGGGGGATGAGGTGGAGGGGGGAGAGGTGAGTGGGGGTGGGGTCAGGTGCCGATGTTTCTATTTTACTTAATATACATGGGGTTTTGTGTCAGCGTCGCTTGTGCAGGTTCTCTGCTATTCACTTGTGTTTCTTTGGTGGTGAGAGAGGTTGGGGGTTGGCCTAGGGCAGGGGTCTGCAACCCGCGGCTCTGGAGCCGCATGTGGCTCTTTTACACCTTTGCCGCGGCTCCGGGGCGGATACTAGCGAGGGGAGGAGGCGCATTGTGCGCCCCAACACTCCCCACTGTGGCGGGCGCTGTACTGGCTGTGACGTCGCATGGGGGCGGTGCGTGTGTTAGTCACACACTGTCCCGATGTCACCTTCCCGCCTGCCCGCCCGCTACATTGTAAGGGGCATGTACGCTGGTCACTGCATTGAAAGGGGGCATGTACGCTGGTCACTGTTTTGAAGGGGAGTGAAGAACACACACACAAAAAAAGGTAACTTGTTAATTTAATGTTTATTTCTATGAGGAGGAGTAATTCTGAGGGGTCAAACAAAGAAATAATTTTAAAAAGTGACAAAAAAGTTATTTTTATAATGACGAGTTTTGCGGCTCCCAGTTTTTTTTTCTTCGGAAATGGGTCCAAGTGGCTCTTTTTGTCTTAAAGGTTGCAGACCCCTGGCCTAGGGTGTGGTTGTTTGTTTGTGATTGGCTGTGGTGATCTTTGTTTTCATGTCTGAGTGGGGTGGGTGGGTTTTTTGGATCAAATTATCCATACTGATTTGTATGTTGTTGGTGGATTCTTGTCATTGTCTTGTTGGGCTGTGTATGTGATAAAGGGAAGCCATACCGGGGTGAAGGCATCTTCTTCTATTTGTTCCTGTGTCAGTTTCAGTTTATTGGTTAATTTTTCTAGTGAGGCTGTTTCCCATACCATGGGTCCATGCTTACTCCTGACAGATCTCTCCAGTGTCTGGTTATGGTGTTTCTGGCTGCTGAAAGTAGGTGGGTTATGAGTTCTTTGTGGTGTAAATGTGCATTATTGTCTTGGAAGATGTTTAGTAGGGCCAATTCTGGGGTGATTTCTAATACTTGCTTAGTTATTTTACATATTTCTCCTATGGCTGTTGTCCAGAATAGTTGGATTTTGGGGCACTCCCACCACATGTGAAGGTATGTGCCTGTGGAGGTGCACCCTCTCCAGCATTTTGGTGAGGTTTCTGGGCGTATTAGCGCTAGTTTTCTTGGTGTTAGGTACCACCTGTAGGTGAGTAAGATTGCTTGATGTTCATTTGAAAACCCTCACCTTGATTAGGTTACCCATGCCTTTTCTGCCCTGCACGTGCTGCAGGTGAATGTCGAAGCAGGTGGTGATTGCAGTCTTGGAATATGCCCCACGCACAATGCCATTAGGCTGGTGGGGATATACTCAAATTGCCAGGGCTGCCCATGTCTGGACACACAGGGGATAATACAGAAATAATCAGTAATTAGCTTTTATTATTGCAATGAAACAGTTTCTCAAGAAGCACTTTTTCAAGGGCAAAAATATGCACTAGATATAGGTTGTGTGTGGACTATGTAAAAAAAAGCACTCCATCACCACTGATTCTAGAATTAAATGTGTTTGCGCAGCCCAAGACCTCCTTCCTAATGTGTTTAAATTGAACAATTATTCTACCCATTGTTTTCTAACATCCTTGTAAATAGGGCTGCCATACGTCTGGATTTTCCCGAATTCTACCAGAATTTAAAAGGCGGAAGTGATGTCCGGGGGGGGGGGGATTTCCGGAAGGCATTTTTTTGGGCGTTTTCGTTTAAAAATGCTCCACAACTTTGTGGTTTGTCTGAAAAAAGCTCCACAACTTTGGGGTTTTCCTATAAAAAGCTCAACTTTTGAGGTGTCCTGGTTTTTAACTTGTTGAAATATGGCAACCCTACTTGTAAATACCATATTTTTCGCTCTATAAGATGCACTTTTTCCCGCCTAAAAAGTAAGAGGAAATGTGTGTGCTGTTCTGGCTTCAGGGATAGCCGCGGGAAGTCTTCAGCAACATTTGATTCAGAATACTTTTTTTCTTGTTTTCCTCCTCTAAAAACTAGGTTCGTCTTATGGTCGGGTGCGTCTTATAGAGCGAAAAATACGGTAACTGAATCTCTTTCTCAACCTCATCACTTCTCAACCTCTTTAAGAAACGGAAGCAGAGAGGAGCAGAAGGAGATTCTGGCAACCTGTTTCCAGTAATACCATAGCTTGGAGTAGCATAGAGAACGGTGGGAATCATTGTCTGATGCAGCAGGAAGGGTTGTAAAGTGTCGGTCCTAATTTGTTGGGGGGAGACATCTGGCAGCAAAATGCTTGGGGCTGGCGCTGCTTTTTGAAGCAAGACATCTAGGCAGAAACCCCTAGTTTGCAGCCCTGTAGTAAACTTAGTTGTGTGGATTTGTTTGTGCAGTCCGATGGGCTGCACGTTTCTTCGAAAGTAAGTGCCGCTGATTTCAGTGGAGGCTGAAATATGGTATTTTCCAGCCTTATTCTGGCTGGAGGGAAACATGTGACTGTGAAGTGGCCAGATGTACAAGATGTGCTTTGAGCATAGTGGCTTCATTGTGTCGTGAAAAGTGAAATGGAGAAGGGAGCCCTCGAGTGAGGTCGTGTTATATAGATTTTTGCTGCGGGTGGCAAACTGAGCAGATTGTCTTCGCCATTGATTGATCTGGTCTCGCCTTTATTGAGAGCACATGGCGCACACTTATTTTTTTAGTAGCTTTTTATTAAAACTGACAAACGAGAGATCCCATGCTTTCAAGAGATGATCCCCAAGGATTCCCCAGGGTGATGTTTGTCTAGCCTAAGATGATGTTTCTGCTTTTGATCCATGGAAGCATTTAGAGCACTAATAAAAACAAAACCAATAAAAGCCAAGCGAAAGCTTTTTGAATTGCAGGACTTCACACACAAAAATAAATAATAGAATTATAAAGTTGGCAGCGACCTGAGGGCCATCAAGCAAACTTTGAAAGATTGGGGAGGTGGGAGAGCCAGTATATTTAATATACTTGTTTTTAGGTCTTAAAAGTTTGTCCGTTTGTCCGTCCTATTGGTTCAGTGCATACATGATCTTGTGTCAAAAAATACTCAGTGCCAGAAATGAGTTAATAAATATGTGGTACAGTGGTACTTCAGGTTACAGACGCTTCAGGTTACAGACACTTCAGGTTACAGACTCCGCTAACCCAGAAATAGTACCTCGGGTTAAGAACTTTGCTTCACGATGAGAACAGAAATTGCACGGCGGCCGCGCAGCAGCAGTGGGACGCCCCATTAGCTAAAGTGGTGCCTCAGGTTAAGAACAGTTTCAGGTTAAGAATGGACCTCCAGAACGAATTAAGTTCTTAACCAGAGGTACCACTGTATATCTCAGTTGCTAACATTGGCAAGACCTGTTGTTTGCAAAACAAAAAACAAAAACACCTGCCTGAGGACGAACACTGAAATGAAGCCCACAGTATTGGTGTGGGTTTTTATCTTTAAAACTGGTGAGGTTTATTTATCTTTATGTAGTGGACAGTTGCCCTTCAATGTTGCTGCAACACTGACTGCAAAGCTGACTGTTTCAATTGGGCTAATAAGTGTACCAGACCCTGGCTTGACTGATGCTATCACAGTAAGTTATAAGGTTTGGTCCAAGGACCACATGGGTGGTGCTTTGGTCTAAACCACTGAGCCTCTTGGGCAGGGGTCAGCAACCTTTTTCAGCTGTGGGCCGGTCCACCGTCCCTCAGACCATGTGGTGGGCTGGACTATATTTTGGGGAAAAATATGAACGCATTCTTATGCCCCACAAATAACCCAGAGATGCATTTTAAATAAAAGGACACATTCTACTCATGTAAAAAAAATGCTGATTCCCAGACCATCCGTGGGCCAGATTGAGAAGGTGATTGGGCTGCATCCGGCCCCTGGGCCTTAGGTTGCCTACCCCTGCTCTTGGGTTTGCTGATGTAACAGTGGTAGGAAGGGATGGAGCAGGAAGATGCAATGAGTCTTGCTGTAGGCTTGGTGGGAGCATTCCCGATGCCCATCTGCCTGTCAGTTCTGCAGAATTGTGCTTTAGGCTGAAAACCAGCTGCTTTATAAACTTAATTATGCATTTTTAATTTTTAAAAAAGTACATTATTATAATATTTTTAATATTGATAAATTGGTGTGTGTGTGTGCGTGTATTGGGGGTGTGTGCGTATATTATACACATTTAACTCCGTTAGTACTATGAAGTGGGAAACAGCAGCGTAGATGTACCGTATTTTTTGCTCTGTAAGACTCACTTTTTCCCTCCTAAAAAGTAAGGGGAAATGTGTGTGCGTCTTATGGAGCAAATGCAGGCTGCGCAGCTATCCCAGAAGCCAGAACAGCAAGAGGGATTGCTGCTTTCACTGCGCAGCGATCCCTCTTGCTGTTCTGGCTTCTGAGATTCAGAATATTTTTTTTCTTGTTTTCCTCCTCCAAAAACTAGGTGCGTCTTGTGCTCTGGTGCGTCTTATAGAGCGAAAAATACAGTAGGTCTTCTTTGCAAAGAAGAGCAGAAATGACCAGGCCTCCTCTGCTCTTCTTTGCAAAGGAGCAGGAAGAGCTATTGCACAACAAATGTCTTCCTCTGCTGCAACAGCCAAAGCAGCCACATAATCGAGCCATGACGCGATTAGCTTAGTCAGTAGAGCATGAGACTCTCAGCCTCAAGGTCGGGGGTTCCAGCCCCATGTTTGGGCAAAATATTCCTGCATTGAAGGTGGCTGGACTAAATGACCCTCATGGTCCCTTCCAACTCTATGATAACGTTTCAGCACAGAATCGGGTGTCCTGTTTTTACAAAGCATTATGAATAATACTCCAAAATTCACAGCCAGTAAGCATCTTATTAGGACCATCTGAAATGTTTCAAAATGGCACGCAAGCCTCTGAGTTCTGCAGAACTCTTCCTCAGATGAGATGCCACGCAAAGCAGAAGTTGTGGGAGATGAAGTAGGGGAGCTAAGTAAGAAAAATAGAGTTGACCTTGAAGTGTTTGAGGTTTGTTTTTGACTTGGGCTAGTGGCTTGAAGGGACGCGGGTGGCACTGTGGGTTAAACCACAGAGCCTAGGACTTGCCGGTCAGAAGGTCAGTGGTTCGAATCCCCACGATGGGGTGAACTCCCATTGCTCGGTCCCTGCTCCTGCCAACCTAGCAGTTCAAAAGCACGTCAAAGTGCAAGTAGATAAATAGGTACCATTCCGGCGGGAAGGTAAACAGCATTTCCATGCGCTGCTCTGGTTTGCCAGAAGCGGCTTAGTCATGCTGGCCACATGACCCGGAAGCTGTTCGCTGGCTCCCTCAGCCAATAAAACGAAATGAGTGCCGCAACCCCAGAGTTGGTCGCAACTGGACCTAATGGTCAGGGGTCCCTTTACCTAGTGGCTTGAAATGCAGCAAAATCATTACCATATTTTTCGCTCTATAAGACGCACCAGACCACAAGACGCACCTAGTTTTTGGAGGAGGAAAACAAGAAAAAAAATATTCTGAATCTCAGAAGCCAGAACAGCAAGAGGGATTGCTGCGCAGTGAAAGCAGCAATCCCTCTTGCTGTTCTGGCTTCTGGGATAGCTGCGCAGCCTGCATTCGCTCCATAAGACGCACACACATTTCCCCTTACTTTTTAGGAGGGAAAAAGTGAGTCTTATAGAGCAAAAAATAGGTACCTCCGCACACATTGCTTTTCAAATCACATTCTTAAACGAGGTGTGGAGATGAATTCACCACACCACACTGATTTAACACTGGGGTAGGGAGATGACTGAACTGGCTCCATAGAAATAATCTCTGTGCATTCAAAACAGATTTTCAAAAGTCTGCCCTTACTGTGTCAAGTTGCACAGATCTGTCTCATAAAAGGGTTTGTGCTGTCGGCCTTGGAGTTGCTTCAAGGAGGTGGTCCTTGTTTCACTCCAATGACATCTCCTGTTAAAAAACAAACACGCCATTGTCCCCCTTGAAAGCCGCATTATAGCAGCTTGTCTCCCTAATGACCCCCTTCCTCCTGCAAACAATAGGGCCATAGCATTCAACAATAGCCATGTCCTATTCTCTTCCCTGTGGCCCGCATGAACCCTGCGTGACTCTGTCAGGCACCACAACCTGACAGAAGGATGGGCCAGATGTCCTGGGCTCAGTGACTGTCTTGAGGGCCATGGCGTCCCCATTCATTTCCATGATTTCCATCAATTGCACAGGAGACTTGAAACTAGAGATCCGTGGCTCACACAGTGCACACTTGTTTGCCGCTATGATGCATCAGCAGCTGTCGGGGCTCACCCACAATTCTGCTTGTCCTGTGCCTAGAAAGCACGGGTGGTTTCCCCCTTGCCTGGCTTCTTAGGAAAAACCCACTCTTTAACTCCAAGTGAAGGCAGTGAATGTCCTGTGTGAGTGTGTGGAGGCAGTTGGAGGATGGATGGCAGCTAACAGATTGAGGTTGAATCCTGACAAGACAGAAGTACTGTTTTGGGGGGGACGGGGGGCGGGGAGGTGTGGAGGACTCCCTGGTCCTGAATGGGGTAACTGTGCCCCTGAAGGACCAGGTGCGCAGCCTGGGAGTCATTTTGGACCCACAGCTGTCCATGGAAGTGCAGGTCAATTCTGTGTCCAGGGCAGCTGTCTACCAGCTCCATCTTGTATGCAGGCTGAGACCGTACCTGCCCACAGACTGTCTTGCCTGAGTGGTGCATGCTCTGGTTATCTCCCGCTTGAACAACTGCAATGTGCTCTATGCGGAGCTACCTTTGAAGGTGACCTGGAAACTACAACTAATCCAGAATGTGGCAGCCAGACTGGTGATTGGGAGTGGCCGCCGAGACCATATAACACCAATCCTGAAAGACCTACATTGGCTTCTAGTACATTTCCGAGCACAATTCAAAGTGTTGGTGCTGACCTTTAAACCTGAGGTCCAGCTCCAAGGGCCTTCTGGTGGTTCCCTCCCTCTAGGTTGCTCACACAGTAAAATAAACTTTGCATCCCAGTTAACATGCTTCTGTGGCAGAATTCTAAGGAAAGTTCCTTTTAATGAATGCAACTCCCTCCTATGGAAAAAAACACTATTAAAATCTTTCATATTATCTCATATTATTATATTATATACCGTTGCTTCATACATCAGTGCTAAGTAATCTGAGAAATCCCATCATAAAGAAGCTGGTTAAAGAGCCTTGAGGCATAAACAAGTTTCCATATTATTTCATCAGATCACCGTGGCTTCAGTTTCTACATTATCTCTGTTGTTAATTAGTATCTGTTCCTCACATTGCAGCTCTTGTTTCTCACTGATAACTTATGTAGCCTGGAATTAAAGGCCTGGTTTGCTTTGGAAGAATAATTTATTGCTTCTGTGTGGATTTCGGGGGAATGGGAGCTTTGAAAATCTTAATTCAACCAAGAAGCCACTACAGAAGTTTGATGAATCAGATCCACGCATACCAATGGTGGGGGTTTTTTAAACCCACAATGACGTATTTATGGGGGAGCCACAATTCAGTGATACTGGTACAATAGATAGCATACATTTTCTGGGGTGGTTATTTTAGTGTAATCCCAATAAATGAATGAATGAATGAATGAATGAATGAATCCAGAAATTTAAAATGTGGTTCCAAGTATAAAGATGAAATAAAATATTATGTGGAAGATCTTTTACCTTAGTTGTGTCAGTTTTCATTTCTTAGTGCAGACAGGATTGATCTGATGTGTCGAGATCTTTCCTATTCTAATGAATTCAAGAGGGTTCTGGAAGCTTCTCTGTGTGAAAGAAACAAGCAAAAGGTTCATGATGTTTGGGTTATTCCTTCAGAGAAGCTGAGTACAGCTGGCTTAAACTGGTTCTGTTATTTCTTCTGTGAAGATCATGTTGACTATAAAAGTAAGGCCAAAAGGAGTCTGGGTTTCCCTTTCCCTTTCTATCTCTTTTCCTTCTGATGTGGTGTTCTGTATATAGTGTTAAGGTTTAGTTTTATTATAAGTTATTGTAAGTTTAAGTTAAGTCTGCTGCAACTGGATTTCTCATGGACAGTACCCGTCCTGAATGTACTGGATTTGTGACCATTATGCTCATCTGCCTTCAGGAGCAGTAAAGCTCTGCTGGATGAAATACAATTGCCTCTGATCTTATTTTTGGGGGAATCCTGCAACATGTTTAAGTTTTTACTCTGCTAACTATACATTGGAATCTGGCTCAATATTGAGTAGAATTTCATAACAAGTGGTACATCTACAGTGGTACCTCGGTTTCCAAACTTAATCCGTTCCGGAAGTCCGTTCTTAAACCAAAACCGTTCTTAAACCGAGGTGCACTTTCCCTAATGAGGCCTACCGCCGCTGGTGCCCTTCCACCGTTTGGCTTCCATTCTTAGACCGAGGTAAAGTTTGCAAACCGGGACACTACTTCCGGTTTTGCAGAGTTCCTAAACTGAATAGTTTGTAAACAGGAGTGTTCTTAAACCGACTGTCCTTAAACTAGAGGAGTCCGACAGAGATAGTTTTAGGGCATAGTGACCGGTTGCCCCCGAAATGGACACTGAGCAGAGAGGGTGGTCAGTAAGCACTTGCCTGGTTATGGGAAGGAGGGGTGAGGATATTTATTTATATGTTTATTTATTTATACCCCGCCCATCTGGCTGGCTTTCTCCAGCCACTCTGGGCGGCTTCCAACAGAACACTAAAGTACAATAACCTATTAAACATTAAAAGCTTCCATAAATAGGAGTCCTAGTGTCCTCCCTCCTTCCCAAAGCCTAGTTAGCACTTGCCCAGGTTTGAGAAGGAAGTAGGAGGGCTCTACAATCCTGCTGGAGCCCTCGCACCTTCTTCCCAAAGCCAGGCATGGCTCAAGGACTGTCTGCCATATTGTGAAAAGGAAACTAGTACAACAGTCATTTTTATGCAGCCAAAACTACCTGGAAAAATTCAAACTTGAAGCAATCATTTTATGTATACTTTGTTCAAAAATCCTACCTCTGGATCACAGCCAACGCTGCTGTTCCACTAACACAGCAGACTGTCGCAATGCAACTTCTCCTTCTGGTCCCTATGTACCCCCAATATCTGCTTCAAAGAGGTGGGAGACAACCCATAGCAGATTTTGAGGGCACGCAAGGAGAGGAAAGGCAAGTCTTGTTAGGTGATCAGAACTCTGTGCATGAATTGTAGGAAACAACCATCTGAGTTTAACACCTCTGCATTGGGAATTAAAGGTAAAGGTAAAGGGACCCCTGACCATTAGGTCCAGTCGTGACCGACTCTGGGGTTGTGGCGCTCATCTCGCTTTATTGGCTGAGGGAGCCGGCGTACAGCTTCCGGGTCATGTGGCCAGCATGACTAAGCTGCTTCTGGCGAACCAGAGCAGTGCACGGAAATGCCGTTTACCTTCCCGCCGGAGCGGTACCTATTTATCTACTTGCATTTTGACGTGCTTTCGAACTGCTAGGTTGGCAGGAGCATGGACCGCACAACGGGAGCTCACCCCGTCGTGTGGATTTGAACCGCTGGCCTTCTGATCGGCAAGTCCTAGGCTCTGTGGTTTAACCCACAGCGCCACCCACGTCGCATTGGGAATTGCCAATGCATTAATTTTTTGCATAATGTCTTCATTTGAGTGAAAGTGGTGTCCTTCTGCATTTGCGTCAATGTGAAAAATCAGATTTTCATACGGTTACTTAATACGAAGTAGTAAAACACAAAGCTTTACCAAAAGCCAAGGGGGAATACATCTGACAGTACTCAAAGCTTATTTAAATCCTATAACACTCTACAGACAGGGCTTGATCCGTTGAAGAGACACAGTTTGTAGTAACTTTGGTAAATTTCTATCAACAAGATGCCAATTATTATTATTTAATTATTGCCTTGCAATGAATCATACAACCCTGGGCTACTAATGGTACACTTGGTTCGTATACATTAGTATATGGCACCTGGGCATCCATAGCTAATAAAGCATGCTTTCAATAAAGCTATTATTAAACATTGATTGCCAGTATATTTGCTAACCCAGCACAAGTTGGAATTCCATTAAATGCATAAACTGTCAGGTCTCAAAATAATGCTGGATGATCAAGAGTAACTGGAGACATTTCACGCTGAAATCTACAGGGTAATTATGAAAAATGTGCCTAACGGGTTCTTTTTATTTATCACACACTCGTTTTTATAAATGACATTTGCTGAGCAATGATTGCTTTCTTATCTGGCCTTTGAGACAAAATCTGTTTTTTTAGGAGTTTTAGGTGTGCTTTGAAATCTGTTGCATATGACAGTCTACTGTTGTGTCAAATCAACGTAAAAAAGGAACAGATTCATAGAAATACTAAAATGCAGAACTGTAGAGTTGGAAGTGATCTCAAGGATCATCTGGTCCAATGCAGGAATCTCAACTAAAGCATCCTTGACAAATGGCCATCCTTGTTGTTGTTGAGTCGTTTAGTCGTGTCTGACTCTTCGTGACCCCATGGACCAGAGCACGCCAGGCACTCCTGTCTTCCACTGCCTCCCGCAGTTTGGTCAGACTCATGCTGGTAGCTTCGAGAACACTATCCAACCATCTCGTCCTCTGTCGTCCCCTTCTCCTTGTGCCCTCCATCTTTCCCAACATCAGGATCTTTTCCAGGGAGTCTTCTCTTCTCATGAGGTGGCCAAAGTACTGGAGCCTCAGCTTCACGATCTGTCCTTCCAGTGAGCACTCAGGGCTGATTTCCTTAAGAATGGAGAGGTTTGATCTTCTTACAGTCCATCTAAGCTCTGCTTAAAAACCTCAAAGGAAGGAGAGTCCATAACTGCTGAAAGGTTCTTACTGTCAGAAGTTCTTCCTCAAGTTTAGTTGGAATTGCCCTTCTTGAATATTGAATGCATTGGTTCGGGTCCTACCCTCCAGAGCAGGAGAAAATAAGCTGTTCCATCTTCCAGGTGACAGCCCTTGAGATATGTGAAGATATCCTATCTCCTCACAGTCTCCTCTTTTCCAGGCTAAACATATACCCAGCTCCCTGTTGTATTACCCTTAATGCAAATTTGTACAACGTATAAATTCAAGATTACCTTTCTGTGGCCTTCTCAGCATCTAGGGAATCTCACATTATTTATAAACAGCCCTAGTTTCTCAGGCTTGTACAGTGGTACCTCGGGTTACATACGCTTCAGGTTACATACGCTTCAGGTTAAGCACTCCGCTAACCCAGAAATAGTGCTTCAGGTTAAGAACTTTGCTTCAGGATAGGAAGAGAAATCGGGCTCCGGTGGCACGGCGGCAGCAGGAGCCCCATTAGCTAAAGTGGTGTTTCAGGTTAAGAACAGTTTCAGGTTAAGAACAGATCTCCAGAACGAATTAAGTACTTAACCCGAGGTACCACTGTAGTTGCAAAGGCAGGGGCTGCATTTGGAAAATCACAATAAATGATGTTTGTCATGATGGAATAACCCTCGCCTCCCGCTCCTGACTCTCACGCAAACCTTCCCTCAACACAGCAAAGAGCAGAAGATACAAACATTCATTTACAGTGAAGCAGAAGTTAGTGGCTAGATGCAACACTAAACAGGGATTAATCTGAGGTATCGTGTGTCGGAAACAAAGCCAGTTTGAGAAACCAAAATTTGAAACTTTGCTTGTTTCAAAGAAACCATAGTTAAGGTTAGCCAAAGTTTGTTGGGTTCAGATGAAACAACAAACAGTGGCTAATCAAAAATGGAAATGAAAGCTTCCATAGTTGCACCATAAATGTGAACCCAGGGGGAGGCTAGAATTGTTCCTGTCATGATAAACTATGGCTTCTTATAACATTAAAATGCAGCCATTGTTGTGGCCATGTGACTATATTAGCCAGTCATCTGCTTCCTATGTTTATGTATCCCTTTCCAATATAGATTCACAGACACTTTCTTGTGCCTTTTAAAAGCAGCAAATATTCATGAAAATGTATTGGCCAAACAAAGAGAAAAGCAAATACAAAAGACCAAACCACACTTTTTCTATTGTGATAACTTCAAAATGCATATGCCACAGGTTTGTTTGTTTGTTTGTTTGTTTGTTTGTTTGTTTGTTTTAATGGTTGACTGAGTTAGTCCTCATTAAAGAATGGCCATTTCTGCATAAAGAGGATGTAAAACTTATTTAAGATATCTGACAGCTATAGCCTGGCATTCTGTGTTCTTTTGATTTTCCAGACTACAGTGAAGCCTGTAAACTACCTCTGCTTTTTTTTCTTTTCCTAATTTGAACCCATTTGTGACTCAGTTTGTTTGACATGGACATTGTAACAAGGTGGCCACATTCCGGGAAAAGCTTGTGTAAAAATTGGATACTTTCCCCAATAGTCCCACTTTCATTTCTTTATTCTCTTGCCTCCTGTTTGTTTGCTAGTATATATTTGTACAATAACGAAATACTGGTTTGCACAACAACATGTTGGTTTTCAAAAAAGGAAGTTACTGAAAGCAATTTCTGAAAGCAGAAGCACAGTAATATGACAGCTGTGAAGAGTGTTTGGGTTTATACCTTTCTTTCTTTCTTTCTTTCTTTCTTTCTTTCTTTCTTTCTTTCTTTCTCTCTCTCTCTCTCTCTCTCTCTTTCTCTCTTTCTCTCTTTCTCTTTCTTTCTTTCTGTAAGACCTTAGGAGCAACTCTGAATTCCATGGCAAGCCTTAAAGCAATATGGGTTTGGGGAGTGAAATTCAAACCAAAGATTAGAATAAAATATATGGTGTGTGTGACTCTTTTGATCAGTCTCAGCTTACATTAGGGAGTATTCGTTGAAGTTAATTCACAGACGGTATTGTACACCTTTACAGCTGTCTCAAATGTTTTCCACTATGACTTATTGGAGAGGGTCTGGCAAACATATTTGCGGTGCAAATATAAACATTTGTGCTGGTATTGGAAGATGATACACGCAGAGATGGTTCTTATCCTTAATGAACAAGTGTCGCTAAGTTCACAGTTAGCGTTACTTGAATATTTTTGAGGAAGGAAATTCAAACATTCTGTTAAAGGAACTGTGTACAGTCGTACCCTGGATATTGAACGCCTTGGCTCCTGAACAAATCGGCTCCCGAACGATCAAAACCTGGATGTGATTGTTCCGGTTTCCAAACATTCTTTTGGAAGCCGAACATCCGACACTTCCTGCAGCCAATCAGAAGCTGTGCTTTGGTTTCCAAACGTTTTGGAAGTTGAACGGACTTCTGGAACAGATTCCGTTTGACTTCCAAGGTACGACTGTATATGCCTGACTTTAGCAGCAAGACTGACTATAGCTCACTCCTGGCAATCATCCCAAGATCTTATTCATGGTCAGTGATACCAATCTCTTTGGAGCAGTAATAGAAAAAAATGACCCATCAGTTAAGATTTATACAAGAGCAAAAGATCCGAGATTCTTTCTATAGGCTTTGGCATGCTTTTCACTGAACATCCATAATTTTCAAGGCTCCCAGCAATTCATTCTTGGCAAAAATTCCTGATGGTTATGACTGTTTCATGTATCTGAATTTCCGTGTGTGGACTGGTGCAGGGAGGAAGAAGGGAAATGTCAGTTAGCCGTGAAACATGCATGAGAAACAGTTTCTAGTTACGTTATTGCTTTGGCATACTATTTCATTCTTTATTGAAAAACGCTAACCACCATCATCAATAAGAGAAGTCAGTGCAGGTTTTTCTGCCTTAGTGCAGGATTGAGAATGCAGATGGGGCTCATTCCCTAGAGGGATGGGTAATGCAGGGGGCAAAGTTGAGATGGAAACAGCAGCTAGAATGCAGGTCTTTAGAGCAGAGCTTTCCAAACTGTGTGTCACTACACGTTAGTGTGTCGGCTGCAGTGTATAGGTGTGTCACACAAACTTTATCCATGCTCCTCCCAGGGCTGGAAAGGGATTACCGTATTTTTCGCTCCATAAGACGCACCTGACCATAAGACGCAGCTAGTTTTTGGAGGAGGAAAACAAGAAGAAAAAAAATTCTGAAAGAAACAGTGGATGTATGATTTTTGTGGTTCATGCTATGGCCACAGACATGTGATTTGACGGTGAGTTTGGGGTAGCTCAATGCAAAAATCCTGAGGATCCATGTGGATCTGTGCTTTGTAACCACATTTTTGCGCCATTGTGGCCCCACGAAACAGTGGATGCGTGATTTTTTGCGTGCAGGCTGTAGCCATGGACGTGCTATGTGATCTGATGGTGAATTTGGGGTGACCCAATGCAAAAATCCTGAGGATCCATCGGCTTTTACCTCCCCCCTCCCAGGCAGCCTCCTTTATCGCTAGCCTCCCTTATCTCCCTCCCGATCGCTTGCCGACCAGCTGCTCTGTGGCTTCGTTCCAACACCCCCTTCCCTCTTTCTAAAAAAAAAGCACGATCTGCTTTTTGCCCCTGGGCAATTTGGCTCCAGGGACCACGCATTCGCTCCATAAGACACAAAGACATTTCCCCTTACTTTTCAGGAGGAAAAAAGTGCGTCTTATGGAGCAAAAGAATACGGTATTTTAACCTCCGATTTTCTAGTAAAACTGAATTACTGCATCACGAAATGATGCACATCCAAAAAGTGTGCCACCAACATGAAAAGTTTGGGAAGCTCTGCCTTAGAGAGCGGAGAATGCCTATCCATGAAAAGCCATGGTGGAGTTGTTTTCAGGTGGAAACCCGAAAATTCAGTTTCTAAAGGAGATCGCACCTTGGCAGCGGGGAATGTTACATCTGCATTGAGAAAATACACAGGGACTGCTGCACATAGCATGATATATCTGTACAAACCTCCTTTTTTAATATGGTGTCTTACTAGTCCACCGTTCCAGACACCAGAAAGGGAGACCTTCCAAAGGAAGTTAGAAGTCTTACTCTTATGCCTGCATAGGAAAATGAGCATGCTCACTGCTTACATGGCCATAATGCTCTGCATGCAGAATTTGGATTCCTTATTGCAGTACAGGAGCTTATTGGATTGTTTTCTCTGCCTAGGGTTGCATTCCACTACAGTGGTGCCTCGCAAGACAAAATTAATTCGTTCTGCGAGTTTTTTCGTCTTGCGAGTTTTTTCGTCTTGCGAAGCACGGTTTCAATTTTTTCAAAAAAATCTTCAAAAACCTCAAAAAAGGCTACCACACCGCGTGCTATGAGTTGCTCCCCAAAGTCAAGTCGCAACTGCACCTCTTCAAGCAATGCACCCTGTATTACTGTAACGGTTTTAAGAAAAAGGAAACAAACTCGCAAGACGTTTCCGTCTTGCGAAGCAAGCCCATAGGGAAATTCGTCTCGCGAAGCAACTCAAAAAACCAAAAACTCTTTCGTCTTGCGAGTTTTTCATCTTGAGAGGCATTCGTCTTGCGAGGTACCACTGTACATTCATCTATATATGGGCAACGGATCTGGACTTCAAAGTCCATCCGTCCTAAATGTGTCACTGGAAAAAGTGGCATTGGGGATTTTTTTTTAGAGGGGGAGGCACTTTGTTTTAAAGTAAGTGTGCATGGAATCACAGCTGAAATTTCTTCCTTCATATTCCTAATTAACTTTAATTATGCTATCTGCTGATTCATACTAAATACTTCTCCTGGGGGGCGTGTTATGTACTTTTCTCTGTATCCCGCAGAGAATATTGTAGGAATAGGAGAGATAGAATATTGATTTCCCTGTCTCACGGAGCATTTTATTTTTGTTTCAATCTTACTCTCTCCAGTACAGTGGTACTTCAGGTTACAGACACTTCAGGTTACAGACTCCGCTAACCCAGAAATAGCACCTCGGGTTAAGAACTTTGCTTCAGGGTGAGAACAGAAATCGTGCAGTGGCAGCAGCAGGAGGCCCCATTAGCTAAAGTGGTGCTTCAGGTTAAGAACAGTTTCAGGTTAAGAACGGACCTCCAGAACAAATTAAGTTCTTAACCCGAGGTACCACTGTACAGGCATGTCATTTGGGGGGGGGAGATGGGGACAGCTTTATAAATCAGACCATTGGTCCATCTATTTCAACACTCTCTATTTACACTGACTGGCAGCCGCTCTTGAGGAATTGAGGACTTTCCCGGTCCTACCTGGAAATGCTGGGCATTGCACCTAGGAGCTGGCTTCTGCAAACCCTCAGGCTCACAACAAACATACAAGTGCGCGCGCACACATATATGAATTGTAGTGTTGGAAGGGACCCTGAGGGTCATCTAGTCCAACCCCCAGCAATGCAGGAATCTTGCCCACAGCCACCCCTGGGTGGGCTCAAAGCACCAAGGGGTCTTTCTCCCTCCCCTCCCCCCAATAAAATATTTGAGGGGGGCAGGGCTTCCAAAGTTGATGGGCACTGCCATTCAAACGGTGCATGTGCACAATTATGTGGGGTGCGACTTTTATTCCAAGTTGGCACCCAGGCCAGATCATAGCTGTCAACTTTTCCCTTTTCTTGTGAGGAATCCTATTCGGAATAAGGGAATTTCCCTTTAAAAAAGGAAAAAATTGACAGCTATGGGCCAGATGGTTTCAGACGTTAATAACAGCTGGGTGAAGGCAGTCTCTTAAGTTGCAGACTCCTAGCATGCTCTCTCTCTCTCTCTCTGCGTGTGTGTACCTGCAACACAAACCAAAAGGATTGCTAACAAGCACGACCCTAAGCCCATTTGCTCAGAAGCATGTTCCACTGAGGCCAGCTGGGCTCGTACGCTCGAATGCGGGAACTTCACCCCCAACAAAACTCAAGTTTCCGCGACGGGCGTAGTTTCTTGCTCTTTGCAGCGAGCCACGCATTCCCAACCACAGCCCCCACCCACCCCGCATCATCCCCATTGCTTGCATGCCACAGACCCCTGATGGAAGCTTTGCTAGCGGCTACCTCTAAAAGGTCGGTATAGTTAAAGCTATGGTTTTCTCAGTAGTGATGTATGGAAGCGAGAGCTGGACCATAAAGAAGGCTGATCACCGAAGAATTGATGTTTTTGAATTATGGTGCTGGAGGAAACTCTTGAGAGTCCCATGGACTGCAAGAAGATCAAACCTATCCATTCTGAAGGAAATCAGCCCTGAGTGCTCACTGGAAGGACAGATCCTGAAGCTGAGACTCCAATGCTTTGGCCAGCTCATGAGAAGACTCCCTGGAAAAGACCCTGATGTTGGGAAAGATGGAGGGCACAAGGAGAAGGGGACGACAGAGGACGAGATGGTTGGACAGTGTTCTCGAAGCTACCAGCATGAGTTTGACCAGACTGCGGGAGGCAGTGGAAGACAGGAGTGCCTGGCGTGCTCTGGTCCATGGGGTCACAAAGAGTCGGATACGACTAATCGACTAAACAACAACAACAACCTCTAAAAACTCTTGGCGCCGCCCACTTTCCCTTTTGGAATCTTCGCGCCCCCGCCCCGTTTTGATGCCACCGAAAGGATACAATGAGGGGGCCGGGGCGCTTAGCAACAGCCTGCGGGGGGGGGGGGTGGAGGCGTGGCTTCCGCGCTAACTGCCAACTGTTGCCCAAGGTGGGAGGCGGAGGGTTTGGCTGGCTCCTGAGCGCGGGGTGAGCGAGCGGCGAAGGAGGAGGAGCAGGAGAGAGGCCGGTCTTGCTCTCTCGCCCAGCTACGGCCGACGGGCTCCTTCCTCTTCCCGGCGGCTGGGGGGAGCGCAGGCATCGCCTGGATCCGCCGCTGAGCCAGGTAAGGGGAAAGGATGGAGGGGGAAGGAAGGAAATGAATTGGATGCTGCTGCAAAGAGACGCTGGACGGAAAGAAAGGAGCGGGGACTGGGGGGGGGGTCTTCCCTTGCAAAGTTTTTTTTGGGGGGTCTAACAATTGCGGGGGGAGGGCTCTGCTTTCTTTGCAAGGGGGAACCCCCTTATGAAGCCTGGGGTGCGTCTCCAGTCCGGTTGGCCACTGCTTGGGGAATCAGTTGGCTTTAAGCAATCTGCTTCTTCCTAATGTCACCCCTCCTCTCTCCCCCCCCCCCCCCGCGCAACCCCGTTTTCTTCTCCACGAAAGGGAGGAGTGGGCGATCGGCGGAATCGCTTCCTTGCCCGCCCCCCTCCTCTCTCCTCCTTCAACCCTCGTTCCTCTCCGGGAACCTCGAGATACCATCAAAGCGAAATTCTAGCAGGAGAGAGAGAGAGATTTCTTTGTTAGGTCTGGCAACGTCTACTTCTTTTTTCCCTTCTTTTTTTTGCACTCTAGCGCGGGGTGGGAGCCCGTCCACTGCAGCAAGCAGGCAAGTAGATTATCCATATAATTCCCGCAGATTTCACGTTGTTTTTATTTTTAGGTCCTGGGAGAGCGGGCAAGGCTGGCTGGCTGGCTGGCTCCTCGGAGGAAGGGCAGTCGGGAGGCGGCGTGGGTGGGCGCTGGAGGGCGCCGGATCCATGACCTTTCCAGGTTGCGCGTTGCGGTGCGCGGGGCTGCTGCTGTTCCTCCGGATTCCCTGGGAAAGGATCGAGGCGTACCCGGCGCATCAGCCTAGCCAGCTTGGTGCATTATGTTCTCTTGTCTCTCTCTTCCCCCCCTCACCCCCCTCCATGAATGTCGGGCTTGTGAGAGCCGCAAGCCTGGATCCAGCGTCAGTGCTCTCTGTAAGATTTTGTCTTGGGGACCGATTCTGACGCAGGGAATCGGGAAATGAAAAATCAGATCGCTGGCTTCCTGTGATGCGCCTTTGATTACGCAAGCGTCTTACTGCCCAGTTTTGAGGAGATCTACGAATCGGTGTGCCGCACCGAAAAGCACAGATGAGGCTATAAGCAACGTGGTGGCCTCCGGAGGTTGCTGGGACTACAAATCCCATCATCCCTGCCCGTCCACCATTCTGTCCGGGGTTGATGGGAGTTGGGAGTCCAGGCAACATCTGGTTACCATGCAATGTGGCTAGATAGCTCAGTTGGTGGAACATGAGACTCAGGGTTGCGGGTTTGGGCAAAAGACTCCTGCATTGCTGCGGGTTGGACTAGATGACCCTTGTGGTCCCTTCCAGCTCAACGATTCTATGATCTGTGGGCAGGTAGTTGAGTTCAGGATGTTATGTTTTGTTGCTGCCAGTGGTTACATTTGTGCTCTGCATCCTACAATGCGTTCCCAAGGAGTGTTTTGTTGATTAAGTCTTTCCCAATGAAAAATGAAAGACTTCTTGTTTGCATGTTTAGTGGCAATCTGGATAGTTGCCAGAGAGACCCCAGTAGTTTCTTCTACATCACGGTAAATCATTTCTGTTGCAATACCAAAAAAAACCCTCCATAAATTCCTGACTCATTTGCTTGTCACAGCAGCTCTGAGATAGACAGAGACCCACATCGCTAGGGATTTCCACGTGAATCTGGGTCGCCAAACTCAACATGGTAGCCTAGTGTATTTCAGTGGCTGTTTATGGTGGATCTGCATCTTCATATCATGATGGGAGTGGTTTGTCATGGCTCCTTTGAGCAGAGAAATCTTTTGACTCCCGAAATGTGCAAACTATGCATGAACGTGGATGGCAACCTCAGGACAGCTAAGTGAGATTGTAGTACACTGCACAAACAAGCAAGGTGTGAAATTGTATTTGCTGCGCTTATTCCCAAAACATGTGTTTCTGCAAGCTGAGGACTGCAATATTTTAACATCAAGTTTGCCATTTGGCTGATCTGGCCAGGTCTGTGTTTTGCAGTTGCTGTCATATGGGTATACTTGAAAAGGCAGAGTTTCTCAGCAATTCTATATGCTTCCACTTAAAAGGGGGGGGGTGTTTGCTAGTAGCGGAGAGAATCTGAAAAGTCTGGCCAACTTGTGGTTGAGCACTTTTTCGTGACCGCTCCTAAAAATGGAAAGTTTGATTCATTGTTGGCCATTTGTTTTATAATTTTCTGATATATTATGCCTTTACATTTTTTTTAGGAAGTGGTGGTTTATAACTATTTGCTAAAAATAAAATAAAGTTATAAGAAGCTGCTATACTGAGTTGAGCTAGTGGCTGCAACTGCCTATTGGGCATGTTCAGTGCATCTCTGCTGTTCACTAAACTGTCCCAACACAAAAAAGTGTTAGATCCCTTTAGCTCTCCTTCTGTATAATCCACAGGTGCAGCCAGTGGACATTGCTGTCCTCAAACAATGTTGGCATGGCGTACGTGGGGTAGACTAGTTTGGAATCGGTTTTTTAATTGTATTTCAGGGTATCCCCTGGATTCCTTGAGAGGTTGGGGTTCCCCAGTGGGAAGATAAGTGATGGCAAACATGCTTCTTTGAAGAAACCAGCATTCAACCATTCTTGATCTTCCTGTCTAGTGTCCTGCCACTGGGTATGCCCCAAGGAATTAAAACTATATTCCCCATGCGCAGTGTCCAAAATTAGCCAGGCACATTTTGTGACTGGTGGAACCAGTCTGGTAAGTTTCACCATTTCTGCCTATTCCATATGTTTTTGTATCCATCCTTCCTTTGCTGGGCCTGTTTTAATGTGCTGTCAACCACTTTGAGATTTTTTCCTTTAAAATATAAAGTGGCGTAGAAATGGAAATGAACTTCATTGGGAGGAAATGGCTTCGAGACATTATGTGGTGGCAACTGTAACAAAGGTTTAAGGCGGTATTTGGCGATTAGCTTATATATCCGTGTTTCTAACACTGCCCATGGGTGATGTTGAGAGCAAAGGGGAGAGGTGAAGTTTAACACCACTGTGGGTTAAACCACAGAGCCTAGGATTTGCCGATCAGAAGGTCGGCGGTTCGAATCCCCACAATGGGGTGAGCTCCCGTTGCTTGGTCCCTGCTCCTGCCAACCTAGCAGTTTGAAAGCACATCAAAGTGCAAGTAGATAAATAGGTATCGCTCTGGTGGAAAGGTGAACGGCATTTCCGTGCACTGCTCTGGTTCGCCAGAAGCAGCTTAGTCATGCTGGCCACATGACCTGGAAGCTGTACACTGGCTCCCTCGGCCAATAAAGCAAGATGAGCGCCGCAACCCCAGAGTCAGCCACATCTGGACCTAATGGTCAGGGGTCCCTTTACCTTTACTTGCTTCAGCTAACACACTTTCTTAGCCTGGTTCCCTCCAGGTGTTGTTAGACTACAGTTCCCCATAGTGTTCGCCAGCATGACCAATGGTCTGCCATAAGGTGAGTCCACCAAAACTTGGAAGGCACCAGGTTGGGGAAAGCTGAGCGAGACTGTCCCCTGCCCATCACAGGACAACCAGCCATCAACAGGCAGAACTGTGCACCAACTTGCCTCTCACCACCCCCACCAAAAAAACAACCCCAAGGACCTTCCATTACTACTAACTGCCCTGTTGCAAGGAAGATCTGGTGCTGACTCATATGGTTGTTTTCCTTTAGAGTGTGTCGTTCCTTTATCTATCGCATTTTGTGTATGTTGTAAGTCACTAGTCAACAAGCAGAACATAAATCTAATTGATCAAGCCCATCAGAGGTGACCAGCATTTGTATCGGCAGCCAGGTTGCTCCTCTGGTCCCAGAATCCTCTGTGTTGTGCAGGGATCCCTTGCATGCAACTCAGTAGGAGATGGATTCCCCGAAATGAGGGTTGAAGAATCAATGGTGTTGGTGAACAAAAGTTTATCTGTTGCTGCTCAGATACGCTGGGAACTTCCTACCTTGGCAGTTGTTCGACCTTAACCCATGTCTGTGGTTCAGCTTCCTGTTGCACTCATAATTCAAACGAAACACATCTCAGATTGAGTTTTGAAATGAGTTGCTTTTGTACCCCCGTCCTCCTCTCTCTTTTTTAGTGGAAATATCACATTTCGCAAGAACCTGCGAGAGTGTTATGTTTCTGCTCTTTTCCTTCTTTTTGCAAAAAACCTGGGCCTATTGTTCAAAGTGGAATTGCAGTACATTCCCTTAGGGAGGCTCAAGGGGCATGATTTGTTTTGGTTTGGGGTTTTTGCTTGCTTGTGCCACTGTTGCTCACATTTGGGATCTAGAATTAACAACTGTCGCTCACAGTCTGCTGGATCAGATTGGCTCACCATGACCGCAGTGAGTTTTTACCTTCCCTAGTGACATATGCAGTGCTCCCCCCCCCAAAAAAAATGTTTAGGGGTACTCTCATTTTGATTCAAGAAAATCACCATTCGGGGGAAATAAAATCGGGAAAAATAAATACAGTAAACGGACAAAAGTGCAAAGATTCGCAAAATGTTTTGGGGTATGCGTCCCTTTGTCCCCCCAGAAAAAAGCACTGGACACATGCCATAGCTTTATTGCTTTACCAGCCATCCCACAACCTGTGGCTAATAATAATAATAATAATAATAATAATAATAATAATTTATTATTATACCCCACCCATCTGGCTGAGTCTCCCCAGCCACTCTGGGTGGCTCCCAATCAAATGTTAAAAACAGTACAGCACTAAATATTAAAAACTTCCCCAAACAGGGCTGCCTTCAGATGCCTTTTAAAGATAGGATAGCTGCTTATTTCCTTCACATCAGAAGGGAGGGTGTTCCACAGGGTGGGCGCCACTACCGAAGGCCCTCTGTCTGGTTCCCCTCTCGCAATGAGGGAACTGCCAGAAGGCCTATAAGGATGCACATTATAGTCCAAAACCTCAGGAGGGCACCAAGTTTAGGGAAGGCTGATTTTAACCACCTAGATCTAGTTTACTTCTACATGTGTTTCCTGTTTTATAGCGTGGCTGGAGACATGTGCTTTGTGCCTTGGGCAACTCACTTAAACTTGCCCACTAGGCTATGTTCAAGGAAGCTGCCTCCAACATGGGCATGAAAATACTTTCAATTCCCATCTCCATAGGCTTTTTACATGTCAATACTCAATTCTTCCCATCCATAGCTAAGATGCAATCAGAGCAACAAGGAATAAATGATTACTGGAGGGTGGAACATACCTCCTTGTATGTGTTGAACTGCTTTTGCCTTTCCTGGTGGGTTGGGTGGAGACTGTGAGGATGTTTTGTTGGCAGTTTGAATCCCTGCAATGGGGCGAGCTCCCGTTGCTCTGTCTCAGCTCTTGCCAACCTAGCAGTTTGAAAGCACACCAGTGCAAGTAGATAAATAGGTACCACTGTGGCAGGAAGGTGAACGGTGTTTTCATGCGCTCTGGTTTCCGTCACGGTGTTCTGTTGTGCCAGAAGCGGTTTAGTCATGCTGGCCACATGACCCGGGAGGCTGTCTGTGGACTAACGCCGGCTCTCTTGGCTTGAAAATGAGAAGAGCTCCACAACCCCACAGTTGCCTTTGACTGGACTTAACTGTCTGGGGTCCTTTACCTTTAGACCCTTTAAACTACATCATCCATGCTTGCCAAACATGGATCATACAAATGGCACAGGGACCAGATTAGGAGCAGAATCTATTTCTGGCAGGTGGGTTTCATAGAGCGAAGATGCAGAATGGACCTGAGGTTCTTTACCATGTTTCTCCAGTATGCTGTATTCTGACCCTCCTTGTTTGTTCAAACTATGCCCTGCATAGGTGTCTCTGGCCTAAATAAAACAATAGAAATAATTCACAGAGCTTTTTTAAAAAATCTCAATCATAGCAGCAGCATTCAGCCACAATGCTCACTTTGCAGTTATAGCTTTCATTCTCTCTGCAAAGCTTTAAGGCCCGGACAGCTCTGAGCCTCTGGAGCAGCTATGGTCAAGGACCTGTTCTCCACTATGCAGTCGTACCTTGGATCTCAAACGCCTTGGATCTCAAACGCCTTGGCTCCCAAACAACTGAAACCCGAAAGTGAGTGTTCCGGTTTTGGAACGATTTTCGGAAGCCAAACATCCAGCGCAGCTTCCGACTGGCTGCAGGAGCATCCTTCAGCCAATAAGAAGCCACACCTTGGTTTTTTAATGGTTCCCAGAGTCGAATGGACTCCTGGAACACATTCTGTTTGAGAACCAAGGTACAACTGTAGTTGTCTTTCTCTGCTATGGCATGGACACCTGGAGGAGGCTTGCTGTGGAGAACATTGCCCACAACTGGGCTCGTATGGGAGCTGGCTTTCTCTGAAGCATGTTGGTCCCAAGTCATAAAGAGCTTTCAAAGCAAGAACCAGCCCTTAGAATTCAGGCCAGAAGGCTGGCTCATAACCAATGTCTACAAGAAAGAGGGGATATGTTCTGTCTCTCCTGAGAGGTGGGTAGCCATATTCTAATAGGCTCTATGTAGTCAGATCATGCTTGGTTGCTTCAGTCAGTTTGAAAATTCATGGCATAAATCCAGTAGATGTTGCTTGTTCCTTAGTCAGCTGGCTAGTTCAGCTAATTATTAACCTGAGGTCAGACCTGGGAGGTCAGTTGAATTGCGGATATTTCTCTGACTGCTTCAGTCTCTCCCCTCATGTGATCTTTCCTGTATATCTGCTCTTACAGTCATGACAGATCAAATTAGACGTGAGGGTGGCAACCTATGTTTGGAAACATTTCTGCCCGAATCATGTATAGTGGGATCTGATTCTTCACATCCAAAAGAGGCACAGGTTGAAGGGAAACAAAACCTTTGACTGCACTTGCTTCCAGGGTCTTCTAGCCCAGCTGTGCTGATTTCTGCCATTGGATCTAGGCTTGGAGAAAAGAGTTTGAGCAGCAGAGACCACAGAGAGATAAGATGGAGAAGGGTTGGCTCTCTTTAAATCTGACTCTCCACTTCACTGCAGTTGTCTTCCGTGGTCACTTATAATTTAACTGCTGGTGTTACACCAATGCTGACCCTTGATTCAACATTCACAGTTACTAGAGCTATGAGAGACCTGAGAGAAGTATCATAGTGGATACATATTTCAAGAAAGTCCAAAATACTGTGGGACCTCTGGATGCGAACTGGATCCGTTCCGGAGCCCCATTCGCAACCTGAGTAGAACGTAACACGCGACTGCGCATCTGTGCATGTCACATTTTGCTGCTTCCGCACATGCGTGTGACGTCATTTTGAGCATCTGTGCATGCGCGAGTGGTGAAACCCGGAAGTAACATGCTCCGTTACTGCTGGGTCGCCGTGGAGCGCAACCCAAAAATACTTAACCTGAAGCTACTTCAACCCGAGGTATGACTGTAGTGCTAGAACAAGCTTGTGCAAAGTAACAAAAATTCCCAAACAAATCTTAAAACATTGTATCCCACTTTTGAACAGAGAGAATCTGAGAATCTTGTGGTGAAATGCTATGTAGAGTTCTTGCCCTGTTGTTCGCTCCAATAATTATGCATATTTGGTGCAGACAGAATACTTACCTATGACTAGTTTTAACCGTGGTTTGTTGCCTTGCAGTGCAACCCTAGACATGTCTGTTCAGAAGAAAGCCCCATTGAGTTCAGTGAGACTTAGTCACAGGTAACTGTGAATAGTACAAGGTGCGGCCGGAATGTTCAGTGAATGGTCACAGAAATTGAACAGCGAGAAATATTTGAACATACAATCGGCATCGGAAACCCACGAAATGCTCACAGTTGTATACAGAGATGAAGCTGTAACTCGAAAGACAGTGTATGAGTGGTTTAAGCATTTCCGTGAAGGGCGGCAAACCATCAAAGATGACCCTCAGTCTGGCAGACCGTCGATGGGCAGAACGGCAGCAAATGTCGACAGAGTTTGTGAGTTATTGATGCAGAATCGGCATTTGTCCATCTGAATGATGGCGGAAGAATTGCATATTCTGCGTGAAATCCTTACTGAGGTTACTGAGTTCTCCCACCCCTCCATATTCTCCCAATCTGGCCCCACTGGATTTCTTCCTTTTTCCAAAACTGAAATCTGCACTGAAAGGGCACAGATTTCCCAACATTTCACACGTCAAAGCTGGTGTGACGAGGGAACTGAAAGCAGTACGAAAAGACGACTTCTCCAGAAGTTTCCAACAGTTCTGCGGATGTTGTCAACGGTGCATTGTATCAGAGGGGGCCTACTTTGAAGGCCTGTAGGTTTTCCCAGTAGTGATGTATGGAAGTGAGAGCTGGACCATAAAGAAGGCTGATCGCCGAATAATTGATGCTTTTGAATTATGGTGCTGGAGGAGACTCTTGAACTGCAAGAAGATCAAACCTATCCATTCTGAAGGAAATCAGCCCTGAGTGCTCACTGAAAGGACAGATCCTGAAGCTGAGGCTCCAATACTTTGGGCACCTCATGAGAAGAGAAGACTTCCTGGAAAAGACCCTGATGTTGGGAAAGATGGAGGGCACAAGGAGAAGGGGACGACAGAGGATGAGATGGTTGGACAGTGTTCTCGAAGCTACAAGCATGAGTTTGACCAAACTGCGGGAGGCAGTGGAAGACAGGAGTGCCTGGCGTGCCATGGGGTCACGAAGAGTCGGACACGAGTAAACGACTCAACAACAACAAGGCCTGTATGTTCGAATATTTCTTGTTGTGCTATTTCTGTGACCATTCACCAAACTTTATGGTCACACCTTGTATATTGCAGCCTCAATCCTGGTTAGGACCCCCAATTTGCAGTGCAATAGGAACTTTGAAAACTGCCTTCCCCCAAGTCGGACCCATAGTCATCAAGCTCAGTATTGTCTACACCACAGTCTCCCACAACTCCTACCTGGAGATGCTGAAGGTTGAACCTTGGAGCTTCTGCTAGCAAGGCATTTGCTCTGCCACTGAGGCACAAATCATGTTGCACTTTTGCTGTGGTGACCCTGCTCGCCAGAAGTCATGTCCTGGAAGGCAGCACTCAGTAATACTACCTTCTTCTCACATTGCAACCAAAGAGTCTGGGGAGACAGAAACCCTGAACCATGGTTAATGCCAACCATGGTTTGGTCAAATCATTTCAAACCATGGTTTTCTATCCTGCTTTGCAGCCAATCTTTAGCTGTGGCTTAGCTACTGTGACCTGTTTTAGCCACACTTAAAGGAAACAATCCATGGCTAAGCATTATGTCTCCATAGGGGCCGAGTAGTAGACACACTCAGTGAAGTTTCCTCCCATTGCAACTTCCTGGCGTGTGATCACCATATGTTCTTAACCGTACAGTACAAGTCACAAGATGTAGCCTCACTGGAAAGCATGCGTTGGATTTCAGAGCAGTTGCATGTGTTACCACTATCAATTGTAGCAAATCCAACCAGTTGTATGGTTTCAAGTTGCTCACAACTTGGCACCAGGTGTCACGAATCTTTTGCATGTGCTTTCTGTTTTCTTTCTGTTAGTTGCCCTGAACTATTCAAGATATCTATTTATTTGCTCTGTCTGTTTGCTGTGGCGCAAAGAGAGCTCCTGTTTCCTGACCAGCTATAATCTTCTTTGTTTAGCTGTAATGTTTTCTTTATGTTTTTTCGTTTGAGAGCAGAGGACAAAATGCGTTGCTCTTTCTAACAGCAACAGAAATGTGCTATAATGTTAAATTGCCCATTCATTCACCGGGCTAATTAGCAGCTAAATTAACTGGTGGAATTGACTCCCCACCCCCATTTTCTGAATAACAATGCACAGTCCTGACTCCCGATAGAATATTGACTCAGTTACATAATTTGACATGGGTCACTGCTGAGCTAAGTATGATCTAAACAGTATTCTGTCCAAACATTGAGCCATCTTTAGCTGTCTGGCTGTTTTAAATTTGGAAATGACAGCCTTTGTTTTGAAAAGGATAGCCTTGTTCTGCTCTGGTATTAAGGGAAGCCTCTAGCAATTGTTCTGCAGAAGTGCAGCATGGCAGGCTGCTAAAGTTTATCAGCGTGAGAGCTATTTGCAGAAATATCTTCATGTGTTTGGTAAGCGCAAGACAAATTTAAGGCATCCCTTAAAAAAAAACCACAACAGTAACTAAGACTGCAACCCCACAGTCAACAGGGGAAGCCCCATTGAACTCTGTGGAGCCTGCTACTGACCTTTTACAAATCAATTAAATTTATTAGTTGCATGTTACCTGAAGGTTTCAAAGTGATCTACAGCAATAGACACATAATACCATAAGGCAGGCATGTCCAAACTCCCAAGAGACTGAGATCTACTGCCACTATTTAAAAAACTGGCAGTAATCTACCACTTTGGATTCACCAAAGTTGTTGAGCTTTTATTGGGGAGCCAGAGCTGCTGGGATTCTCTTGGGGAGCCAAACGAACAATAAGGATCACACGATCAACCAGGATTGACCAGGGATGCACCCGATCGACCAGTAATTCGCGACCAACCAGTTGGACATGCCTGCCATAACAGAAGGAAAACGGGGGGGGGTGTCTACAATGTATCAATATATCATCTAATATAACATTTGTGAACAAATAAACATAACATAAAAGGTAAAGGGACCCCTGACCATTAGGTCCAGTCGTGGCCGACTCTGGGGTTGTGGCGCTCATCTCGCTTTATTGGCCAAGGGAGCCGGCGTACAGCTTCCGGGTCATGTGGCCAGCATGACTAAGCCGCTTCTGGCGAACCAGAGCAGCGCACAGAAACGCCGTTTACCTTCCTGCCAGAGCGGTACCTATTTATCTACTTGCACTTTGACGTGCTTTCAAACTGTTAGGTTGGCAGGAGCTGGGAGCTCACCCCGTTGCGGGGATTCGAACCGACGACCTTCTGATCGGCAAGTCCTAGGCTCTGTGGTTTAACCTACAGCGCCACCCGCGTCCCTAGAAAACACAACATACCTGCCAATAAAAAAACAACATTAACTATACAGTGGAACCTGGGTTCTCAAACTTAATCCGTTTTGGAAGTCCATTCAACTCCCAAAACTGAGGCGCGGCTTCCGATTGGCTGCAGGAGCTTCCTGCACTCAAGCGGAAGCTGCATTGGACATTCGGCTTCCAAAAAATGTTCAAAAACCGGAACACTTACTTCTCGGTTTTTGGCGTTTGGGAGCCAATTTGTTCATCAACTAAGCTGTTTGAGAATCAACGTTCCACTGTACTAAACAAAGAGCTACTCTCACCCACCAATTAGCAGATAAGCAATTATTCCACTTCTCCCACTTTTAACCCCCCTACCCTAGCCAAAAGTCTGGTATCATAGAATTGTAGAGTTGGAAGGGACCCCGAGGGTCATCTAGTCCAACCCCCTGCGATGCAGGAATCTAAACTAAAGCACCCATGACAGATGGCTTAAAAACGTCCAAGGAAGGAGAGTCTACAACAGGCTTCCTCAACCTCGGCCCTCCAGATGTTTTTGGCCTTCAACTCCCATGATCCCTAGCTAGCAGGACCAGTGGTCAGGGATGATGGGAATTGTGGTCTCAAAACATCTGGAGGGCCAAGGTTGAGGAAGCCTGGTCTACAAACTCCCAAGGGCCAGCTGTTGCAAATAATCAGTTTGTGGGTCCATCCTCCTCCAGAGATGGTCCAGCATCTCTCTTCTCCCCTTCAGAGGGGAGCAGGAGTAAGGCAAAGCAGGAAGATGGTAGCAAAGGATTTACCTGCTTTGCAGTTGGTCTGGGTACCGCTCCTTTTCTGGGGGCTCATGCATAGTGTTACACTATGACACCCAAGTAGCAAAATCTGAGTCGGTTCATTGCGTGAGGTTTAACTAATAGGATATATGCACATGAATAGTGCTAAAGGGGAAAGTGTGTTCCTTTTGCTTTGCTAGGAGATACACATTCGTTTCAACAGACATTTCACATGGGACGTTCTCACTCTTTTCTTCTTACATGGGATAGACCTGAAAAAATGCTGTCAATCAAAATGCTTCCAGTCAATTTGACTGACCGGTTACTGCACCGCAGCCTTAAACTTTATTTTTAAAGCCTCTTTCAGATGCATATTCTTTATCTCAAAGAGTTAAAAGGATGTCAGTGAAAAGTTGTTGGGGTAACTAATTCCTCCTGTCCTGCACTCCTGATCATGAAGCACTGGAAACATTGAGTGTGGATCATTACTAAGCAAATAATTTGGAAGCAGCAAGACTTCCCAAGAGAGGTTATGTTTTAGGAAAGCTTTTAATGCTGAAATACATCTGTGGGTTAAACCACAGAGCCTAGGACTTGCTGATCGGAAGGTCGGCGGTTTGAATCCCCATGACGAGGTGAGCTCCCGTTGCTCGGTCCCTGCTCCTGCCAACCTAGCAGTTCGAAAGCACGTCAAAATGCAAGTAGATAAATAGGTACTGCTCCGGTGGGAAGGTAAATGGCGTTTCCGTGCACTGCTCTGGTTCGCCAGAAGCAGCTTAGTCAAGCTGTACGCCGGCTCCCTCGGCCAATAAAGCGAGATGAGCACCGCAACCCCAGAGTCGATCACGACTGGACCTAATGGTCAGGGGTCCCTTTACCTTTACCTTTACATATTCTAGGCTGAACAGTGTGGCAGATCAAGACAGAAGTGTGGGCAGTTTTGCCATCAAGTTATCTAATTTCTCCTGCTTATAATAAACCATCCTCTTTGGACATATGACCTTTTATCTTATCACATTTTGGAAACACCCGCCGGTCTCTTTTGGTTTTTAAGCTGGAGCCTCTGTTAGTCAGAGTTCTCCTAATTTATATTTAGCAGAAAACTTCTCTTTCATTTTTAGTCTTGTTTCAATTGGCACTCCTTCCCTTTTAACCTGGAGGGTCCCCTCCTCCCTGCTAGCATGCTTTTGTCGATTTCCACACTTATCTGTGGTGTCACAAGAAAGACAAAAAAACCGAGGCTTTTACAAGCATGAACTTGAAGCTTGTAAATGAGATGTTAATTGTTTCCCTGCCTTGGGAACTTGCGAGTGGGTTAATTGCGTTACATTTTAAGGCTCCTTTGAGCATTGGCAACCCATCTTTCCGCAATATCCTTTGTGCGGAGGCAGAAAAATATCCCAGATAATTTGTATCTCCTTAAAGGCAGCTATCTTGGTTTTAAAAACAGATGATGAAATTTGTTGATCGTACGAATGATCGTGTAGTGTTGTACCGTTGGATGTGGTGCCTTGACTGCCATCTGCAAGGGCCTCTTTTCCTTGAAAATGTGCCACCCCAAAAAGGTGCCCTGTTTTTTTTATTAGGTGAACAGAGGGTTCATAGTATGAGTGAGAATGAGAGATGCTTCAGCTGGCTAAAGAGTCCATGAAGTATTAACTTAAGAAATAGGCATGTTGCTGTGGTTCCAGGGGCACATAAAGACATGAGCTTGCATGCTGTTCCCTTGTCCATCTGCTTTTTCTTTCAGTGGTACCTCAGGTTACAGACGCTTCAGGTTACAGACTCCGCTAACCCAGAAATAGTACCTCAGGTGAAGAACTTTGCTTCAGGATGAGAACAGAAATCGTGCAGTGGCGGCGCAGCAGCAGCAGGAGGCCCCATTAGCTAAAGTGGTTCCTCAGGTTAAGAACCGTTTCAGGTTAAGAACGGACCTCCAGAACAAATTAAGTTCTTAACCCGAGGTACCACTGTATGCTAATGGCTTTAGAACCCCCCAATGGGATACATGCTAGAACATATAAGTGTATGACAAGTTCGAAGCAAGGTGGGTGGTATTGCACCTGTTAAATAGGCATAGTTGGCAGCAGGGCCGGATTTAGGTTTGATGAGGCCCTAAGCTACTGAAGGTAATGGGGCCCTTTATATGTCCAGCTGTCCATTGTCAACAACAAATTGTCACTGTTTTTTGTGTTGAATATATGCTATATGGTAATTTATGGACCTAATAGGTATCTAAAGCCATTTGCACATGCAGAATGTAGGCACCCTATATATAGAAATGAGCAAACCAGTGATATTTTAGGGAGCAGGCTAGCAGGCGGGGCCCATTACTTACATCATAGGAGCCTACACAACACAAAACAAAACAAAACAAAACACTGTTGCTGTATGTAGATTTTATTTTATTTGTTTTTTATCTTATATTTTGGAAATGTACATCCAGTTGTTGTTTTTTCCTTTTTGGGCCCCCCAAGAGAGTGGGGCCCTAAGCTATAGCTTGTTTAGCTTATACAGTGGTGCTTTGGGTTACAGATGCTTCAGGATACAGACGCTTCAGGTTACAGACTCTGCTAACCCAGAAATAGTACCTCGGGTTAAGAACGTTGCTTCAGGATGAGAACAGAAATCGTGCAGTGGCAGCGGGAGGCCCCATTAGCTAAAGTGGTTCCTCAGGTTAAGAACCGTTTCAGGTTAAGAACGGACCTCCAGAACGAATTAAGTTCTTAACCCGAGGTACCACTGTACATAAATCCGGCACTAGTTGGCAGGTGAGCTCCAGCGTTCAGTACAATGGGGTGGGTCCATTGTTAGAAGCCCAGATATATAAGCTAGGCACCAAATGGCTCCTTGAACCAGAGTTACAATCACCAAAATGGTATGCTTAGTTGCCATTTTGGGGCCAGACGGCTTGAAAGTCGTATTTTTCAGCAGGACTTTTTGGTTCCTGAAATTCATTCTGGTTGTGCAGATGAAATATAACGGATAGAATTTGACAGGATGTTTTATGCTAGGGTGCGAAAACACAGTGCAGATCCAAGGATTCCCCAGGCATGTACCTCCAGATGGTGGAGAAGTGAGGCACCATCCTGCCACCAGGGCATCTTCACTTGGTTGCAAGTAGCCGATAGTCTGGTGAATTTCAAACCCTGGGTGGGTCACCTCGTTGGATGTTTCCCTCATCTCTCTTTCAAAGCAACTAGCCGGTTCAGCTTACTATGTAGCTGAAGAGTAACGACACAAGGCTCTCCGCATGAAATGTTTTAAGTACAGTGGTGCCTCGCAAGACGAAATTAATCCGTTCCGCGAGTATCTTCATCTAGCGGTTTTTTCGTCTTGTGAAGCAACCCTATTAGCAGCTTAGTGGATTAGCGCTATTAGCGGTTTAGCGGCTATTAAAGGCTTAGCGGCTTAGCTGCTAAAAGGCTATTAAAGGCTTAGCGGCTTAGAAAAAGGGGGGGGAGCGGAAAAAAATCTCAAGACTCGCAAGACATTTTCGTCTTGCGAAGCAAGCCCATAGGGAAATTCGTCCTGCGAAGCGCATTGAAAAACGGAAAACCCTTTCGTCTAGCGGGTTTTCCATCTTGCGAGGCATTCGTCTTGCGGGGCACCACTGTATCAACAACATTGTTAGTGGCCAAATGGTTTCTCTGTCTCACTGCCAGACTGGCATTACAATGGCCACCAAACATCTCGCCAATTATTTCAATGTTCCAGCTGTATCCATATTCTGTCTGCCCTCCCAAGATAATCAGGGTGGTAAAGGTAAAGGGACCCCTGACCATTACGTTCCGTTGTGACCGACTCTGGGGTTGCGGCACTCATCTTGTTTTATTGGCTGAGGGAGCCGGAGTCCAGCTTCCAGGTCATGTGGCCAGCATGACTAAGCCGCTTTTGGCGAACCAGAGCAGCACACGGAAATACCATTCACCTTCCCGCCGGAGTGGTACCTATTTATCTACTTGCACTCTGATGTGCTTTCGAACTGCTAGGTTGGCAGGAGCAGGGACCGAGCAACGGGAGCTCACTCCCTCGCGGGGATTCAAACCGCGACCTGTGGTTTAACCCACAGCGCCACCCGCGTCCCTAATCAGGGTGGTACATATATATATATATATGATAGACTGAGAGGCAACAACTCAGTTCATGCTCAACACCAAACTGTGGTTTTGGGGTTAATCCACTTGCCTGCACATGGGTCACACTGAATGTCTTTGGTGGAAAAGCAACTTGCCCATGGCCATCTAGGAGATCTGCGCTCTCCCATTTTTAACAAAATCGGCTAGGTTTAGCCACAGCCAGCCCCAGTTTAGATTAGGGACGTAGACTGTGAAAGGGGAATAGCTCCTTCTCATTCCTATGTACTGCTTCCCCAGTTACCAGGAAATGCTTTTTGCCACGTGAAAAAACAAAACTGTAACTTTATGGCTAAGCAGCATCTTGAACACAGGTATAAGCTCAATATTTTGTCCATTACAACACACTGTCATTGCTGTGATTTTTAGAGCTAAGCTTCCTTTCCTTTCTGCCTTTTAGTGTCTGGTCCACTTGGCCATAAAACAAGTGATCAAGGCTTCGCTCTCCATCTGCTATGTTCCTTCCCCAAGCTGATGTGTTGTAAATCTGTATCCACTTCTTCAACCTTGAGGCTTATCAAAAATGCACTTCCTCAAAGTGCTTCAGCTCAATGCTGGTTGGAGCCAAGATCTTGTATAGCATCAAACTCACTACCTTGGAGCAAATGTCATAGACATTTTTAGAATTCAGCAAATACTGAAAATCTCTTTCCCCCTGCCCTGTATATTACACTGACTCCTTGTCCAAATCCTATCCCCCTCTGTGCATTAGTTCTCGTTGACCGTTGATGCCTATGAATGTTCCCAAGTCCTGGGAACGTAGGTTAACTTGGTGTGTGTTCTTTTTAATCTCTCCTTGCTCTACTGTTGCCTCATTTTCTGGCCTACAAGCTTTCATACTTTTTCTGGTTGCCTCTGTCTGTCTCTCAATCCAGTATCCCCCTTCGCTTCCCCTAGGGATGAGCTCACTTCTGCCACTGTTTCCTCCTTTGCTATAGTGCAAATACTACCCCAAACTTGAGGCTTGATCTCCCTGAAATCATGGGTATTTTAGGATCACATTTCTGCCACAGTGGTAAGATTTGTTCTGTGCCATGGTGATGGTTGTTTTCCAGCACTTAGGGTGCTTTTTCCATGGCTGTTACTAAGGTTACTTCTGCCACATTCTGGAAGGAAAAATCCAACAGGTTTGGCGTAGGTGTTAAAGCATGTTAAGTGTGAGTTATTGTGTTTACGATTCAAAGAAGATATACCAGGGGTGAAATTTTAGGCAGGGAAGAAGACTGGTTGGTGCCCTTCATTGTGTTTTGTGTCTGCGTGTGATCAATACACAAGACGTAACCGGCTGTACTTTTGAATAAATAAGGTATAATATTCATTGTGTCAAACTATAGATTTCAATGGAAGTCTCATAAAGTTCAACGAGAAAAGCAGAAGACCCAGTGGATCAGTTCATTCTCTAGTCAGTTCATGCATAAGGTCCATACATGTATAAGTATCTATTCCACCTGTCTGTTCATAGAGTCCAATAATCCACATGAAGAGTTGTTACAGTTCCACAGAATCTAAGACAAGGATTTCCAGAATATTAGCCTTGTTTCGCCATCCTAGGCTTCATCATTATAGCAGGCTCTAGGTAATGCGAATAAACTATTATCCTGTAATATTACATATGGTATATACAATTATTTAGGGTTTTTTATATTTATTTTGCTGTAAAAATGTGTGAGATTACGATATTGTATTTATTCGCATTACCTAGAGCCTGTTCTACTGATGAAGCCTAGGATGGCGAAACAAGGCTAATATTCCGGTGATAACGCCTCTTGCTTGCCTGAAGCAAGTGTTTGTTGTGTGTGTGGATGCCTTTTCCGTGGCTGGAATGTACAGTGATGAGTGTTGCATCCATTGCCCCACCTACTTTTGCCTCTGGCCCCGCCTACCACTACTAGCATGTGACTCTTGGGTTGAGAGAGGTGCATGGTGACTTATTTCCAAATATATATCCAGGTATGAAGGTTTTTGTTTTCTTGTAAGATCAAGGATTGGAACACAAAGGATCAGGTGGAAAATAGCACTAGGGGCATGGGTGGTGCTGTGGTCTAAACCACTGAGCCTTGGGCTTGCCGATCAGAAGTTCAGCGGTTCGAATCCCCGCAACGGGGTGAGCTCCTGTTGCTCCTGCCCACCTAGCAATTCAAAAGCACTTCAGGTGCAAGTAGATAAATAGGTACCACTCCGGCGGGAAGGTAAACGGCATTTCTGTGTGCTGCTCTGGTTTGCCAGAAGTGGCTTAGCCATGTTGGTCACACGACTCAGAAGCTGTCTGCGGACAAACGCCGGCTCCCTCGGCCTATAGAGCGAGATGAGTGCCGCAACCCCAGAGTCATCCGCGACTGGACCTAATGGTCAGGGGTACCTTTACCTTTACCTTTATGGCAGATCAGCAAGCCAGCTTGCAAAATATTTTCTCCTTTTCTTCACTTGAAGTATCACCATTTTAGTGAATATCAATCCCATTTTCAGCAACCTGATAAAAATGTTGTAAGGTGCTTTTGTCTTTTCTTTTCACCTCAGAGAACAGGAGTATTTCATTACTTTCTCTTATTTTCTCTCTCTTAGCGCTGTCCTGATTATTGTCTTCTGGCAAGATACTTGGAGGTGCTTTTAACAAGTGTTCAAGTGTGTCAGCATACCCTAGAGTTCTCCAGTCTTCACCTCTGTCCCCTGGGTTTTGAGAAATCGCTAATTGGACTGTGTGTGTAAATGCCTCTTGAGTGAATATGTATTTGTAGGCACACAAGATACCTGTGTGTTGATTCCCTTCACAACAACATCCTATCAAGGCAATAATACCCTATTGAATTCAGGAGTGGTAGCTGTACTATAAATCCAGCCACTTGTGTTGTGGGAACGTAACCCCCACGTAAGTTAGGAGTCACCTGTACAAGTAGGACCTGCAACAAAAATGTGGCAAAGTAGAGGAGTCCTCTTGCTTAGGGTTCTATTCACCCCCTTTCCCAGGATACTCCATTCCAACCACCCCCACTCCCCAACAATTTGCATTCTGTGCCCAGTGAACAGTCTCAACCTCGTTGGGTCAGGTTGTTTTGGGGGGGGGTGAAATATACTCGGAGACACGTAGTGATTTCACACTCTTTATTTCAGCTCGTAACAGTGAATGAATTTCCCCCCAAACCTCAGGCTTTATATACATTATTTGCACAATGGGTCCCGTGTGATTGGCTGGCTCTGCTTCCCTCCTGGAGCTTGATTGGGCTGCTCCTGCAGGCCAATCAGTTGTTGCATTCTAGGATCCTACCGACCTAATAGGCTGATTAACTTCCTCCTGGGTTCTGATTGGGCTACTCCTGCAGGCCAATCAGATAGTTGCATTCTAGGATCCTACCTGCCTATTGTTCTAGGATCCAAGCTCAGTATATAACAGTGGGGTCTCTACCTTTCCTTTTCCCCATTTCTTTGCACTTCTGCAAACCTTTAGGAAAATGCTATCAGTTCTGTGTGTCTTACAGTTGCAGGCTCTACAGTTTTCACACTCAGTCCCCCAAAGTCTGGAGGTACCTCCTTAGAGAGACAAAGACTTCAGTCTACAGTCATAAAAGCTCCACTTGTTTTATTTGTGGATGCATGCAGCCTCCATTACGCTCGTAATATTGGTTTTAGGACTATGTGATCAGACTATATTAGTCTCATTGTTGGACTAACCCACTGTAGTCTACTCTGCTTGATGATAGCTCTCCAGGGTCTCAGGTAAAAGGTAAAGGGACCCCTGACCATTAGGTCCAGTCGTGGCCGACTCTGGGGTTGCGGCGCTCATCTCGCTTTATTGGCCGAGGGAGCCGGTGTACAGCTTCCAGGTCATGTGGCCAGCATGACTAATCCGCTTCTGGCGAACCAGAGCAGCGCACGGAAACGCCATTTACCTTCCCGCCAGAGCGGTACCTATTTATCTACTTGCACTTTGACGTGCTTTCGAACTGCTAGGTTGGCAGGAGCTGGGACCAAGCAACAGGAGCTCACCCCGTCGCGGGGATTTGAACCGCCGACCTTCCGATCGGCAAGTCCTAGGCTCTGTGGTTTAACCCACAGCGCCACCCGCGTCCCAAGGGTCTCAGGAATAGTTCGCATTTTCCATTGTCTGCCTGCCTGGCCCTGTTAACTGGGGGTGCCAGGGTCTGAACTCGAGACTGTTTTGCCTAATTGAGCTAAGATCCCACTGGCCATTGTAAGAGAACAAGGGAGGTGTTCATGGTGAGCACCTCTTTTTCTAGAAAAAGAGCACTGATTTGGGTACCTCTTAGGTTTGAATTGCGCTTCTATGTTTAACAGGCTTTTGACAGCAACGGTGCCATAAAAATATTAAAGCTTCCTTCATACATGGATTTACATGTTGCCAGCGCCACTTTAGTGTTGTTGTTTTCTTCTACTGACAATCCTTTGGGGCGCATTCAAAATGAATTCACAGCAAACACTACCAGGTTTTTTGCTAGTAATAATCAGTGCTTTGAATGGGTCCTCTCATGTTAAGCAGCCTGGCACTTCTGCAAACTGACACATTTGAATGACAGGTAGTGTAAATGCAAACATGCCTGCGCTCCTGGCCCTTTTCCATATTCCAGGCCAGTTTTTCTTTGGCTTTTACCTCCCCCCCAAAAAACACAGTGGAAACTCGCCAGAGCACAAAGCGGCTTTTCATGCGCTTTCCCCTTTCGCCTTCTGCCCACATCATGTCTCCAGTGCAAGGAGCAGCGAGAGCACAAATGAGTTTATTTTCAGGGGTGCCTCTAGATTACAGCTCTTTAAAGGGATATCCTTCCCCCCCAAATTTATTTCTTTTTCTTCTGCTCCAGCCTCTGGCCTTGAATAGTGTCAGTGGAGGTTTTCAGCACCTAGCATTACAGTGGTACCTCGGGTTATATACGCTTCAGGTTACAGACTTCACTAACCCAGAAATAGTACCTCGGGTTAAGAACTTTGCTTCAGGATGAGAACAGAAATCGTGCTCCGGCGGTGCAGCAGCAGCGGGAGGCCCCATTAGCTAAAGTGGTGCTTCAGGTTAAGAACAGTTTCAGGTTAAGTACGGACCTCCGGAACGAATTAAGTACTTAACCTGAGGTACCACTGTATTTGTTCAACTTACAGTGTTAGATGTGAACAGATGCAGGCAATTCATATAGGATGGGCTTGCAGTTACCAGGGTTCAACAGCAAGGTATACATACAGTAGACCCTCGGGTTACTTTACTCTCAAGTAACGTAAACTTCGGCTTGCGAAAGCGGCAAACTCAGGTTTTTTGTACCATTGTATCAAATCCAGTTGAATGTCCCTATTTTCACTGGAGAAATTTTGGAAGGTATTGTCATACACAGAGAGAGTTAATTGTGTCCAAGCCTGCTGAAGCACGCTCAACTTTGTGTTCAATTGCGACCTTCAGTTTTGTCGCATCTACCAAATATTTGGCACTAAGGTGTGCTTTTATACTGTGACCTCAAACTATCCCTCCTGGAATGAGTTGAAACGAAACCTTACTAACTTCTGAGAAGTTTTAATAAGCATCCTTGACACTGGAGATGTTGCTACGTGCCTGGTTGCTAACAGGTCTATTTTAGAGTGACTAATTAAAAATGGTTATTAGCAAAATAAACAGGCCTCGGAATAGGAGTCGTTATCAGATGGTTCTACCTCATGTTTTCTCTGTGTGCGTAAGTGACAATGAAATGTGTTTTCTAAAAAAGCCTTACTTAGCGCAGTTTTGTAGAAAGCCTCCCCCAAAGGACATGCTAGTTGAAATAAAAGTTTTTGCTGATTTTATTTTCTCCAGAGAAGTCACAATCTGTTAATTTTTATATTAACAGCCAGCTTGAATTGCTGTTATATATCTCACAGTGTTTTTTACAGATATTAGGAGGCGTTTTTAATTTATTGTTTATTAATTTACAAAGATTTTGTGGGGGGGCAGGGGGGAGAAGGAATAGGTTTTTGGGTGAAAGGACAGCAAGCTCAGTTCTAGTACGGTGGTACCTCAGGTTACGGACACTTCAGGTTACAGACGCTTCAGGTTACAGACTCCGCTCACCCAGAAATACTACCTCGGGTTAAGAACTTTGCTTCAGGATGAGAACAGAAATTGTTTGGCGGCGGTGCAACAGCGGCGGGAGGCCCCATTAACTAAAGTGGTACTTCAGTTTAAGGTTAAGAACGAACCTCCAGAACGAATTAAGCTCTTAACCTGAGGTACCACTGTACTGAAAACAAATTCCTGGGCTAAGGTACACTTACTGTATTTTTCGCTCTATAGGACGCACCGGACCATAGGACGCACCTTGTTTTAGAGGGGGGGAGCAAGAAAAAAAAATCTCCCCCTCTCTGCGCAGCACCCCTTCAGCGAAGCGGCAGGAGAAACGGAGCTCCTTCTATTTCTCCTCTGCTTGGCTGAAGGGGCGCTGCGCAGCTCTCCCTCTCTGCTGAAGCCGGCAGTCTTGCTCTCCTGGCTTCAGTGAAAAGAACCTGAAGCCTGTGGAGCGCAGCAGGAACTCGCGATGCGCTCCGCAGGCTTCAGGCGGCTATTCCTGAAGCCTGGAGAGCGAGAGGGGTCGGTGCGTACCTACCCCTCTCACTCTCCAGGCTTCAGCGAAAGCAACGCGAAGCCTCCAGAGCGCGGAGGGAGTGCTCCCTCTGCGCTTCGGAGGCTTCGCGTTGCTATCGCTGAAGCCAAGAAGCCTGCATTCGCTCCATAGGACGCACACACATTTCCCCTTAATTTTTGGAGGAAAAAAGTGCATCCTATAGAGCGAAAAATACGGTAATTCTGTTTTGTTCTTTGCCCCTGATGGTAGACCTTGAGGTTCTAAGGGGAGGAAACCAAAGTAGACCTCATAAGCTTTGATTCTGCTTACTTCTGCAATAAGGTATCTGCTCTTGGCAACCTCCCACCACACAATTGTAGTTATCAGCTTTCCACTTCTCCCTCCCTTCAATCTGGCTCCTAGGAAGTCTTGCTGGCTTAAAAGTTTTTTCATGCCTGATGCTAACAGACACTTCCAATAAAATGTTTATAGACCCTCCAAGTATCCCTATTTTCCAGAGACAGTCCCAGATTTACAGAAGCTGTCCCGGTTTCTGATTTGATCTCAGAATGCCCCGCTTTCCCTTAGGACGTCCCTATTTTCATTGGAAAAAAGTTGGAGGGTATGTGTTTCTGTAAAACCATCTCAGTAACCTCGTACAACTGGCCTACTTTTATGTTGTGGTTTCTTCACTTAGTCTGGAAGTTAACCATCTTGCAAGGAGGGGATACTGTGTTAAACGACTCTGGTTTTTCAAAGTTTGTCTGATGGTCTCATATTATGAGCAGCCACTCACAGGACTGGGCAAGACCTATCACTAGTACAGCAACAAGATGTTGCGTAAGTTTTAAAAGTGCAGCCTGTCAATCGGCGTCATCATCATCATCATAAATTTTATTTATACCCCGCCCTCCGCAGCCAAGACCGGGCTCAGGGCAGCTAACACCAGATATAAAAATAATTGATTAAAATACAACTTAAAAACAAGATTAAAATACAACATTAAAATTCAGCCTCATTTCAGTAGAAACTCAAATCAAAAACTTTTTGGGGATGAAAACATCAAAAACGTCATAGACTCAATGGGTCAAAATTTGCATTATAGAAACTTGAATTCAGAGTCTGTAATGGCCCGTGTTTACACCACACAGACACGGAAAGGAGAATTAGAGGACTCTTCTCTGACAGAAAGCTTTGAGTAAGATTTTAGTGCTCAGCGGGTGGATAAAAACGTGTTCTTCCCCATGCCATTTTGCTTACTTCAGTATTTCTGACTCCAAACTCCCACTTTTGTTGCTTTTGTTGACTTATCTTCTGGGGGGAAACTCATAGATAAGAACTTGTCTTTCTGGTACTTGTTTGGTAAATTTTGAAACTTAAGGTACAGTCATTCCTCTTATCAGATCTGAAGTTGCAGGGAGTAAAAGCACTAGGTCAAAAGTGGACATTGTGCTTCCCTGGAGCATGTGGAACTTTAAACTGCAGGCTTGTCTGTTAGCTTTGTACTGTGTTATAAGTGCTTACATCTGCTTTTCCTATTTAGCATACTATATTATTTTACTTGGGACCCCAGGTGCGATTTTGTACCATACCCACTTACCTGGGAATAAGTCACGTTGAATTCAGTGGGGCTGAATTCCACTCTTTGATATGACAGTCCTCCATTACTGTATACAGTGGTACCTCAGGTTACATACGCTTCAGGTTACAGACTCCGCTAACCCAGAAATAGTACCTCAGGTTAAGAACTTTGCTTCAGGATGAGAACAGAAATCGTGCTCTGGCGGTGCAGCGGCAGTGGGAGGCCCCATTAGCTAAAGTGGTGCTTCAGGTTAGGAACAGTTTCAGGTTAAGAACGGACCTCCAGAATGAATTAAGTACTTAACCTGAGGTACCACTGTAATTCCCAAAACTGGAAAAGACAGAGATAGTAGGGGTTTTGCCACTGCCGCCACCCTGATTTTGAAGCTCCAAGCCCAAGCTCTACTGTCTGGCAAAGGGTATATTGCAGATGAAATTTAAATTAGTTTGCTTCGTTCTAATTTGGCAAGCTTTGCTCAGCTTCTGGGCAACCTGTTTGAACCCGCTCAAGTGTCCGAGGCAAAGTCAAGATTACAGTTTTCAAAGTGAGATGGAGTTCAGCATCAGGCGTGCCGACTGAGGCTGCTAGTAGACTTAATGGAAAAGGGCTGTTACCCTCTTCTCCCTATCACATCCATCATCAAGGTTTTATATTCCTCCAATCCTAAAGGCTCTCTTTCCCTCTTTCCCAGGGTCCTGAAATTCAAGACGGCGGCTATTTGGACAGTGAAAGTGCGTACAGTGAATCGGATCTCTTTCCTGATGAAGACAACATGACCTTGGCTCAGCAGGAAGTCCACCATGAGTCCGACATGGACAGTGCCATTGAAAGCGCCCACAGCTCAGAGGTGTCGGATGTGTGTCGGAGTGAGGAGAAGGATGGCATGCTGGGTGGACTCTTCCTGCCTGGAGATAAGTGAGTAGAAAGCTCTTGGGTGTTTCCTATATCACCTTTTCCATACACTTGTACCTCAGGTTACAGACGCTTCAGGTTACAGATGCTTCAGGTTACAGACTTCACTAACCCAGAAATACTACCTCGGGTTAAGAACTTTGCTTCAGGATGAGAACAGAAATTGCGCGGCGGCGGGAGGCCCCATTAGCTAAAGTGGTACCTCAGGTTAAGAACAGTTTCAGGTTAAGAACAGATCTCTGGAATGAATTAAGTTCTTAACCTGAGGTACCACTGGTTCTCAAACTTAATCCATTCCGGAAGTCCGTTCCAAAACAAAAGCATTCCAGAACCAAGCCACGCTTTACCATAGAAAGTCATGCAAAATGGATTAATCCGTTCCAGATTTTTAAAAACAACCCCTAAAACAGCAATGTAACATGAATTTTACTATCTAACGAGACCATTGATCCATAAAATGAAAGCAATAAACAATGTACTGCAGTCACACACAATCAATCAATCAGTAGCTGAACTGGGTTCCACATAGTCACAAAAACAAAAAAGCCACAAAAACACAAAATAAATAGCAAAAACAGACAGACGTAACACTCAAAACGGAAGTGTGGCTCTCAAAACGGAGCATGTTTGGCTTCCAAAAAAAGTTTGCAAACCGGAACACTTACTTCCAGGTTTGCAGTGTTTGGGTTCCAAGTTGCTTGAGGGCGAAGGTGTTTGAGAACCAAGGTACCACTGTATTGCTTCATATATCCCTTTTGGTATTTAACGTCTTGGCCTGGCCCAAAGGTTCCTTTCCCAACAGAACACCTGATGCAAGCACAGAAACACAGAAACTTTTAAGTAGGACCAGGGTGCAGTTTTGCAATAGCTTGCGTCTAGCTATCTAGCTGTGGCCCAGTGGCAACCATTATGAACCAGGGCCGGGCTGCTTATGTAACTGCATAATATGATTTTGTTAAACTGTGTTGGGATTGCAGCAAGCTTTCCGGAATATATTTAATGCCTTGTTTGCCCTGGATTTCATAAAGAGAGCCTAGAGCCAGTGTCTGTAAAATAAAAAAGGGGGGGAGTGGTGTAAGCTGCCCCATGAAGGTGCAGTTCGCTGGGGAAATGTCAAGGACAGCATTTCAGTTGGGAGTGAGGAAGATATTTAATCAGGGAACAGATGCATTTGTGGTTGTGCTTATTGTCTTTTTGCACCCACCTGCAGTTTCAGCTTTTTTAAAGGGGGAGCAAAGGGACAAGTGTCTTTTGATATGCATACCATGCACCACCACTATTACTACTACTACTACTACTACAGTGGTACCTCAGGTTACATACACTTCAGGTTACATACGCTTCAGGTTACAGACTCTGCTAACCCAGAAATAGTACCTCGGGTTAGGAACTTTGCTTCAGGATGAGAACAGAAATTGCGTGGCAGCGGCACAGCAGCAGCAGGAGGCTCCATTAGCTAAAGTGGTGCTTCAGATTAAGGACAGTTTCAGGTTAAGAACGGACCTCTGGAACAAATTAAGTTCTTAACCTGAGGTACCACTGTACTACTGCTCAGGGCTGTCTTTAGCATATCCTGCACCGGGGTGCAAAGAACTGCCCAGCAGTTTTGGGGAGGCAGGCTAAAGTTTTTGAGCTTTGTTTAGGGAGACAGCTCAGATTTGTTTTGCTTTTCTAGAGGGGCATGCAACTCTCTCCCATGCAGGTGGAGGGAGGAGAGCAATCCCCACAGAGGCTTGGGAGGGAAGCTGCGTGCCTCATGTGAGCAGCGTGCATGCGCTGGGCGGGCCTCTCGAAGGCCCGCCAATCCCAGGCACACAAGAGGGCGGAGCCGGCCAGCTGCCTCAGTGCCTGCAGCAGAGAAGCCTGCAGCGCTCTTGACGGGCTCTGCTCTGCTCAGCAGCAGCTGTTGGCTGGCCTCTTCAATCCCCGGACTCCAAATCTCGGCCTGGTGCCCCTGAGAGCCCCGCCCCCAGGTGCCCCACGCTCCTAGCGCTTATGGGTAAGCCGGCCCTGCTACCACCACTACTATACCACCCTATACAGTCATACCTCGGGTTGAAGTTGCTTCAGGTTGAGCTCTTTCGGGTTGCACTCTGCGGCGACCCGGAAGTAACGGAACATGTTACTTCCAGGTTTCGACGCTCACGCATGCGCAGATAGTCAAAATGACGTCACGCATGGAAGCGGCGAATCACGACCCGCAGATCCGGGTTCCGTTTGCTTCTGGATGCGAACGGGGCTCCGGAATGGATCCCGTTCCTATCCAGAGGTACCACTGTACTCACAGATCTCAACATAAAATCACAATACAAAAACACAAAATACATAATAAAAATAAAACCAAGAACAACCCAATAATTCCCCCCTCCCCCCAAGTGGTTTATTATATGCATGCGTATATATCGACAAGATGTACAGAACAAAAGGCATAAAACGGGTGAATCGATGAGAGAAATAGGGGCTCTTGTGGAATAATTTCTCTGCAAGATTATTTTTATTATGTGTTTCAAAAATATACAAATACAACGAAAGAGTCGTAGAAAAGGAGTGAAAACAATCGTGTGGAATAATTGCTTGTTGTCCAAAACCTAGGGGTGGAGTTCTGTCCTTCCCCACTTACGGCCCCAAACTGGATTTCCCTATAAACCTTAGGGTGGCTGTCTGAACACTTCTCTGCCCCATTCACCCCTGTTTTCTCAAAGTGGGCAATGGGTGTGGACCTAAAGGCACCATTTGGCCTTGAATACGGAAGGCGTCCCATTCGAATTGCCTCTTTGCATGTGTTCTGACGTTCCTTTTCTCGCCCTGAGGTCCAGCCCCCTCAACCCTTCCGCGGCATCTGACCTCTCCACCTATTCCACTGCCTCCTTGATCAGTAACGAAGAACAGTTTGAAGACTACGGAGAAGGCGACGATGTGGACTACACTCCCAGCAGCCCTTGCCCCGATGACGAAAGCCGAACAAATGCCTACTCGGACCTTGGCTCATCTGTTTCTTCCAGGTTGGTACCGTATTTTTCGCCCTATAGGGCGCACCGGCCCATAGGGCGCACCTAGGGTTTTTTTTGGGGGGGGAATAAATAAAGAAAAAAAATATATTTCCCCCCCAGGCACGGGGCTGGGGCGGGGGAAGCCCGAGCTTCCCCAGACCCCAGACCCCAGAACAGGCTGCTGTCCGTAAGCCTTGGGAGCCCGGCGGGAACTCCCGCCGGACTCCCCAGGCTTGCAGATATCTGCCCGAAGCCCGGGGCACGCTCTGCTGCGCTCCCTGGGTTTCGGGCTGCAGGCTGCTGTCTGCAAGCCTTGGGAGCCTGGCGCGACTTCCTGCCGGGCTCCCAAGGCTTGTGGATAGCTTCCTGAAGCCTGGAGAGCGAGAGGGGTTGGTGCGCACCGACCTCTCTCGCTCTCCATGCTTCAGCGAAAGCCTGCATTCGCCCCATAGGACACACAAACATTTCCCCTTCATTTTTGGAGGGGAAAAAGTGCGTCCTATAGGGCGAAAAATATGGTAATTTGTGTCACTTAAACCATATCCTTCGCCCCCTGCTTCCTTCCTGGGGGTTGGAGAAACTGCCTCCTTAATATATCCCAGAGACTTTTTTTTCTTTTTCTTTTTTTGGAGTTACTTCCTTTTTCACAAGTATAAAATCCAGCTTTTGCCTCTGCTTTCTCCTTTGTTTTGTTTTTTTGCTTCGGAGAGAACCTTGCAACTATCTTTTCCAAACCCTAAGACAAATTTATGAGTCATGACACACCATGTAATCTCAAATTTACAAAGGTTTTCTTGTGTGTGTTTTTTAAATCACATTTTTTATTAAGTTTTCAAAAATGTAACACATACATTTCAATACACAATAAAACATTTTTTTCTTTGCGATTTTTGTCTACCATATTTTTTGCTCTATAAGATGCACCAGACCACAAGACGCACCTAGTTTTTGGAGGAGGAAAACAAGAAAAAAAATATTCTGAATCTCAGAAGCCAGAACAGCAAGATGGATCGCTGCGCAGTGAAAGCAGCAATCCCTCTTGCTGTTCTGGCTTCTGGGATAGCTGCGCAGCCTGCATTCGCTCCATAAGACGCACACACATTTCCCCTTACTTTTTAGGAGGGAAAAAGTGAGTCTTATATAGCAAAAAATACGGTACTTCCCACCTTCTTTTCCATTGTGTTTTTGTTTCTCTCTCTCTGCTGCACCTTGTCTTCTATATCTTATATCTTAACAACATTACTATAATCTTTTAAGTTCTTCTGTTGCTTGTAGTTTAAATCCTGCTCACATATCCATCATATAATAATATTTCTTTAAATAGTCCGAAAAAGGCTTCCATTCTTCCACAAAACCTGCATCTTTAGGTTCTCTTATTTTGGTTGTTAACTTTGCCAGTTCTGCATAGTCTTACTTATCCATTCTTCTTTGGTGAGAACTTTTGGTTCCTTCCATTTTTGTGTGCATGCTGGGGGGTATTAATATCATTGTTGAAGATGCTATTGGAAAAGCATTTAGGGAGCCTGGATAGCAAAATAATTCTGTACTAGCGTTGCCATATTTCAAAAAGTGAAAATCCAGACACAAACGTTCTTGACTTTTTTTGGCAAAGTAGTTGAGTTTCTGTTTTGGGTTTTGGGGGGGCAAAGTTGTTGAGTTTGTTATTGTTGTTTTCAAAAAAAATTGAAGTTTTAAACATTTCCAGTATGGGCTGCCATACACCTGGGTTTTCAAAAATTCCGCCCAGACGGCAGTTTCGACAGGCTATGTCCAGGAAATTCCAGACATATGGCAGCCCTATCTGTACTAAATCATGATGCTTATTTAAATATCAGAGGTGGTGGTTTATGCGAACAGGGAATCTCCAGAGCAGCTTTCCCCAAGCCAGTGTTCTCTAGCTGTTCTGGACTCCACTGCCATTGAACCCAGCCATTTGCTGGGAGTTAGAACAACATCTCGACGGCATTAGGATGAGGAAGGCTGCTGTAGAGACCTTTAATCCACATGGCATGGATGAACCCCTGAGTTAACAACTATGCATATGATAACACATCCTAAGAGAAAAGTGGAAGTTGGTGGTGTTTCAGTAAGGCCAGAGGAACCTAGGCCAAGCCCTCCTCATACTTGCTTACATAAGTGTAGAGGAAGGAATCAATCCTATCCATCAAGCCAGGCTGTCAACATTGGCTACAGTTTAGCTAATGTTGAATTTCACCTATGGAAGTGTGACGTTATTGGCCAAGTCCTCTTATTCCTCTTGCCGCCTTCATGTAGACATTGAAGGATCAATGAGTTGTTACCAGAGGATGGCAGGTAACTCAGCTCACTGAATCATGACTGAGCACAATCCCCTAGAAGTCTAGGTAAAGGTAAAGGTAAAGGAACCCCTGACCATTAGGTCCAGTCATGACCAACTCTGGGGTTGCAGCGCTCATCTCGCTTTATCGGCCGAGGGAGCTGGCGTACAGCTTCCGGGTCATGTGGCCAGCATGACTAAGCCGCTTCTGGCAAACCAGAGCAGCGCACGGAAATGCCGTTTACCTTCCCGCCGGAGCGGTACCTATTTAACTACATGCACTTTGACGTGCTTTCAAACTGCTAGGTTGGCAGGAGCTAGAACCGAGCAACGGGAGCTCACCCCGTCATGGGGATTCGAACCGCCGACCTTCTGATCAGCAAGCCCTAGGCTCTGTGGTTTAACCCACAGTGCCACCCACCTCCCCTTCTAGAAGTCTACTGTGAAGCAAAGGAGTAAGTTCAATGGCCTTCCTTCCAGGTGAATGGGTATAGGATTGTAGCCTTAATTGACTGAACCATGTACTATATATCCATAATCTATCTTGGTCAAAAGCCAACAGTCAAGAGAAGGAGGACTGGAATGTATGTAGATCAAGGTTTCCCAAACTTGGGTCTCCAGCTGTTTTTGGACTACAGTTCCCATCATTCCAGACCAGTGGCCTTGCTAGCTAGGGAAGATGGGAGTTGTACTCCCAACAGCAGCTGGAGATCCAAGTTTGCAAAACCCTGGTATAAATCAAATATATCTGCACTGGCTCCTACTGTAAAATCTCGCAGATTTGGGGGTCATACTAGGAACAGGGCAATTTAGGCAACAACCTCCTGGGGTTAACACCCTGTTGCAGATGTTGTGGTAAGAGCAAGACTGGTGTCATCATTCAAGAAGGGTGGATTTGATTTATGGCTGGTCCGCACAGGACCCGTTTTAACACCTCTTTGCCTTTCTGCCAACAGTGCCGGCCAGACGCCAAGAAAAATGAGGCATATTTACAATAGCGAGCTGCTGGATGTCTACTGCACACAGTGCTGTAAAAAAATTAACCTGCTGAATGACTTGGAAGCCAGGCTGAAAAACCTGAAAGCAAACAGGTGAGTAAACACAGTGGACTTGCAGGAACATTTCAAGAGTCCTCAAGCAACCCTGGGCATTGATAGTGATGTTATATTAATAACTAGTATTAAATTAAATTAAATAATTAAATTAAATTAAAAATTAGTAATAAATGAAGAAGAATATGATTTTATTATGGCTGCAGGCTGCAATTCTGTGCACACTGAATAGGTTAGTCGGGCTTGCTTCTGAGTAGACCTGCATAGGATTCCCTTTTAGTTGACTTTTCATTGATTGAATAAAGTTGCACATTAGTGAAACCTCAATATCTGTGTCATTGTGAAATTCTGAAAGAAGTATAGGATAAATGGGGGGGGGGGGACTGGATGTACATTTCCAAAATATAAGATAAAGAACACACAAAATAAAACCTACATACAGCAACAGTGTTTTGTGTTGTGTATGGACCTATTAGGTCCATAAATTACCATATAGCATATATTCAACACAAAAAAACAGCGGCAATTTGTTGTTGACAAAGGACAGCTGGACTTATAAAGGGCCCCATTACCTTCAGTGGCTTAGGGCCTCATCAAACCTAGATCTGGCCCTGGCCATAATGCAGAAAACCACAGCTTTGGGTTAACCTTAACTCATCCTATGTTGTTTCTTTTTTTTGTTTGTTTCTTCCAGCCCAAACAGAAAAATAACAAGTACGGCTTTTGGCAGGTAAGAATCAGCGCACATTTCTACCTGAGACTTGACCCTTAAATACAGACTTGTTTAGACATTGGAGGCTTCTCCACTAAAGTGGCTCACAGAGCCCCCTTTCTTACTTCAAAGCAGCTGCTCTCAACCTGCGGGTCCCCAGATGTTGTTGGACTACAACTCCCATCATCCCTGACCACTGGTCATGCTGGCTAGGGATGATGGGAGTTGTAGTCCAACAACATCTGGGGACCCGCAGGTTGAGAAACACTACTCCAAAGGGTCAAAGCAGCTGTCCTCTTGTCTTCCCAACAGGCAACTTTTCCACAACAGCAACTTCAGCAGCAGCAACGGCAGCACAGAGGACTTGTTCAGAGACAGCATAGACTCATGCGATAACGATATCACAGAAAAGGTGAGGTGTCATGTGGAACGGGTGGGGAACCACAACTCCCATCATTCCTGACTTCTAGCTACGCTGGTTGAGGCTGATGGGAGGTGGAGTCCAACAACATCTGGAGGGTCACTGGTTCCCCACCCTGGGGATTTGCTAATGTGCCAAAGCTGCTTTTTCTTATCTGTCAGTTTATAGTCCTGAGGCTTTCCTGAAGTCTCATGCAGTGTGAGTGTGATATACGAGAGCCAGTGTGGTGTAGTGGTTAAGAGCGGTAGACTCGTAATCTGGGGAACCGGGTTCGCGTCCCCGCTCCTCCACATGCAGCTGCTGGGTGACCTTGGGCCAGTCACACTTCTCTGAAGTTTCTCAGCCCCACTCGCCTCACAGAGTGTTTGTTGTGGGGGAGGAAGGGAAAAGGAGATTGTTTGAGACTCCTTCTGGTAGTGATAAAGCGGGATATCAAATCCAAATCCAAACTCTATACAGTCATACCTCATGTTATGTCCGCTTCATGTTACATTATTTCAGGTTACGCCCCGCGGCGACCCGGAAGTACCAGAAAGGGTTACTTCCAGGTTTCGTCGCTGGCACATGCACAGACACGCAGAATGACGTCATGCGCAGAAGCGGCGAATCGCAACCCGCGCATGCGCAGACGCACCGCTGCGGGTTGCGTTCTTTTCATGTTGCGAACGGGCCTCCAGAACGGATCCTGTTCACAACCAGAGGTACCACTGTAGACAGAAACTGGGGAGCAATTTTAAATTAGGGAAAGTTTGGCTGATGAAATAATGCCAAGCTCTTAGCATAATCCCTTTATTTATTTATTTATTTATTTATTTATTTATATTAAATTTGTATGCCACCCGTCATCTCAGGGCGGCTCACAACATAAAATGACAAGACAAAAACATAAAATACATAATAAAAACAACAAGAGGAAAACTACAAAGAATACAAACTATAGAAGAAGAGAACAAGAACATACATTTAAAGTAGATTGGGAAGTGTTTATTGAATATATGGGGGAAAATTGTGTGCATTTGAAAACGTGGGCAGCATTAAGATAAATTCAGCAGTGTAAATAAGTTTTGGTGGATGTAATAATGGAATATTGAATGGTTTCCTTTATATGAGATATGCAGGGATTTATGCTATGCAAAATGAACCACGGAAAGAGAAGAAGGGAAGTCATTTAATATTTTAAGGTTGTTTAAATGAATATTCTAAAATGTAAAACAGAAAATTTAATACAGTGGAACCTTGGTTGTCGAATGCTTCGGAGGCCAAACAATTCAGAACCCGAACACCGACAACCTGGAAGTGAATACTTCCGTTTTTGATCGATTTTTGGAAGCCAAACGGCTTCCGAGGCCCGTTTTTCATTTTTCTCCATTGACTTTGCAGTCAGCCCATTGGTCCTCGGTTTTCGAACGTTTCAGAAGTCGAATGGTCTTCCGGAACGGATGACATTCGAAAACCGAAGTTCCACTGTAAAAAAATATATAGAAAAAACTAGGGGTGGTGAACCCATGCCCTGCAGGCCAAATCAGGCCCACGAAGCAATTTCGGTGGTCCGCCAGCCCCCAGCAGTGGTGAAATTCTTTGTGACACCCAAATTGGTGCTGAATGAGATCTTCTTCTTCCTACACACAGTCAATGCAAGCAGATAAAGTGCACTCTGATACTCTCTCAACATTGCCCAAGCTGTTACTGTTTGTAAACCATTAAGATTAACTCACTCGGTAGAGCATGAGTCTCTTAATCTTAGGGTTGTGGGTTCGAGCCACACATTGGGCAAAAGATTCCTTCATAGCAGGGGGTTGGACTAAATGACCCTCATGGTCCCTTTCCATCTCTATGATTCTAATAAACTGTTAAGGGTCTAACTTTCTCTTTCCTCCAGTCTATATTTTCTGTAAACCCTCTAGCAGTGATGGCCAAAGTTGGCCCTCCAGCTGTTTGGGGACTACAATTCCCATCATCCCTGACCACTGGTCCTGTTAGCTAGGGATGATGGGAGTTGTAGTCCAAAACAGCTGGAGGGCCAACTTTGGCCATCACTGCGTTATGGGCAGAAGCTTACATCCCTGTTCGTTTTTTGTTGTTGTTTAGTCATTTAGTTGTGTCCGACTCTTCATGACCCCCTGGACCAGAGCACGCCAGGCACTCCTGTCTTCCACTGCCTCCCACAGTTTGGTCAAACTCATGCTGGTAGCTTCGAGAACACTGTCCAACCATCTCGTCCTCTGTCGTCCCCTTCTCCATCTTTCCCAACATCAGGGTCTTTTCCAGGAGTCTTCTCTTCTCATGAGGTGGCCAAAGTATTGGAGCCTCAGCTTCAGCATCTGTCCTTCCAGTGAGCACTCAGGACTGATTTCCTTCAGAATGGATAGGTTTGATCTTCTTGCAGTCCATGGGACTCTCAAGAGTCTCCTCCAGCACCATAATTCATATTATACATAATTATACATAATTCGTTTTTATAGGTTACTTATTTAGAGAAAAAGGTGACGGAACTGGAAAATGACAGCATGACAAACGGTGACCTGAAGAGCAAATTGAAACAGGAGAACACACACCTGGTTCACAGGTAATCTAGTATACTGCCTGCTGTTTTGTTTCTGCAGCCTCCACAAAGCCTTATTGAGAACCTTAGGCAGAGCAAGGACTCCAGCAACACTGGAAGTGATAATGATCACTTGGACCTGCTGGCTGTCTGCTTTCAAAACGATTTCCCTCAAAACAGAGATGTTTAGAATATTTGCAAGAGCTGTGATTTGAGGGTGGGCGGGAAAGTCTCTTTAAAAAAAGGAGTTTCTTTGGCCTAAGATTCAGGGTCAGACCAGATGCGATACTCAATGTATTATTAGCAACTGTCTTTTTATTAAATTTTTATGTATTTATTTCATTTTAATATATTTTTAATCGTTTGTTGGAAGCCGCCCAGAATGGCTGGGGAAACCCAGCCAGGTGGGCAGGGTATAAACAATAAATTATTATTATTAAATTATTATTCTAATAGAATAAGAGATCAGCACAATGGACAATTTATGGAAGAGTGGAAGCCTATTTTTCATTATTTGAGAAAATATAACAACCAAATGAAATCGCAGGCAGGATTTACTTCTGTTTGCTGTTTTGGTTTGGTTTGGTTTTCTGCAAAAAAAAATTTGAATGATTTTCCAAATTTTATCCCAATTATACAAATTATTTCTAAATTAATAAAATTTTGTTTAAGTGACTTTCCACACACCGTTCTTGATGTGTCCTTAACATCTGGTGACACTACGTTTACAAATACTGATTTACTTCTAGTTACATTCCGTTTTGCAAAATTATCCCTTAGTCAACAGCAGTACTCTTAACTTATTTATTTGTTTTTATCCTGTATTTTATCCTGTGAACCGCCCTGAGATCTTACGACGAAGGGCGGTATATAAATCAAATACTGTAAATAAATTGGCGACCTTTTTCTTTTTTTGCTTAAGAGTTCACGAACTCGAAGAACTCTTGAAAGACCAAGAGACGTCAGCTGAGCAGACTCTGGAAGAAGAGATAAAGAGGCACAGAGAAGCATATAGCAAGTACGAGAAAGAGAAGAGCACGGAAATCGAACTGCTGAACACAAGGTAATATTCACTGTTACCCTGCTGGCTTTCCTCAGTCATGCTTGCCTCTACGAACGGCTTCGTTTCCAAGTTGCAACAGGGATGACTATCTAGGGAACAAAATGTGAACATGTGAACATAAGCCCCAAGACGAGCAGTCTTCTGAAATGTGGACTATCAAGGTTTCTTTACATGCAGGGACGCGGGTAGCGCTGCGGTCTAAACCACTGAGCCTCTTGGGCCTGCCAATCAGAAGGTAGGCGGTTCGAATCCACACGGCGGGGTGAGCTCCCGTTGCTCTGTCCCTGCTCCTGTCAACCTTGCAGTTTGAAAGCACACCAGTGCAAGTAGATAAATAGGTACCACTGTGGCGGGAAGGTGATCAGTGTTTCCATGCGCTCTGGCTTCTGTCATGGTGTTTCGTTGCACCAGAAGCTGTTTAGTCATGCTGGCCACATGACCCGAAAAGCTGTCTGTGGACAAACGCCGGCTCCCTCGGCCTGAAAGCGAGATGAGCGCCACAACCCCACAGTTGTCTTTGACTGGACTTAACTGAAGAAGAAGAGTTTGGATTTGATATCCTGCTTTATCGCTACCCGAAGGAATCTCAAAGCAGCTAACATTCTCCTTTCCCTTCCTCCCCCACAACAAACACTCTGTGAAGTGAGTGGAACTGAGACTTCAGAGAAGTGTGACTAGCCCAAGGTCACCCAGCAGCTGCAGGTGGAGGAGCAGAGACGTGAACCCGGTTCCCCAGATTACGAGTCCACCACTCTTAACCACTACACCACACTAGTCGCCTTTGACTGGACTTAACCATCCAGGGTCCTTTAACTTTACCTTTTACATGCAGGGAGAAATTCTGTATCTAGGCATTTAAAATCCCATGCCAAGGAAAACTGTATATGCAACCGCATGAAACTTCCCAAAAGCTGCTGTTAATGCAAGATACTTCTCTGTGGTTGCTGTCTGGAACTATGCATCATTGACCTATGCATTTCAAGACATATTTCTCAGCTATAAGGGCTAGAAACTTGTACGCTTTTTCAAAAATAAATCTCTGGAGGGTGAATTCTCAATACCACACTTGGCTCTTCCTCCGTGCTCCTGCAAAATTGCTGCATCCACACAGCCCTAACTAGGCATCTGCAGCAAACTGTTTTATTTCCCTAGGCTTTTAATAAACGTTGGCATTGCTCTTTTGTTCCTGTTTTTATGCTCTTCACTGGGGTATTCTGGCTTGGATTTGTTTTTGGTAATACACTCTGTTTTTAGTTTTGTTTTTATTTTAAGTCTGTTTGTTCAGGCATGTTGGAAACTCACTGGAATGGGAAAGCAGGATTTAAATCGGTTCCTAATGAATACAATAGACAAATGGGGACTCTTTTTCTTGTTATTAGTTTAGAAGGAAACAAACGTATGATAGACCAATTTCTGATAATGGCTGAGAATGTTATGGGTCTTAAGTCACATTTGGGGCGGGGGAGGGAGGGCAAGCAGGCAGGAGAATCTTAGAACAATTTCTTGGGCCAAAGAAAATACTGATTAGAAAAACTGGTACGATTTTTTTAAAAAAACCAGCCCTGACGCTGAGCATTGTGCTTTGAAAATCGGACTCCTCAGTGGCTGATGTTCAGTTGTACGTTGCCAGTTGGCAAAAGAAGATACTTTTTGGGTGCAGTCATTTATTTTTCTCCTTCAATTTCAGGGTTCAGCAGCTCGAAGAGGAAAACTGTGAACTCAAAACCACCGTTTTGCGGCTGAAATCGCAAAGCGAGAAACTGGATGAGGTAATGGAGCTCTTGAATATTTTTATTATTATTTTTTGCCACCTTAACTTTCAATTGCAGCAGGTCTGTCACCTCTTAAGTCCTGACAGGTCTATAGCATGAATTTTGCCTTTATGTCATTTTATTCCTAAAGGTATTTGTAAACTGGCAGCCCCTAATAAAATATCATGACGGCATACAAATCTGCCATTGGATAAAGCTCCTACAGTGGTACCTCAGGTTACATACGCTTCAGGTTACATACGCTTCAGGTTACATACGCTTCAGGTTACAGACTCCACTAACCCAGAAATAGTGCTTCAGGTTAAGAACTTTGCTTCAGGATGAGAACAGAAATCGTGCTCCAGCGGCACGGTGGCAGCAGGAGGCCCCATTAGCTAAAGTGGTGCTTCAGGTTAAGAACAGTTTCAGGTTAAGTACGGACCTCCAGAACTAATTAAGTTATTAACCCGAGGTACCACTGTATTGGCTTCAGTGGATCAAGAAGCCTTCTTATTAAGCATTTGGGAATTGGAAAACCCTGGCATCTACTGTAAATCACAAAGTGATATGCCACCATATCCCAATCTACCATATGCAAACCTCTAGGACAAATAAAACGGGAGGGGAGGCAACTGAGAGCTGATAAATGCCTTTGGAAGAATTGCATGGCAGAGCCCTATGTCATGGGTAGGCAAACTAAGGCCCGGGGGCCGGATCCGGCCCAATCGCCTTCTAATTCTGGCCCACGGACATTCCGGGAACCAGCGTGTTTTTACATGAGTAGAATGTGTCCTTTTATTTGAACTGCATCTCTGGGTTATTTGTGGGGCATAGGAATTCGTTCATTTATTTTTTTAAAAAAAATATAGTCCGGCCCCCTACAAGGTCTGAGGGACAGTGGACCGGCCCCCTGCTGAAAAAGTTTGCTGACCCCTGCCTATGTCATCTGTGCCTCTTATTTTGTTTGTTTGAATTTTTAGGCCACCCTACACCTGGAGGTCTCAGGGCGGTTCACAGAAAAGATCCCAATATATAAAATCAAAATAAAAACAATAACCCAATAACACCCCCCCCAAAAAAGAGCCACATTTTAAAAGGATGTCAATCAGATCAACCAAAGGCCTGGTTAAAAAGGAACATTTTTGCCTGGCGCCTAAAGCTATACAATGAAGGCGCCAGGAGAACTTCCCTGGGGAGAGCATTCCACAGGCAGGGAGCCACTGCAGAGAAGGCCCCGTTCTCGTGTTGCAACCCTCCGGACCTCTCGAGGAGGAGCCACACGAAGGAGGGCCTCAGAAGTTGATCTTAGGGTCTGGGTAGGTTCATATGCAGGCATAGGCAGACTCGGCCCTCCAGATGTTTTGGGACTACAACTCCCATCATCCCTAGCTAACAGGACCAGTGGTCAGGGATGTTGGGAATTGTAGTCTCAAAACATCTGGAGGGCCGAGTTTGCCTGTGCCTGTTCATATGGAACGAGGTGGTCTCTTCAGTTGTAGGAAATTGCCTGTTTTGAATGCTCACCCGTGTTAAAAAAACACTGCCCTAGAAAAACCAACATTCTAGCATTTTTCACAACAGTTTTCTGTACACAAGGAGGGCTTTTTGTTTGATTTGGTGTTTGTTTACATTGGGGGGCATTCAAAACAGTCAAGCCTTCTCCCCTCTGAAATGACACCATTCCAGGAGGCCAAAGACAAAATATTTCTCCCGAATATACAGAGTGACTCTTGGGTTGTAGGCAGCTTGTAACTTCTTTCTTCGTTTTCCTCAGGAGAGGCAGCGAATGTCAGACCGATTGGAAGACACCAGTCTGCGGCTCAAAGATGAGATGGATTTGTATAAAAGGATGATGGACAAGCTGAGACAGAACAGGATGGAATTTAACAAGGAGAGGGAGGCTACTCAAGAGGTAGGTAACCATTTTTAATGGGGCAAGGCTAATATTGCCCGTGTGTAGGGGTAAATAAAGACTGGAACTTCTTAAATAGAAATTGGTTGGCATCCAATTTCTGTCTCAGGAGACAATGGAAGCGTGTGCCTTTGGGGATGAAGTCAAACTGTTGGAAGGTTACAGCAACAGCTGAGAGAGATACAGGACAGACATGTTTTGTTGCAGCTAGGGAGAGGAAGGCGTCCAGTTGTGCTACTGCAGATACACCATGGCGTTGCTTCTCTTTACACTCCCCCCAGAGGTCCTTTCAAAATTGCTCCTTCAGGTATACTGGGCCGAGGCTGTTTAGGGCTTTAAAGGTTGGCACCAACACTTTGAATTGTGTTCGGAAACGTACTGGGAGCCAATGAAGATCTTTCAGGACTGGTGTTATATGGTCTAGGCAGCCAGTCACCAGTCTAGCTGCCACATTCTGGATTAATTTCCAGTTTCCGAGTCACCTTCAAAGGTAGCCCCACATAGAGCGCATTGCAGTAGTCCAAGCAGGAGATAACTAGAGCATGCAGCACTCTAGCGAGACAGTCCGCGGGCAGGTAGGGTCTCAGCCTGCGTACCAGATGGAGCTGGTAGACAGCTGCCCTGGACACAGAATTGACCTGCGCCTCCATGGACAGCTGTGAGTCCAAAATGACTCCCAGGCTGCGCACCTGGTCCTTCAGGGACACAGTCACCCAATTCAGGATCAGGGAGTCCTCCACACCCACCCGCCCCCTGTCCCCCAAGAACAGCACTTCTGTCTTGTCAGGATTCAACCTCAATCCGTCAGCTGCCATCCATCCTCCAACTGCCTCCTCTCCAAAGGCTCAGTTTGAAACAAGCCCAATTCAGACAAGTGAATTGATTCCAGGCGCATGCATGTGGAAAGGGTTCTATCTCTATAGCAGGAAATCAGGAAATGGGTTGTTTTTTTCTGGCTGTGTTGTTGCTTCGTCCTGTCAGGTACATTTTTAAGTTGTCAGTTGGCTGTGTACCGCCAGATTCCGTTCTGTATGTTGGCTTAACAAATTGTATTCTCTGTGTCCTGTTTCTTCTCCCCACACAGCTTATTGAGGATTTGCGGAAGGAGCTGGAACATTTACAGTTGTATAAGCTAGAATGTGAGCGGCCTGGTCGAGGGAGAAGCTCTTCCTCCAGCTTGAGCGAATTCAATGCGAAGACGAGAGAGGTGGAAATGGAACATGAAATTAAAAGGCTAAAGCAGGTGAGGTGTCCTTGGGGCTGGAGTGAGGGAGAGTTAGAAACCTCCATCCCTCTTTCAGGAGGAGCAGAAGAAAGCAACTTTTTCATTGTTGCAATGCGGAAATATCCACAATGGTATGCGGGCTGATGTTTTCATATTCAGCCTGATGCAAAATTTACTTCCTTTCTCCTCTCCTTCCTCTCTTGATAGGAGAATCAGAAGCTTCGTGACCAGAACGATGACCTTAACGGGCAGATTCTTAGTCTTAGTCTTTACGAAGCCAAGAACCTTTTTGCGACACAAACAAAAGCCCAGTCATTGGCCGCTGAAATTGATTCTGCCTCCAGAGATGAGGTAAAGTGTGAAAAAGAAATAGTTTGCAGCTGATTAAGTGAGTGCGCTGGCAGAGCATGTGTGTGCGCATCTACACACACACCACACACACACACACATATGTCTAATAATAATAATAATAATAATAATAGTTTATACTCTACCCATCTGGCTGGGTTTCCCCAGCCACTCTGGGTGGCTCCCAACAGAATATTAAAAACACAATAAAACATCAAACATTCAAAACTTCCCAAAACAGGGCTGCCTTCATATGTCTTCTAAAAGTCAGATACTGTAGTTGTTTATTTCTTTGACATCTGATGGGAGGCCGTTCCACAGAGCAGGCGCCACTACCGAGAAGGCCCTCTGCCTGGTTTCCTGTCACCTCACTTCTCACAGGGAGGGAACCGCCAGAAGGCCCTCGGAGCTGGACCTCAATGTCCGGGCTGAGCGATATTAGTGGTAAGATTGCAATATCTTGAGCAGACAAGATACCGATAGAATTTTGAGACCAGTTTTCTAAGCACTGCCCAGATTTCTGTGGGAGGCTTGCTTTGAAACATTGGTTGGTGTAATAAAAAAACAAAAAAACAGGGCCTCCTTATCATGAAAGGTGGGCAGAATTATTCCAAAGCTGTTCACCTAAGTTAATAAGGGAGGGGGGTCCTGCCACCTGACCTTACAAATACACACAAGGGCTGGGAATTGGTGGGAAAAGGTAGAGGAGGGAGATCAGTCTTTAAAGCCACAACAAAGCGATGATCAAAAGTGGGCATTTATATCCAGCTTAGGGTCCAGGCGGATGATCTTCTGTTTGGCTTGATTAGCACTTGGTCACTCTTATTCCTTTGGCCGAAAGATTGGACCAAAGTGTCCTTTCCCCTCATTTATGCAGTCAACTGGCTGTTGGAGCAGAGTGTTCTTGCTGTTGAAGAACAGGGGAAGGAAGAGCCCCTTCTCTAGCCAACAGATGGGGCAGCCTGCTTAGTCTCCCCTTTGTCATTGTATTCTTCCCGGATGGCTGGGGGAGCAGCCTCCTCGTGGCCCCGAGTGCGAAGTGTGCTGCCTTCAGCTCTGTAGTCACTGGGCGATGTAGAATCGTTGAGTTGGGTCATCTAGTCCAACCCCCTGCAAAACTGGAATCCTACCTGCAGCCACCCCTGGGTGGATTCGAACCACCAACCTTCTGGTTAACAGCCAGACACACTGACCCATTTGAATACAGAGTTAGCAGCAACTGACACCAGCGCTGCACAGCCTTTTGCTAGATTCCTTATGGTCCATTGGTACAGATTACTGGTAAATTTATAAAGCAAGAATGCACAATCAATGAGTTTTTGACGAGTCAGAGCAAACTATAATTAGCAACAGTAATAGTATTAATACCTGCCCCAGCAGCCCTTGCAAGAATTCTGGCACCCAGCAGGCATCAATTGGTCTGCTAGGAAATAACCATGATGGACCATGATCTGTCTTCTCCTTTGCTATATAGAGCAACTGTATTAATATTTCTGTACCATGAGGAACCTTTGCTAAACTAAGCTTTGACTTCTAAGAGAAACTGAAATATCTGTAAAGATAAATAAAAAGCTTTTTTTAAAAAAAATTAAAAAACTTTTTCCAGTTGTATTTTATTCAAGTGAGAATATGATTTGACATTTAGGGAGTTATGGTAAAGGAGCTTTTGCAAGGGGACAGGGATCAAAAGCTGAAGATTCGTGAGATTTCTAAGGCTTATGAACTCCCAGAGTCTCTAAAGGTAAAATGCAATAGATGATACAGACATGCTGTAGCTGTAGCAAACAAATAGTGTGCTGAAAATAAGAAAATCAAGATAGAATTTTCTTTCCTGTATATTGCAGTGTCTTCCAAACTTTATTTATGTGGCAGGACGCGGGTGGCGCTGTGGTCTAAACCACTGAGCCTCTTGGGCTTGCCGATCAGAAGGTTGGCAGTTCGAATCCCCACGATGGAGTGAGTTCCCATTGCTCTGTCCCCGCTCCTGCCATCCTAGTAGTTCAAAAGCACACCAGTGCAAGTAGATAAATAGGTCCGGCTGTGGTGGGAAGGTAAACGGCGTTTCTGTGCGCTGTGGTTTCCGTCACAGTGACCTGTTGTGCCAGAAGTGGTTTAGTCATGCTGGCCACATGACCCGGAAAGCTGTCTGTAGACAAACGCCGGCTCCCTCGGCCTGAAAGCGAGATGAGCGCCGCAACCCCATAGTCGCCTTTGATTGGACTTAATATGGTTTTTCTTGTCTGTCTGCTGCCTGGGTTAAAGTATCCAAAAAGGTAGTTAAATTCATGTCCTTCTTCATACTATACACATAGTTAAACCGGAGAATAAACTTCCCAAAGATGTAGTGCTATCTTTGAATGGCAATGGCGCCCACCTGAGAGGTGCCGGAACTAAGTTCCAGAGGGTTCCGGCTGGAAAAAAGCCCTGACACTTTCCCTCATCCTCCCACCCTTCAAAAAACAACAAAAAGGTTCTGGGTTGAGGAGGGAGAAGGCGCAGCGCCTCATTTGGAAGGGGAAGCGCTTCACCCTTTAAAGTTTGGACACTTTGGGAAAGAAGACAGAGCTAGCTTTTGACTAGCCTGTGTTAAGTTTACGTTCATGCCCACCCTCCTTGAAACTTGTGTGCCTTTCTGCTACTTTGTGGTCTCCCTTTCTCTGCAAATGCACAGCAAGAAAGAGAGGAACCTGTGGCAGAGCTAGGTAAAGGTTGGTTTGGTTCAGTTCTCATTGGGGGGCAAATACAGGGGGATAATAAGAGTTGGGTTTGGAAATATGAGCCTCAACTGCCTTTTTAACCACCTGACCTGTTTGATTCACTGATAGGTGAGGGTGGGGGTGGCGGGGAGAGACCGGGAAATCTCCACACCATCCCCTCCCCTGCCTGGTCCATAAGACGCACCTAGTTTTTAGAAGTGGAATGCAAGGGGGGGGGAAATATTTAAAAGGAGCGCTGAGCAGAGCCTGTATGCATCCCAGGCTCTGCTCAGCGCTCCCTTTCACGAGCCACGTGGAGCGTGTGTGCAGCGCTTGCGGGCTTTTCCCCAAGGAGGGAAAAGCCCCCAAGAGCCACACACATGCTCCGCGCGACTCTTGGGGGCTTTTCCAGGAGGTAGGGGAAGGGGCAGAGGGGCTAAGCCAGAAGCTAGAACAGCAAGAGGGAGCGCTGCACAGCGATCCCTCTTGCTGTTCTGGCTTCTGGGATAGCTGCGCATCCTGCATTCGCTCCATAAGACACACACACATTTCCCCTTACTTTTTAGGAGGGAAAAGGTGTGTCTTATAGAGTGAAAAATACGGTAATCTCCATTAAAATAAGCTGGAGGCCAAAGTGTGCCTGATCGCTCAGTAGCTCGGGGTCTTTATGTCATGTCGCAATGGAGGTTTTTGACGTAGTCCTTCCTCGTTTCAGCTCATGGAAGCCCTCAAAGAACAGGAAGAGATCAACTACAGACTGCGCCAATACATGGACAAGATAATCCTCGCCATTTTAGACCACAACCCATCCATCCTGGAAATAAAAAACTGAAGACTTGGAGCAAGGAAGGAGAAGCAAGTAGAGCCTTGCATCTGATGGGATGCTGTTGGATCCAAATATCACTCTGCTACTGTAAATGAACCTATATATATATATATATACATATATATCCACACACACATATACTATATATATATATATATATATATATATATATATACATATATATATACATATATATATACACACACACTCTCGTGTGGATGCACAGGACGTGTTTATATGAGGTTTGGTACACCTTGTCTGTGAATCATAATTTGGCTCAGTCTGTTTTTTCCCATGCACTTTCACTACTACTTGGGGGTGGAGAGGGAGAGAAGAGACTGTTACGGGATTGTAACGAAATAACCACATAAGTAACTGGATTTGCACTGTTTTTAGATACTGGACACACACACAAAAATGACACTACCTCTAGATGCAAGGAGACAAAGACAATGTGAGCATATCTAGTGCCAGTCCTCCCTACCCCAAACAATGCGGAGTCCCATGTCTTATCAGTTTTCACCCCTTCCTCTTGCCGTAAATGTGTAGCGGGTCCAGGTTTGATTCACAAGCACTGATAGTTTTCCCTTTTTGTCAGTGTTGTGCTACTTAAGCTACAGGAAGGTCAGTGCTGCCAAAAAGAATGTATGTATGATACAGAAGGGGAAAGAGTATAGAATTTTTATTTTTTAAACACACACACGCATTTGCCTCCTCTCTAGAAAAAAACACTTTAAAAATGCTCAAAGTACATGGTTATGAATCCTCTAGGGCAGCTGATAGTATTACGCAGAACCATGTGTCCAAGCATGTAATAGGGCTGGGGTTTTGCCAATGTTGTTCTGAGCTTCACACCTGCAAAGCTGTTTTCAGAATTTTTATTTCTTTTTGCATCGAAATTTTCACTGGGCTTCATCAAGGACTGCTACTGGAGATTAGACTGTTTGCTGCACCAGGCAACAAATGCGAGCTGACTTTGGTCACATGAAACGCACTGTGCTTTCATAGCCTTAGCAGCCGCCGTATTAAAATGTGGGCTTGGCCACCCACTGAAGGCTAGTAAGTTTTCCTAGGGTGGGGTGAGGCTGCGTGCTTTGCAAACAGAAATCAACAAACAGGAGATTTTGTTGCTACTGCTGCTTTAGATCTGGGCAAACCTTCCCCTGCTGATTTGTGCCTATTTACAAAGCCATTCAAGGCGCAAATTAATTTAAGGAATGGGGGCGAACCTACAGATGCTTCATTTAACAGGCATCCAAAGCCTTGCAGAAAGACCTGTGACTGCAGTGAACCATGTGCTTCATTGAAGAACAAAGTTGTTTTTTTAATTCTCTGAAGCATCAGAAACATCGCTTCTTTATACACAACATTTATCCAGCTTGATGGCTCTTGAGCTCAGCTTTTTTGTGAGTCACCAGATATGCAGACACTTGTGCTATTGATTCTGGGTGTGATCACTGGAAAAATCAGGATTGATCACCTCCATCTCCATTGTGTGCCGCCTAAAAGCATTCTCAAGCTCACTCTGGCTTTTCCTTTTCTTTTTTCACTATTTAATCTGGGGTAGGGAACCTGGCGCCCTCCAGTTGTCATTGGATTCCATCTCCCGTCAGCCGTAGTCAGCTTGGCCAATGGTGAGTTCTCCATCCCTAACTTAAAACCACGGCTTTGCAGCGTGGTCATCCATTTTTTTCCATTCCATATCCAAAATAAACCCGTACAAATTTTACCTTTGGGCTGTGGGGAAAATTGGTAGCGAAATAACACCATGTTCCCAGACCATGGTGACTATCATTTTTGGCTTGTCCCAACTCAAAGATGCCTTGTGACAGCTGCTTCACAGATAACACATTAGCTGCATGGACGCAGCATGTCTGTTGTTGAATTTGATAATCAGGCACACACATGTATTAGAGTGGTGGGGTGAGAACTCAATCACATGGGTTTCCTGCTATATCATACTCGATAGTGGTTTACATGCAGAAAATACAGAGTATGTAAAAACATCTGCAAGACTTGGGTGATGCTTGTATCTGTTAGCACCTGTTGCGTATTCATTCCCTAACTGATCACAGCCTTCAGTTCCAAGTTAAAAAACAGACTTGGTGCTGGTGTTTTGTTTTTGTTTTGTTTTAAAAAAGAAAGTTGGATGTGTAGACGTCTAGGGTCTGTAGCTACCAAAAATAAACTGAAAGACAGAATCTCTTGGGTATTAATCATTTTAAAAACCATCTAGCAAAAGTGTTTTGCAATAAAACACTCTCAACCCCTCCGCCCCTCACTTTGATTTCTAGATATAAAATGGTTCTGTGGAAATCATGATCAAAATTCTTCTGCGGTCTCACATTTCATGTCCAAACAAGCATTAGCTTTTTGGGCAACCATATATTTGGCAACCAATGATACATTTTCCTTTCTTTTGGGAAAGAGATGGGAATGCAATTCATAAGCAGAATAGGGGGTGAGCTATCTGAGAGTTAGGAGTCTGCATGCGTTCGACATGCCCATGGTGTTTATTTTGCTCATGTGAAATCGTACGTCTCTCCCTACGCCTTGTGAAGCAGCCTTCTTCCTATATTTGATGTCCTCCCAGATGTTTTGAACTACACCTCTCATCATCCCTGACTGCTGGCTATGCTGGCTGAAGATGATGGGAGCTGGAGGCAAACAACATTTTGGAGGTTTGGGGTAGGCGGCTGAAGAGAAATGCTTGGAAATGTGTTGACTGCGTCTGTAGAAGTTTCATGATCCAAATAACGCATTGGGGTAACTGACACACCTCAAAGAGTAGGGTGGTATTTTGGTGCCTTGGAAAACTCCCTCGCCTCTTTCCACTGCCACCAATGATCTTCCCTATAGGTTCATTGCATCTGAGACCTGGGTGTGCCCTAAAGTAATCTCTTTTTTTCTGAAGCATTTTATTACAGCTACACCCCGGAGCTGTTTAGTATCAAATCTCCTTGATATCAAGCAACTCTTGCCAAACATCTGGGACAAATTCAGCCAGTGTAGTGATATGAAGTAATCTAGAAAACAAACCAGGTTGTCTCCTTTGAAAATATGCCTCTATATTATTATTCGAATGGATATATCTAAGACAAAACAGGATGCCCTTCGCAAAAGGGCAGAAAGGAGATTCAATGGTTTCCTCTGAAATGGGATGACCAATTAAAATTATTCTATATGAAGCATTCATGTATGCTTCTGTATCTCTTTCCTTTGGGTTGCCTACAGATTTCTCCCACTTGATGTTGTGATCATATACACTAGCCTTTCTCAACCTGTGGGTCCCCAGATGTTGTTGAACTACAACTCCCATCACCCCAGCTAACAAGGCCAGAGCTCAGGGATGATGGGAGTTGTAGTCCAACAACATCTGGGGACCCACAGGTTGAGAACCGCTGATATACACCAATAGCAAGCTACCTGAGTCCCCATCCTTATGAAGCCAAAACAGCACCATCTAAACATAAGGGGCAGGGGCAGGCTTGAGGGAACCCAAAGTTTACAGACATTTACAAAGATCTTTAGGAAGCAAACTCTGAGGAGGAATGTCCAGTGCATCTCAAGTGAGGACTGAGTATGTGCAGAGGGCACTGAATGTTGATTTACGGTCAGGGATGAAAATGGGGAGTTTCTTGGGGGAAGGCACGGCTGACTGGAACCCTGAACAGGAGTGCGCCACACAGCAGCTTCCTATTGCATGTCCAACATGTAAGGGATCAGTTGCAGTTGATTGAAGAGATGGGGAGGTGGATGAATGGGATGGGAATCGTGAGAGACCAAGAAGAGTATTAGCAGAATCAAACCAGGAAGCCACCAAAATTATCCATAGCACTGGGAAAAGGAACAGGATGGGCCGTGGTAATATTGGTGACAACAGAGCAAGAAACTCTTAAAGTCCAGTGGATATTTATGGTGGTTCCCACCGCAGTGAGAGTAATAATAATGGGATGATAATTATGCCAGCTCTTTTTAATTGCATTGCCGGCTGAACTTCTAACATCACCTCTCCATTTGGCACGCGTAACTTTTGAAATGCACTGACGTTTACTTCCGCCGTGCCACTGCTAAATTTTTAGTTGCGGTCATGGCAGAAAGCAAAAAAAGTTTGCTGAACTTCATCTCTCTCTCCCCTGCCCCCACTTTGTGGTGTGTATTACAGTGGTACCTTGGGTTACATACGCTTCAGGTTACATACGCTTCAGGTTACAGACTCCACTAACCCAGAAATATTACCTCGGGTTAAGAACTTTGCTTCAGGATGAGAACAGAAATCGTGCTCTGGCGGCGCAGCGGCAGCAGGAGGCCCCATTAGCTAAAGTGGTGCTTCAGGTTAAGAACAGTTTCAGGTTAAGAATGGACCTCCGGAACAAATTAAGTACTTAACCCAAGGTACCACTGTATGGGGATTTACAAAATCATTATCATTGACTGCAACCACTGTTAATAACCTTTTGAAGGCTCTTTGAAGGAACAAAAGTAATTAGCCACCGTATGTGAACAGCAAAAAAAAGGGGTTCATTTTAAGTATCGCATCGTCTTTTGACCATTCACCTTTTTAATACATTGGCATTCAAGGGAAGATAAAAGTAATGGTGGAGTATTGCAGGTCCTCATTAGTTTGAACGTTACCGAAGCTTTCGCTTTTGCGAGTCATTCTAACAACGCATACAACATTTCTTCTGTCTTTGACAGAGCGGTCGGATGCTTATTCCCCAACATTTCCAGCGTTCGGACTTTGATAGCATAGGGTTGCTGATTTCATTGACATACCGTATTTTTTGCTCTATAAGACTCACTTTTTCCCTCCTAAAAAGTAAGGGAAAATGTGTGTGCGTCTTATGGAGCGAATACAGGCTGCGCAGCTATCCCAGAAGCCAGAGCAGCAAAAGGGATTGCTGCTTTCACTGCACAGCTGTTCTGGCTTCTGAGAGTCAGAATTATTATTTTTTTCTTGTTTTCCTCCTCCAAAAAACTAGGTGCGTCTTGTGGTCTGGTGCGTCTTATAGAGCGAAAAATACGGTCGCTTTTACAGGATGGAGGTAGAGTGAATCTGAACGTTTGATTCCATACGGGTTTGAGCAATGGGTCATTTATGCTTTGTTTTACAAGTTGGAAGAACCAGGCATGTTGAGATTTGTGAGACAAGAGAGGGAGAAGTTGGAAGGACACAGAGAGAAAGTGCTGGTTTTGGCCAGGGCAGAAAGCGATAGGTTGGAAACTGCTAGATGAATTCTAGCATCGGGAATACTGCGTTGCTAGAAGTATGTAAAAAAGTTTGGGTAAGCATGTGTTGGGGGCAGGCTTGGGTTAGAGCAGGGTCTCCAGCTGTTTTGGACTACAACTCCCATCATCCTTAGCTAGCAGGACCAGTGGTCAGGGATGATGGGAGTTGTTGTCCAAAAGCAGCTGGAGACCCAAGTTTGGGAAACCCTGGGTTAGAGGATACGGGATTCCTAACAAGGTGATGGATGATTACTTATTTGGGTCCTCAGCCCAAATACTTTATATTCGAGGCAATCTTTAAATGAAACTTTGTAAGTGATGTGCCAATGCTGTTGTGTTTGTTTATAGCTATTGATGTATATGATGTTGCACAGAAATACGTTTGGGGGTTTTTCAAGTGGCTATCTGAATTTCTTAAACCGACCGTCTTTGTTATATTCTAGTGCCTTTGCCTTAGTGCAGTCGTTTTGAAAGAGTAGCTAGAGCAAGGATGGAGCACTTTGGACCTTCCAGATGTTGCTGCATCACCTCTGACCATTCCCTGTGCTGCAACATCTGGAAGACCACAAGTTCCACATCCTTGGGGTGAAAAAAGAGAGAATATTCTTGTTTGTGTGGGAGCTTTAAAAAAAAAAAAGTTTGAGATGTGCTAATGTATGTACAAAACACTTGAAAGGCAAATGTTGATAAATGTGGAGTCCAGGAATCAGGAGGAGTAATTGGATAATCTGTTGTAATCTGTTCCAGCCCTTTTACCAAGGGAGAGTAGGGTTGGCTAGTGTGTTTTGTCATCCCCCACCCGCATAGGATGCCTTAAGCCAGGCATGGCCAAACTTGGCCTTCCAACTATTTTTTAGGACTACAATCCCTAGCTAACAGGACCAGTGGTCAGGGATTATGGGAATTGTAGTCCCAAAACAGCTGGAGGGCCAAGTTTGGCCATGCCTGCCTTAGGCTGTACTCTTACATCTACTTAGCTTAGACTGCAGCCTTTCTCAACCTGTGGGTCCCCAGATGTTGTTGAACTACAACTCCCATCCCCCCTAGTTAGCAAGGCCAGAGCTCAGGGATGATGGGAGTTGTAGTCCAACATCTGGGGACCACAGGTTGAGAACCGCTGGCTTGGAGAAAGCCCCACTGAATTCAGCTGGACTTACTTCTGAGTAGGCATGTATAGGATTGCACTGTTAGGTAGGATTCCAGTTGCTGGTTGAGTGTTAACCTGTCAAGTCCCATCCACTTGGCTGTACGTGTGAATTGGCTCGGATTAAGCCCTTGCATAGAATTGCACACGCCCACATCAGCACTGTCAAATCGAAGGAATGGATCTGTCCAAGAGCTTCAGTTGTCAGAGACCTTTTAAGGCACATTGCTTCTAATCTCAGAGAGGAGAAGCCATAGTTGCCTAAGTCATTTCTCCAATCATTGGCATGAACCAACTGATCCAAAACAACTGCAAGGGGCTCTCCCTGCTCATTTGGCTTATCAATGTGTGGTGCAATCCATAAACCAGTTTACAGTGAAGCTGTCAGTGTAATCCACTTACAAACCTAAGTATGCAGTCCAGTTGAAAGCCTTGGGTATCACTACTAGGCCATACCATGACCCAGTTGTGGTCCTGCCATTACTAAAAAAATGTTAAGGAGGGAGAAGAACCTGCTCCCACACAAAAAAATGGAATGACTTTCCATCATATTTCCAGAGCCTTCATGGGCTTGTTTGACTGAATGGGCTTTTTTTGTACTGGCACCCCTGTTGTGCCAGTACCACTTATGCATTTCCCCCCAGTGCCATACAGAATAGATGAGGTATTGATTTGATAAGCAAAGGACTCTAGCAGTTGTCAACAAAAGGCAGCTGTTGCATGATCTAATGTGTTGAAGGAATTCTGCATTTACTTAACCAATGCAGCTGGCAGAAGCTGTCCTTTTTGGTTTTTTCAGACTCTTAATCTTCATCTCCCCAGCCAACCCCAAGTGCCACTGACCTTCAAGGCCTAAGAGCTTGTAAACTGCAAAAGGAATAGCTACACCTATGAGCAGCAAAACGTTGCCACTGGTATGACAACAGTTTGTAACCCAGCCGGAGTCTCTGCCAGGGGTTTAAGATGCATCCATCATATTGGAATTTCCATGGGAGTCCTGTTGTTGACTTGGTATGAATGTTATGGATGTCGCAGGGTGGTTAAGGCAACAATTCTGGATGGAAGTTGGAACTCTGGAATATAGGATGTCTAGCAAGTTTTTCCACGTGCATAATATACAGCTGTTAAGAACCCCAGGAAGCAATATTAATCTCTAGGGCTGCCATACGCCCAAGGGGAATTTCTGAAAGGTGGTGCTAGACCTTGAAAAATTGTGGGGGGGGGTTGGCATTTTTGTAGAAAATTTGGGGTCTTTCAGGGTGTCCTGGTTTTTACTTTTGGAAATACGAAACCCTATTTATCTCAGACAAGAGATATTCATGTAATGCATTTGTGTGGCCAAACAAGCTCATTGATATTCCTGTCTAGTGGGAAAAAGAGCTAATACTGAAGCACTTCCTAATGCATTTTGAATGTGTGTGCGTGCATATAAACTACAAATGTCAAAATGTGAATTTTAAGTATGAATGTTGAATTCTAAAATTCAAAATGCGAATTTTAGTTTTCAAATATTAATGGGGAAACTTGACAGCCGGAAGCCAACCTTGCACCAGAGTTTTGGGACCTGGGCAGCAAAAGTCAAATTGTAGTAATAAGTATTGAAGTCCAAAATCCATACTTTAGCAGTAGGTCTTTATTAGGTCCAGCCGTAATTTTGTAAAAGAGTAGCAAGCTTTTGAGTTCTTCAGAACTCCTCCATCAGGTAAGTGTTCTGGAGAACTTGAAAGTTTGGCGATAATTTGTGCAACATTTTGTTTGGTCCTGATAAAGGTTTACTGCCCGATGACAGATTTGTGAGTTTTCAATTACGGGCCAGCAGAGCTACCCTTTTTGCTTTGGAAGAATTTTAAGGCATATCATTCGCTTGAAAATTCCTGCACTTCCAGACCAACCGATGTTGGGGAATCCATCCGATTCTGTCACTGTGCAAACTTCTGGTTCTTGTGAAGATGTGAGCGGTGTGGCACGACGCACTGTGGAGAAGGACCATTCATGCAGCCAAGCACTTATACAAAGGCCAAGCCGAAAAGGGAGAATGGGAGGGATGCCTCCATTCAACCGACTGGACTCATAACCACGCCTATCATCTGTGTAAATCCCTTGGCTTTTATCACTGCTCACTCTTCCTTGTAAAATTAACATTCTGCCCATCCGAAGCTAGCAAGGCAGGGAAAATAGCTTCGACCTGCGCCAACATGCTAGTATGCTACAAGGCAGTACCTACATTGCACTTCCAGTATGTTTCAGTACAGGTAATATACTGAGAATTACTGTAAACTTTTTATTGTGGGAGCCATTAGTTTTGCTTTGTTGCACAGATTGTACTTACGAGTTAAGGGTTGGGGTTTAAAAAGAAAAATTGTTTTGCATGACTATAGTTTTTAGTATTTGTGCCTTTAACTTGCCTGTCATGACTGTGTACAGATACCTTTCCCGTCCCCCTTTGATCATCTGTTTGCAACGACTTTTACATATTTTGGTCTTTTGTTTGTTTCTGCTCATTCTTATTCCTCCTGGCACCTGCCCCCCCACCCCCCACAAATCTATTGTAAATGTGTATATATAAAATAGAACTGGATTTGTATTTCACGTGCCTCAATAGGATGTAAAAAAAAAAAAAAGAAACGATTCATTTTGTACAGATTTTTCTTTAGCACTAATTCTTGTCCTGAGTATTTAGCAACTTAAAAATAACTAGTTGACCTGTCTTATTTCTGAATCGTTGTGTTGAATGGAAGGAGTAATTCTCTCTTGTCTTTTTGAAAAAGCAGTGTGTGCGTGCCACACAAACACAAACACACACACGTTGTAATCCTTCCTGGTTTGCTGTTATTTATAATGAGTTACATCTATTTTGTCCATTCTTAGAGTCTGGAACAAATTAAATTGATGGCTTACGCAAACATGCTGTTCATTCGCTTTTAAGAAGGGGTTATCATCTTCCTCCTTTCAAATGAACTGGACACTTCTGCAGAGATGCTTCCTATTCCATGCCGCTTATTCTCAGCCTTATCCTGTTCCACACCCCTGACCTGCAATATGGGCTTGACAACACTCACCTAGCTTGAAAGAATTGCTAAAAATAATAATATGTGAAGTGCTCCCGAGAGCTTGATGTGTGCTTGTAGCCTGTCAGCTTCGCCTTTGAGCCACTGCCAACGACTGGGCTCAACCTCTTCAGCCCCGACTGGGCACTCCCAGAGACCTTCCACTGCGGGGAGCAGGTCTAAGTGCTGTGGACTCACAACTTAGAGCTGTGAGCACCAAACTCAATTCCAAAAGTCAGCGGAGCACAGCAGAGTATGAACCACACGAACGACAGCTCTGAAGTATAACTTCTTTTATTCTTTACAGCTACTGCATAAACTAACTAAAGACTAATCGGAGACGCTGGACTGCATGAGTGTTAGAGCTGCTTGAGCAGTCACCTTATCTATATACAGATAACACTCAGACTCCCACAGGCTGGAGCAGAAGAAGCGATGAGCAAAGTCCGCTCCCTCATTTCTGAAACATTGTCAGCAGATTCTTGCAATGGGAGGGGGAAAACAACCTCATAGCCCATAGCCTAATATTATGTGGCCCGTAACACGCTGCAGATCCACCTCTCCGAGAATCTCTTCCCCCTCTGTGTTCGCATGTGTGAAAAGAGTTGGGGAGCGAAGGAGATGGGGTAGCACAGAAGGAAGGTGATGGGATGGCCCAGGTAATATGGGGCAGGGAAAGGGGGCGGCACACTGTGTGTGTGTGTGTGTGTGTGTGTGTGTGTGTGTGTGTGTGTAATATACTCGGAGTCGAGAGTGGATTTCATGCTCTTTATTCAGCTCATAATGGGAGGAGGAATGAAAGTTCCCCCAAAGTATCTGCTTTATATACATTATTAACACAATGGGCTGCACGTGATTGGCTAATTCCGGAATTCTCCTGTAGGCCAATCAGGTTGCGGATTCACTTCCATCTGGAGCTGGATTGGGTGGCTCCTGCAGACGCATCAAACTGCTGCATTGTTCTAGGACCAATCAGACTGCTGCATTTTAGATCCTATTCAACTCAGTACATAACAGAGAGAGAGAGAGAGAGAGAGAGAGAGAGAGAGAGAGAGAGAGAGGTGGAGCAGCAGAAAGAATGAGGGACGGTGCCGAAGTAGAGAGAGAAAATTTCTGCTGCAACCTCCAATCACTTTGTCTCTAGCTGTCCCTGCTACTGGAATGTGGCCCAGGCAGATTATCCCCAAGGAAATGCACCCTTGACAGAAGAATACGACTCCATCAGCATTAATGGCTGCATTAATTCCATCCACACTTATTGGAACATAAGAAGTTGCCTTATACCCGCTCAGATTACCTATCCAAGCCCATCATTTGCTACTCTGTGGCTTTCCAGAGTCTCAGGTAGAAAGAGGTATTCCCATACCTGAACTTTTTATCTGCAGAGGACAGGATTGAATGAGAGCCCTTCGTTATGTTAAGCATAGACTCTGCTCTTGCGCTAAAGGCCAGCCCTCTGTTTCCCAAACTTGGGTCTCCAGCTGTTTGGGGACTACAACTCCCATCATCTCCAGCTACCAGGACCAGTGGTCAGGGATGCCCAGTTCGCCCAGTTGCAAAGGGATAATATCAACAATATGGAAAACGCTACTTCAAGACTCTACAAAATCCCTCCCCGCAAAATCCCTCACCCCAGTTTGCCCAGTTTGGTATTGGGGACACCTGACTTGCCAGTACTGTAAAAGTAAAGGGACCCCTGACCGTTAGGTCCAGTCGCAGACGACTCTGGGGTTGCGGCACTCATCTCGCTTTACTAGCCGAGGAAGCCAGCGTACAGCTTTCGGGTCATGTGGCCAGCATGACTAAGCCACTTCTGGCGAACCAGAGCAGCGCATAGAAACGCCATTTACCTTCCCGCCGGAGTGGTATCTATTTATCTACTTGCACTTTGATGTGCTATCGAACTGCTAGGTGGGCAGAAGCAGGGACTGAGCAATGGGAGCTCACCCCGTCACGGGGATTCGAACCGCCGACCTGATCGGCAAGCTCTAGGCTCTGTGGTTTAACCCACAGCACCACCCACGTCCCACCAGTACTGTAGTACAAGTGAAAAGGATCTAGGGGTCTTAGTAAACCACAAGCTTAATATGAGTCGACAGTGTGAAGCAGCAACCAAAAAGGCTTATTTGTTCTATCTGGTGGCAAGCACCACTGGCGTAGACGGTGTGTCAAGTCCAAATTCCAGCAGTCAGGAAACACAGACCAGAGTCAAACCCAAACCACAGTCCTGCAGAGATCCTAGAACAGGCTTCCTCAAACTCTGCCCTCCAGATGATTTTGGCCTACAACTCCCATGATCCCTAGCTAGCAGGACCAGTGGTCAGGGATGATGGGAGTTGTAGTCTCAAAACATCTGGAGGGCCGAGGTTGAGGAAGCCTGTCCTAGAACATCCAAGCCAAGGTCCATCAACATGGACCTTGCAGGTGAGCAGAAACAGAGCCTCAGCTCTGCTTCCCTTTTAAGCCTTGCAAATTGATTGTAGCCTCTGGGCTTGATGAGGCAGGTGACCTTCACCTGTCCTGAGCCAACTCCAGCTGAAGAATAACACACCTCCTCCCCAAGCTAGCAAGCCCAACCTTTGGCTGTGGGTCCTTGCCTGCCTTAGCCTTCCAGAGCGTACCTCCTGCTGCTCCCTCTGCCTCACAGCCCACCTTGTTCTGGCCTGAGACCAGCAGCTGTGAGTCTTGCCTGATCTGCCCCCTGCCTGGGTTAGGGTGGGCTGTCTTCCCAGCTTACCCATGGTGTGCACAGGAAATCGAGTTCACGAGATAATGAAATTCCAAGAGATCTCTCAAGAGAGAAAAACACAAGGTTTGATGGAGATCTTTTCCAGCGACCTACTTCTCAAAGAACATCACCTCACCTCTGCAGGTCCCGTACAGCTAAGACAACAAACGTTGCTGAGGAGGTAAGAGTTCCTGTGCTCTCATTATAGTTAATAAAGCACATGTGGGGAGGGGTGAGCTAAAATAGGAGACGCATTTTGTGTAAAACTTTGCCTCTGGGAAATTTACCTGCACCACATTCTAGCAAAATAATTCTCTCCCCCCCCCCACCTTACAGAATGAGGGCGGTGAGTATTGCCCTCATTCTGATTTGATTTACAGTGGTACCTCGGGTTACATACGCTTCAGGTTACATACGCTTCAGGTTACAGACTCCGCTAACCCAGAAATAGTACTTCAGGTTAAGAACTTTGCTTCAGGATGAGAACAGAAATCGTGCTCCGGCGGCACGGCAGCAGCAGGAGGCCCGATTAGCTAAAGTGGTGCGTCAGGTTAAGAACAGTTTCAGGTTAAGAACAGACCTCCAGAATGAATTAAGTACTTAACCCGAGGTACCTCTGTATTTGCATCTAACGAAATTGTATAGATCGGAATAGCTATACCATTAAAACTATTCAGACCGAGAGCAATTGCTTTCTGTCCTCACTTTGATTTGGCTTTGCAGCCAAATTTTTTTAGTTTGGTGACAAGCAGCTGTATGAAAAGCTCTTGATCAAAAGCTGTAAGGTTCCTGATTTTGAGCAAGCCTACAGCTGTGTGCATGTAGGCTTCCTGTTTAGACCTTCCTCCAAATGTAGCTGGGAGGCTGAGTCAGCAGGCTCACTGTCACTGGGCATGGTGCCAGAGGGTGTCTCCCCATTCTCTCCTCCACACTTTATCCCTACACCCTGTGAAAAGGGTGGATTCAGAAATGTACTTATTGCATATGCAGCAAAGCTGGAGATCAAGGGAAGAAGAAACCACAAACAGGCTGAAAACACTGCATGAGATAGGTAAGCAACGCAGATTTTACCGTAATTAAAACTCTGTCCATTTTTTTCTCCCAATAATTTTAGTGGGTCTCCATTTTGCATTGCTCTTCGGCTGTGCTCAGTGACTATCAAGGTCTACTAGCCACAATGGCTATATTTTACAGTGTATGTTTATTTTGCAGTGGTACCCTGGTTCTCAAACTTAATCCGTTCCGGAAGTCCGTTCCAAAACCAAAGCGTTCCAAAACCAAGGTGCGCTTTCCCATAGAAAGTCATGCAAAATGCATTAATCCGTTCCAGACTTTTAAAAACAACTCCTAAAACAGCAATTTAACATGAATTTTACTATCTAACGAGACCACTGATCCATAAAATGGAAGCAATAAACAATGTACTGCAGTCACACAATCAGTAGCTGAACTGGGTTCCACACAGTCACAAAAACAAAACGAAAAGAGCCGCAAAATCAGACCGACCTCAGCATAACACTCAAAACGGAAGTGTGTCACTCAAATTAGAAGCGTAACACTCAAAATGGAGCACGTTCAGCTTCCGAAAAAAGTTCGCAAAACGGAAGACTTACTTCTGGGTTTGCGGTGTTTGGGTTCCAAGTTGCTTGAGTACCAAGGCGTTTGAGAACCAAGTTACCACTGTACTTTAAAGCATTTCTAAATTGCTTAATGTTTTAAAAGCCTCTTAAGTGGTGCACACTATATGCTATTTCCAAACAACATCCAGCAAAAGAAAAAACACCACCTAAAACTAACCAAACAACAGTATATAAACATATAAAGGTGAAGCTTTGACGCTTTCTCCCCCACAAACAGTTTTTGATCTGGGCTTCCACTGAAATGAGGCTGCATTTTAAGTAGTATTTTAATCTTGTTTTTAAGTTGTATTTTAATCAATTGTTTTTATACCCGGTGTTAGCCGCCCTGAGTCCGGTCTTGGCCAGGGAGTGTGGGGTATAAATAAAATAAAATAAATAATAAATAATATAAACAGAAGTAAAACAAAGATTTGAGGGAGTCTTGCACACGCACAAAATTGTGGTACTGGAGGAGACATGGAGGAAAACCAAAGGCTGGGAATAACAGTAACTTGGGTCCTGCTTGTAAGCTTCTTGCAGGCATCTGGTTTGCCACTGTGAGAACAGGAGCGTGGATAAGATGGGCTTGGGACCTGATCCTGCAGGGCTCTGTTGGATGTTTCAAAGTGGGAAGCTGCTGTGTGAGCGACTGACTTTTCCCAAGATAATAAATTTGGATTGCACGCTTGCCCGCTAAAGTGCCACTGAAAGTAGCAGGGCTCCAACAGCAGCATTAAAACATTAAGCTACAGAGTTAAAAGACAAGCCAACACACCTTAACAATATATATCCTTATCAGGCAAGTAGAATTGATTGCTGTGCTGCTGTTGCCGGGTTTTTCATTTTTGCAGAGATTAGGGTAACTACCAACACCCAGCAGGTCCGCCTGTGTGAATGTTTTCCTCCCTCTTAAAGTAACCTGCCCTTTTGGAGTGTGATTAGATTTGTGTTTAAAATGCTAAAGGTCACTAAGAGGAAATAAAGTCAATAGTGAAATGTGGCTGAGTGTCACAGACTTCTTATTTTAATTGGCAACATTAGCATTTTAAACATTTCCTCAAATGAGCTGAAAAATGCTGGCCAATCCCCCTTCTCCTCCATATATTTTGGCTACCCATGCAAGATCGCACCTCTTTATATTTCGCATTAATCCGTACGCTCCAAGATTTTTCCGATGAAAATAGGACATCCTCTTCCATAATAATTATTATTATTTGGCTGAGTTGCCTCAGCCACTCTGGGTGGCTTCCAACATACATAAAAAAACATTATAAAACATTGAACATTAAAAACTACCCTATCAAGGGCTGCCTTCAGATGTCTTCTGGTTCGGACAGGGGTCACATAACTCCATACCCCCCAAAATTTTGCCAGTGGAAATAAGGACGTCCTAAGGAAAAACAGGACAGTCTGGGATCAAATACAAAACCGGGATGGCTTATGTAAATCCAGGGCTGTCTCTGGAAAATAGGGAGGGTCTGTTAACTGCACATTGCTTTGAGATTATAGCTAGGGGATTATAGCTAAAGGTAAAGGTAAAGGGACCCCTGACCATTAGGTCCAGTCGTGACCGACTCTGGGGTTGCGGCGCTCATCTCGCTTTATTGGCCGAGGGAGCCGGCGTACAGCTTCTGGGTCATGTAGCCAGCATGACTAAGCCGCTTCTGGCGAACCAGAGCAGCACACGGAAACGCCGTTTACCTTCCCGCCGGAGCGGTACCTATTTATCTACTTGTACTTTGACATGCTTGCGAACTGCTAGGTTGGCAGGAGCAGGGAGCGAGCAACGGGAGCTCACCCCGTGGCGGGGATTCGAACCACCGACCTTCTGATCGGCAAGCCCAAGGCTCTGTGGTTTAACCCACAGCGCCACCTGCGTCCCTGGATTATAGCTAGCTTCACACTGAAATCCTCGGGATGCCAAACAGGCAAGTTCACATATATATTACAGTGGTGCCTCGCAAGACGAAATTAATCCGTTCCGCGAGTATCTTCGTCTAGCGGTTTTTTCGTCTTGCGAAGCAACCCTATTAGCGGCTTAGCGGACTAGCGCTATTAGCGGTTTAGCGGCTATTAAAGGCTTAGCGGCTTAGAAAAAGGGGGGGGAGCGAAAAAAAATCTCAAGACTCGCAAGACATTTTCGTCTTGCGAAGCAAGCCCATAGGGAAATTCGTCCTGCGAAGCGCATTGAAAAACGGAAAACCCTTTCGTCTAGCGGGTTTTCCGTCTTGCGAGGCATTCGTCTTGCGGGGCACCACTGTAATAGGGTTTCATAGCTACACAAGTTATTAACTGATGGGATTTGCCTGTTCCCAAAGTCCTGTTACGAATAGGCCCTTTGCCCTGCCTTATGCCCAACACACACACACACAGGCTCTTATGTGTAAGAAATATTTATCCAAGCAGGTCACAGTCTAGGCTTGGCAGTAAGCTCAGAGTTCGAGAGTCATGATCCTGGAGTTCAGGAAAGGCACTCAGAACTGGATGGAAGCTGCAAAGATGCCCTGAAAGTTGCCCCTTTTCACCTGCCACACTTTTTTAAAAAAATGTTTTTACTGAAGATTTTCTTGGGTTACCAAAGTACGTACAGTGTCTCTGCTTTGAGTTCAGGGAGTTCCTTCTACAGATCATTCATATTTGATGTGAGACACTGTTATAGAGAGTATAAAATTGGGGGAGAAAAGAGGTGGGAGGAGAGAATAAGGTAGTAAATTTGCATTATTCTACATAGTGTATGTGTAAAGTTTTTGTGTCAGTGTCACATGGGTAGGTTCTGTTTCTATTCATTTATTAGTTTTTGTTGGCAGTGAGAGAGTTTTGGGGGACAGGGAACAGATGTTTGCTTATAGTTGACCTGCCCCACTTTGGGGGGGGGGTTGTAAACAAAATCTGCCCTTTTCCCCTTATGGGGTATCCAAGAGCCCGTATAGAGTCCTTACGTGGATTCCCTATTGGTAGGAGAAAATAAGGGATGCGGGTGGCGCTGTGGGTTAAACCACAGAGCCTAGGGCTTGCCGATCAGAAGGTCGGCGGTTCAAATCCCCGTGATGGGGTGAGTGCCTGTTGTTCAGTCCCAGCTCCTGCCAACCTAGCAGTTCGAAAGCACATCAAAGTGCAAGTAGATAAATAGGTAGCACTCCAGCAGGAAGGTAAACGGCCTTTCCGTGTGCTGCTCTGGTTCGCCAGAAGCGGCTTAGCCATGCTGGCCACATGACCCGGAAGCTGTACGCTGGCTCCCTCGGCCAATAAAGCGAGATGAGCGCCGCAACCCCAGAGTCGGTCACGACTGGACCTAACGGTCAGGGGTCCCTTTACCTTTACCTAGGAGAAAATAACAGAGGCCAACCAGAGAATACTGCGAAGCAAAGCAGCTAGTAAGCCTGATCTTTATTGATCTGTCACAACTATATTTCTGCCACGTTGTAAAGTTGAGAAAGCAAGTGAAAGGGATTCCTTTCTGAGTTTTGAAAATCGTGATTCATGGATGACTTCTTCAGGACAATCCTCCGCAAAGTATCAATGTGATTCTGGGGATCACAAAATCAATGAGTGCAGTACCACAGCACACACCCCAAACCTTTTCTTTCTCTGCAAATGGCAAGCTTCAATCCTAACAACGTGACATTTTAGAAGTTAACATCTCTGTGTGTGTTTTAAATATCATGTTAACAAGTGAGGACAGTAGATGGTGCTCTAAGATCTTTGTTCAATTCTTTAACAGCGACCAGAAAAGAGAGGGAGCTAGCCAGGAACCTAGAATGCTAAAAACTGCCTTTTTAATGAGCGTCACAAACAACCATGCTGTGTAACTAACAGATAATGGATAGTTCTTTGCATCTGCCGAGCACATTATTATTATATGTTTAGATGCCCCTTCAACTTGAGTTCCCAGGAAAAGACTCGGATGAGTTGGTTACCGCAGCTGTTCATTGGCTGCCTCAGCTCATCCAAGCAAGCCAGTGCTATCGGGGCAGAATTTTGGGGAACAGAAGCCCAGGGCCCACCACTCAGCAGGAGGGGGAAAAACCGCCCCAAGCATTGCAGCAGAGCTGGCTTACAGCATTTTGAAGTAAATGAAGTAACAAACATTACCATCCAAGCAGAGGCCTCCCTGGGAGATCATTTGAAATATGTGAAGTGGTGGCAGTGGCGTCCAGAGAACCACTGATTCAACTAAGTTTTGGTCTGTGCAGACTTGTTGAAATTAATGGACCTAACTTAGTAATAGGCCTGAACGATGTATTGATACCTCGTCCAGGACCGGTAAACAAAAACATCTTGGGGATCCCAGGCCACAGGGAGGTTAGGCTGGCCTCAACCAGAGCCAGGGCTTTTTTGGCTGTGGCTCCGATCTGGTGGAAGGCTCTGTCACAAGAGACTAGGGCCCTGCGGGACTTGACATCTTTCCACAGGGCCTGCAAGACAGAGCTGTTCCACCAAACCTTTGGCCAAGGCACAGCCTGACCTCCTCCTTTGGTAATCCTCATAGAACGCTAGCCCAATGGTTGCCATTAATTTGAATCTGAATTGATTTTAGAATGAATTGACTTTAGAATGTATTTCAATTAATTGATTGTGATTTTATGTAAACTGTGTTACTTTTACTGTTGTTAGCCGCTCTGAGCCCAGCTTCGGCTAGGGAGGGGGGGGATATAAAAAATTTATTATTATTATTATTTTATTATGAGGAGCAGACTGCAATGGCAGCTTTACCTGGCGGTATACCACAGGTGAAAGCAACACCGCTCCTGAGTCCCTCTGCTACCAACGCCGCTTTCAACATCAGTCCACTGGTAGCAGAGGGACTCAAGAGAAGGGGCACTTTCACCTGCAATATTTTTTTTAAAAAGGTAAAGGACCCCTGGACGGTTAAGTCCAGTCAAAGGCAACTCTGGGGTTACAGCGCTCATCTCGCTTTTCAGGCCCAGGGAGCCAGCGTTTGTCCAGAGGCAGCTTTCCGGGTCATGTGGCCAGCAGGACAAAAGCGCTTCTGGTGCAAAAGGACACTGTGACAGAAGCCAGAGAACATGGAAATGCCGTTTACCTTCCTGCCACAGCGGTACCTATTTATCTACTTGCACTGGCGTGCTTTCGAACTGCTAGGTTGGCAGGAGCTGGGCCAGAGCACTGGGAGCTCACCCCATTATGGAGATTCGAACCGCCGACCTTCCGATCGGCGAGCCCAAGAGGCTCTGTGGTTTAGACCACAGCGCCACCCACAATATACTGCCAGGTGAAGCCGTCATTGCTCTGCCCTGCATACCACAGAGGGAGGAACAAGCCGAATCGCCAGGCCGATACAGCTTGTCCCGTCCCCCCCAGCTTCATTAAACGGCTCCCACCCCCCAGCTGCCCGAGCCACAATGCCTAGCACAGGAGCCACAGAGGCATGGGGTTGCTCAGCTGGGGGGCAGGAGCAGTTTAATGCTCAGCTGGGGGACAGGAGTCTTCCGGCACCCCATCTGAGCTGTGCAAAGGAGCCCTAATGCTCCTGCTCACGAACGGGCGGGGGGGGGACGTTGGGGCTGGCTCATTTTGGCAGGGGGAGCCCTCCTGCCCCCCAACAGAGCAGCACAAAGAAACTGCGTCATCCCGGCCCATTGGGGTGAAAGTGCCTCAGCTCCTGTGGTGAGACCTGTGGAAGTTTCACCCTGGGCCTCAGAAGGCTAGGATCAATGTAGGTTGCTCTTTCAACATCGTAGTGCATTGGCAGATCGCAATGTTTGGCTAGTGGTACATCGCCCAGCCCTACCTGGTCATTAATTTCAATGGGTCGGTTCTGAGCAAATAGTTGAGTGCTACCTATTACGTTTAGAGTCTAAAAGGAGCTAAATACAGCACTGTTTGTGCAGCACATGGTCAGACCTAAAGAAGTGGGTAACTCAATCAGATGGGCAAGGTATTCTTATTCTTATTCTTATTCTTCTTATTATTATTAGCCAAAAGCTCACATGTGGACTGTACAGAGTGGCAATTTTATATATCACCGCTAGAAAAAAGCATCACAAAAAACAGCAGATTCACACAAAATTTGCTTGTACTGAAGAAAAAGAAGAATTGCCCCAGCCACTCCTGGCGGCTTCCAACATATATAAAAACATAATAAAACTTCAATTTTAATTTCTATACCACCTTTCTAAATCACTACACAGTAGCACCTTAGAGACCAACTAAGTTTGTTTTTGGTATAAGCTGCACACGAAAACTTATACCAAGAACAAACTTAGTTGGTCTCTAAGGTGCTACTGGACAATTATATACATATATATATATATATATATATATATGTAATATTCAATAATCAATCAGAATAGTACACAATAACATTAACTCTCAAAACATCAGCAAATAATAACAAAGCAGAAATTCACTCAACAGTTACAATAAACAATTACTAAACTATGATCGATAAGAATAACCGCAAGTCGCAATGCGTGGAATATCACAATACATACAAAACCATATGAAAGGGTCAAATCGAGAAACAAAGACCAGTTATAAAACTATTTTTTAAAATAGAAATAAAAATCCTGAATTATTTAAATGCAAATTCAGAAATAATTGAAATGCAGTACATCTCGCCACAGTGGGGAAGACTGCAGCCAGCTGATCTCTGTGCTGGCCTGGGCTGCTGGCCAGCTGCTTAAGTGATGATGGGCAACTTCCAAACCCTCCCTGCTTTCCCTTCTCCTGATTTGTTATCTTTAAACCAGACTTGGACCAGGCGGCCCTTTGAATAGAGGGCTGTCCTCTGTAGTGTGTGTGGCCCCGCCCTTACTGGGTATCCAGGCCTTCTCTCCGCCTCCGAAGTGCCCTCTGCTTCATATCTCCTTCATATGAAGAGCAGTCAGGCTATTATGGTCTTTAGCCCTGTTGCAACACAGGGCAGGTAACCAGAATGATGCTGACACGCCCTGAAATTTGCATTCTGCTCTGCCGCCAGAGTTAAAAATGGGTCTCTGAGCCAATTGGGGTTGCGGGTGGAGTTCTGGACCAGGGCCTAGGAGACCACAGTTCAGATCCATTCTCAACCATGAAGCGCAGAGGGTGGTTTGGGGCAAATCAGTCTCCTTCTGCCTAAACCTACCTTGTAGAGTTGTAGATGGAAAAGGAAGGGGGGAAAACAAGACACACGTGTACCTAGAACTCCTGGGAAGAAAAACGGGGTATGATTGTAACAGTAAAACCGTGAGTGATGGGGTTGGGGAGAGGATATTGTTTTCAACTGTGCATTCGATAAAAAGCATCCTGCAATTCCAGCTCTGGAAAGAAAACACGAGAGTTTCTGCAGGTGCTCAGAGGAACTGTATCCCAAGTTGCTATTTCTTTCTTTTTCTTCTTTTTAAGAACGAGCTGATTCTCCTCACAACTGTCCCATTAGTGGGGAGTCCCATTTGCAGAGCCGCACGACTGTCCCATTTCAGAAGATATCTTCAGGGAAGTTTTTAATGTGTGACATTTTAGTGTATTTTTTGTCTTTGTTCGAAGCCGCCCAGAGTGTCTGGGGAAACCCAGCCAGATGGGCAGGGTACAAATAATTTTTTTATTTATTTTTATTATTTTTATTATTATTATTATTATTATTATTATTATTATTATTATTATTATTATTATTATTATTTCTGCCCCAAAAATAATGCATTCCCCTTAGAGGAAAGGCCACTCCGCAGATGCTCAGAGGCACTCAGCCTGAGCTGGCTAAATGTATTAAAACTAATAATCTAGTAATCTTTAAACCACAGCTGTCAACTTTCCCCTTTTCTTGCAAGGAATCCCATTTGGAATAAGGGAATTTCCCTTAAAACAAGGGAAACGTTGACAGCTATGCCTTAAACAAAATCCCGATTAAAGCAATATTATCCCAAAAAAAATTCACTTTGGGAGCACGTTTAAAAAATTCAAGGGAGCCCCCCCCCCCCCCAAGTTTCTCAGTTTAAAGAACAAAAGCTCCTGTTGACTATTGCAAGGAGAGGCCATCTTTAACCTTCTATTTTTGCGTTAGTTTGGGAAGCGGAGTCTGCCTTTGCCTAGCCCAGCAGCAGCGCTGCAGCCCAGCCAAAATGGCTTCTGGAGCGAACGAGGAATCGGAGCACAGGCACCCTTAATCCGGCGTCTGAGCCGATTTCGCCACTCGCTTGTTTTCAAGGCATCAGACCCTTCGGGAACCGCGGACACCCTCTTTTCGCCTCCCGTTGGAGCAGAGCCTTTCATCGCAACGGGAGGCAAAAACAGAGCAGTCTGCCTTCCTCCAAGCGGTGCTGGGGCTTTAAAAATGGCTGATTTCCATTCCTTCCCCGCCGAGTCCATCCTGAAACTTTGATGTTGCCTGGATTCGAAATTCCGAGCGCCCAAAAAATAAAAAATAGAGACCTGGCGGGTGCAGCTTGCATACCATCTAATCAGCATTGCCCTTCAAAACATGAATTGCACGCTAATTTTATTTTTGCATGGGAAGAGAAAGATGCACCGGAGCTGCTCCGCTTTGCACGCCTATTCGCGTGCAGCCCATTTTTGGAGCAACTGGTGCTCCGCAAGTGCTTGCAAATGAATGGGGAGGCGTGTTGCAATGGGTGGGGTGAGCGTGTGCGTTGAGCGTCCATAAAGACCGCGAAGCTCGCCCGCCGAAGGCGCCCGGGCGCGGCGCTTGCAAAAACCCTTTTCGTTTCGGCAAGGCGATCGAGCCTTGCCCTTTGCTTGCTTTTTTTTGCAACAGAAGACGCTGCAACCGGGCGCGCGAGGCGGATGGAACGTTCGGCCGCGCTGGCAGAACGCGAACCCGGAACCTCCCTTCCACTGGCTGCTTTTCCCTGCTGCTAGCCCGTCAGGCGCGGTGGCCAAGTGGTAAGGCGTCGGTCTCGTAAACCGAAGATCGCGGGTTCGAACCCCGTCCGTGCCTCGGAATTTGGGACTTTAAGCTGGCGGTCACGGCTTGCAAAACGAGGGCGATGGGAACGGGAGTCCCTTTCGCGAGCCGCTTTTTGTTTTGCTCGCCTTTCCTTTCCTGGAATTTCCTCCGCTCGCCCCCACTCTCGCTTTTGAAGTGGAGGTGGGAGGGTGAGCGAGGGAGGAGGGGGAAGGGCTAGCATTGCGGGCTTGGCCACCCTGTTCTCCCTCTCTCCCCCGCCCCCCGCTTGGCTGCTCCTCCCTGGGGAGGTGCTCAAGCACGCGCGCAAGCGCTCCGATTTGTCCAGCGGAAGCTCGAAGCGAAAGCGGCTGCAAGGCCCCTCCATTGCACGGAGAAGCAGGGCTGCAAAATAATAATTTATCCTGACTGAGTTTCCCCAGCCACTCTGGGCAGCTCCCAATCTGTCCCCCTTCAAGTACAGCCCAGCAGCCCAGAGATCAGCTGGCTGCAATCTTCCCCACTGTGGCGAGATGTACTGCCTTTCAGTTATTTCCGAATTTGCATTTAAATAATTCAGGATCTCTATTTCTGTACAACAGTATCTACCTACATCTATCATCTATTTATCTATCTATCTATCTATCTATCTATCTATCTATCTATCTATCTACAACTGTCTATTTAATGCTGTACTGTTGAGTTTGCAACAGTACAGCATTAAATATTAAAAACTTCCCTAAACAGAAAACTTGCCTGCAAAAGATTGCTGCAACTGCAAAAGACCGCTGCAGGCGTGCCGCGTTCGGAAGGCTAGTTAGGGAGCCGCGTTAGGAGCCTTTGCTGCAGCCCACGCACGGCGGAGCGCGAATGGGAAATGGCGTTGCTGCGGAGGAGAGACCCACGCGCGGAGCCACATGCATGCAAACAGACAGACCTCTTCGCGCAGCAAAGGAGAGAGAGGTCATGCAACTCCCTCGCGCGGCGTTGCAATAAAAACAACCACCACCACCCCGTGGATTTTCCCCTGGTGGCACCGGGATCTTTTCTTTAAAAACAAAAAAACAAAACACGCGTGCAGCATTCCCACCAGAACAAAAAGTTAATAATAATAATACTTCAATCGCTGCGTTTGCTGCTTCAGGCATGCACAGAGAGTGCTTGCGACGCAATGCTTTTGCAAGAAACCCGAGAGAGGAGGGAGAGCGGCCCCCCCTTCCCCGGCTCTGCTCTTGACGTCATGCGGACTTGTGTATCTGACACATGAATTGAATTTATTTGCGGTGGGGAAAACCCTTGGACGTGTGGGGATGGCTCGCTCCTGAAAGGAGGAGGAAAACCTCGCGCAGAGGAGGAGGGCATTAAGTGGGCGGGCGGGTTTTCGCTGAATAGGACCCCGTCCGCCCGCCCTCCCCCGCACGTTGGGGAGCATCCTCAAATTAGGATCCTCCCTCGACGGCTCTGCAGTCAGTCCGCGGCAGGAAGGGGGAGCAGGAATTTTCGCTTCGCATTCACCTGGAGGGATGGGGGACTCTCATCCAGGGACTGTTAGTTGTAAGAGACCTTGTTTAGCCTGGGAAAGATGTGGATTAAAAAAATGGTTTCCAAGAGCTGATCTCTGCATGGATGCTGCAAAAATGGAACCAGGGATCACTGTACCAGGAAACCCAGCCAGATGGGTGAATTTTTTTTATATATATATATATATATATATATATATATATATATATATATACACACACACACACACATACATATACACACACACGTGTGTGTGTGTGTGTGTGTACACACACACACACATACACACACACCGGCCATCTGACTGGTTTGCCCCAGCCACTCTGGGCACCTTCCAACAAATTAAACTCATTAAGCACAGTTGTTGTTGTCGTCGTCGTTTAGTCGTGTCTGACTCTTCGTGGCCCCATGGACCAGAGCACGCCAGGCACTCCTGTCTTCCACTGCCTCCCGCAGTTTGGTCAAACTCATGCTGGTAGCTTCGAGAACACTGTCCAACCATCTCGTCCTCTGTCGTCCCCTTCTCCTTGTGCTCTCCATCTTTCTCAACATCAAGGTCTTTTCCAGGGAGTCTTCTCTTCTCATGAGGTGGCCAAAGTATTGGAGCCTCAGCTTCAGGATCTGTCCTTCCAGTGAGCACTCAGGGCTGATTTCCTTCAGAATGGAGAGGTTTGATCTTCTTGCAGTCCATGGGACTCTCAAGAGTCTCCTCCAGCACCAGAATTCAAAAGCACAGTAAAACATCTCAAACATTTAAAAACTTCCCTAAACAGGGCTGCCTTCAGATATCTTCTAAAAGTCAGATAGTTGTTTATTTCTTTGACATACGATAGGAGGGTGTTCCACAGTGCAAGCAAGACTACAGTCACGATTTGCCGCTTCTGCGCATGCGCATGACATCATTTTGAGCGTCTGCACATGCGCGAGCAGCAAAACCCGCTCTGTTACTTCTGGGTCGCCGCAGAGCGCAACCCAAAAATATTCATCCCGAAGCTACTTCAACCCAAGGTATGACTGTACTGAGTAAACCCTTGGTGCTGGATCCCAGTGTCCGGGCTGAACGATGGCGCAGGTATAAATTATACAGGTATAAATTTGCATGCCACCCTGTACCCGCAGGTTTCAGGGTGGTTCACAAGATAAAATCACAATATAAATAATAGTAATAAATCATCCCTCGCACGGCATTTTTATATTTATTTTAAATTGTACTATTGTCACTTATTTCCAATATAATAAAATACAATAGAAGAAGCAATTAAAGAAATACAATTTGACACCATGCAGGATTTAGTGCAGCATGTTACAATTGCTACAACAGGCAGAAGAATCACGGAGTGGTTTGTCAAGACCCTCAGCAATTTCTGAGTGGTCCGTGGGGAAGAAAGTCGCTATTAAAGTCCCATGCAGCTGGGGGGGAAGTTGGCAGCCCTACTGATTTGCATGACATAATTAGGTGTTATTTCACCCTGGATTTTTTTCTTGACTTTTCCCTAATGAATTGGAAGGGGGCAGGGAAGGGCACTTCCACATGTGCTATGCCCTTAGATCAGGTATGTAGAAATTATGTAACATTTCTTGTAGATGATACAAGTGCCCTATGGGACTTTCCATTTGACTTGAATGACTGGTTTTCAGAGAGGCATGGGCTGCTGGTATCCAAACCAAAAGAGGAGGGGGAAAACACAAAATAATTGTGGACACTGTTGTCAGGGTTGTCTAAATGCCCAACAAACACATGCTCTCTGATGGAGCATCGACTGCTTCCGAACCCATCTCCCCAGTAATGTTTAGGACATGAAACACATGCCAGATGGGCGGGGTAAAGTAAAGGTAAAGGGACCCCTGAGCATTAGGTCCAGTCGTGGCCGACTCGGGTTGCGGCGCTCATCTGGCTTTATTGGCCGAGGGAGCCGGCGTACAGCTTCCGGGTCATGTGGCCAGCATATCCGGCCCCCAGCGTGTCCGGCCCCCAGGCCTTAGTTTGTCTACCCCTGTGTTAAGATGACAAAAGGTGTTGATGGGCCCTTCTAGAGGAATCCTTTGGCCTGGGAAGATGGATGTTGCCGTGGTGATGGGGTGTGTGTTTGAGGTGACTGGAAAAGGGAGTCTTTGAGCAAAAGAGGAGGAGGAGGAGGGAAGACTGGGATCCATCTTGGGCAGGTTGGCCGAAGGCCCTCTTGAAATGACCAGGTTGACTGAAGGTGTAAATAGGTGAATAAACCATATTTTTAAAAGCTATGGCAGTTTCTGTCAGCATTTCACTCCCCTGTTGCTGGTTGTGTGATTGCTATATCACATGTCTGTGTTTACTTTCCAGGCTTGGAAAGTGTGAGAACGGAAGCCAGTCTTATCCCTTCCGCTTGTACTGTACTTTTGTCCTTCTTTATTCTCTCTCTTTTGAAGAAGAAGTGAAAGGACGCCATGATTGCTTTGGCCTGTATATATTGCTTAATAAATACTTAGAATGCACACACCTACGCTCCATGTCGTTTCTGCTGTACTCTGCTGATAGAGGGTGCACATGTCTTTTGATATATGTTGCTGGTGTGCACCGGGACTGATTTGTGAATGTCCTGGGCTGCGCTTCATCAGGAAGACGCCTGCATGAGTGCTTGGAACGCCATGGGTTCTTGCTGCCACTTGGCAGAGGGAGAAAGAGGCACCCAACATTTGTAACAATATATTCCCCGCTCCCCAGTGCTGCCCTAAGAGCATCTCTTCACCTATTGGCTCTGTATTCCATAACATTGCTGAGTGTATGATTTTTCTCCAACACATGCACCAGTTTCATTGGCTGCCCCATCAGGCAATGCTGAAAGTGTTTGTGCTGGAAGCCTTTATGCTACATGCTTTTTCCTTTTAGGTGTGGCGGTATAAAGGTAAAGGGACCCCTGACCATTATGTCCAGTCATGACTGACTCTGAGATTGCGGTGCTCATCTTGCTTTATTGGCCGAGGGAGCTGGCGTACAGCTTCCGGGTCATGTGGCCAGCATGACTAAGCCGCTTCTGGCGAACCAGAGCAGCGAACGGAAATGCCGTTTACCTTCCCGCCGGAGCGGTACCTATTTATCTACTTGTACTTTGACGTGCTTTTGAACTGCTAGGTGGGCAGGAGCAGGGACTGAGCAACGGGAGCTCACCCCGTCACAGGGATTCGAACCACCGACCTTCTGGTCGGCAAGCCCTAGGCTCTGTGGTTTAACCCACAGAGCCACCCACGTCCCGGTATATCCACATTTAAATCAACTGAGCAAGCAAGTCCCACCCCCTCCACCGCCCATGGCTGCGTTTGACCACAATCTCACCAGCTCTCTTTTTCATTTTTGTTTACAAGCTAATGTTTAGGCCAAAGGTTGGCCCGCGCTGCATTTCCCTCCACGAAATGCAAACTTGCAGTTCAAAAGGGTGACTCGGCAGACAAACAGATCGACCCAAAGAGCACGCAGCACAGACTTTCTGGACGGAAGCCCAGAACTTGTCTATGATTTCATGTCAAATGTCTCTAGCCTTTCCCTCCTACTACTCCACTGTTGGCTAATGGACAACAGTTTTGCCTGCAGAACTGAGCAAACTCAAAGCTTGTAGGCTTCCAACAGCAGGAGAGGTGTTGGACATGAATGTAGTCTTAGAAGTAGCCCTGAGATTTTCACAGAATCATGGAATCAGAGTAGGCCTTGAAGTAGCCTTGAAGTCTACTCTACTGCGCCAGAGGGAGGGAGTATGGAGTTAGTGTCGTCCCCCCCAACAGATGGCTTTCCAGTCTTGGCTTGATATCACCAACCCATCCCTTCCAGGTAACTGGTTCCTTGGATGAACTACTCTTTGATGAATTGTTACATCCCCCCCCCATCCCTCCTGTACTTAAAGCATTACAGAAATAAGAACTTATATTTTGTGACTACAGATAGTAATTGGCTTTATTTCATTTTTACCCCACCCTTCGTTCAAGGGACTCGGAAGAGAAGCATACATGATTGTCACACCCCCAATTATCCCCATAAGAATCCAGTTAGATTGTAAAAAAAGAAAAGAAGCATTTTTGTTAGGGATTGCAGAACAAGACCTGCCAAGAAAAACAAAGAATCTATTTATGTATGCTACAATAGCGGCAAGAATCTTGATATCACAAGGATGGAAGAATGAGGAAATCCCAACGAAAGAACAGTGGCAAGAAAAATTGATGAGCTATGCAGAGTTGGCTAAATTGACATACAAACTGCGTGATAAGGACAACTGTGACTTTAAGGAAGAATGGGAACTTTTTACAAATTATCTGAAAAGACAACAAAATGAACTGGACTCCTTGGCAGGTTTTGAAGAAACATACACAAATTTATGTGTATTTATGATAGACAACGCAAGGATATATATATATAATTTTATAACATGCAGAGAATAATATGTGAAGAGAAATCAGAGAGAGGAGCTGAGGGAAGTCCCTGGTGGGGGAGGGAGTGATGGAAGGGGGGAAATAATGTATGTGATTATATGGTTTGATAATTTGTTATGTTGAAATTGCTTAATAAAAATATATTTTTAAAAAAAGAATCCAGTTACATAAGTTGTGTTGGAGAACATCTGGTCAAATGTGACCCAATTGACTTCATGGATCTGAACTTGCCCTGAGTCCAAATCCCTTATACCAGTGTGGTGTAGTGGTTAAGAGCGGTAGTCTCGTAATCTGGTGAACCGGGTTCGATTCCCCGCTCCTCCACATGCAGCTGCTGGGTGACCTTGGCCTAGTCACACTTCTCTGAAGTCTCTCAGCCCCACTCACGTCACAGAGTGTTTGTTGTGGGGGAGGAAGGGAAAGGAGATGGTTAGCCGCTTTGAGACTCCTTCGGGTAGTGATAAAGCAGGATATCAAATCCAAACACCACTTCTTCTTCTACCACACTGGCATTCTGGGCACCTGTTTTTCATTTATTTATTACGTATCCCACCCTTCCTTCATCGAGCTCACGGTGACGTACATGGCTTTCTTCCCATGTTATCTTCACAATAACCTTCTAAGGTGGGTTAGTCTGAGAGGACTGACAGGCCCAAGGTCACACAGTGAGCTTCATGACATGTGTGGGGATTTGAACCCAGGTCTCCCAGGTCCTAGTCTGGTGCTCTAACCACTGCACCACATGTTTCTGACTAAACATGCTTAGGATTCACTAATAATAATAATAATTTATTATTTATACCCCGCCCATCTGGCTGGGCTTCCCCAGCCACTCTGGGCGGCTTCCAAAAAATATTAAAATACTGTAATACATCAAACATTAAAAGCTTCCCTAAACAGGGCTGCCTTCAGATGTCTTCTAAAAGTCTGGTAGTTGTTGTTCTCTTTGACATCTAGTGGAAGGGCGTGCCACAGGGTGGGCACCACTACCGAGAAGGCCCTCTGCCTGGTTCCCTGTAACTTGGCTTCTCGCATTGAGGGAACCGCCAGAAGGCCCTCAATGCTGGACCTCAGTGTCCAGGTAGAACAATGGGGGTGGAGACGCTCCTTCAGATTACTGACTACATCAGTTGGGACTTAAGTGATTGTACAGAATGAGCCCAAGACATTTTTCTGCCTCAGGCCAAAAAAAAGTCCCCTCCCACCCATTGTTAGTGGTAAAAAATACACTAAACTAATTATTATTATTATTATTATTATTATTATTATTTGTTGTTGTTGTTGTTTTATTTATATCCTGCTCATCTGGACAGCGGTATACTCTGAGCACATAAAAAACGTATCTCTCTACCCTTTAACAACTCCACCAAAATTTGATGCGTAAGGCAAGCTATCCCATCCTGCCCAACGATAGGGCTGGACTTGTTGGCACGGCTGATAATGTGTCCTACTGATTTCAGTATATGGAGCATGCTCCCAAGCACTATGTATAGAATCAGATTGCCAACTGATAAGAAGAAGAAAATGGCCTGGCCCAATCTTGTTAATACAGTGGTACCTCTGGTTACGTACTTATTTCGTTCCGGAGGCCCGTTCTTAACCTGAAACTGTTCTTAACCTGAAGCACCACTATAGCTAATGGGGCCTCTCGCTATTCTCATCCTGAAGCAAAGTTCTTAACCCGAGGTACTATTTCTGGGTTAGCGGAGTCTGTAAGCTGAAGCGTATGTAACCTGAAGCGTATGTAACCTGAGGTACCAGGTTTTGTATTGTATTTGGATTGTATACCATTTAATGCCTGAACTGACTTCTAAGCAGTTTACAGAATATAAAAGACAGACACTCAAAAGCAGTTAAAATACAAGGTTAAACGGCACAGTTAGAGAGTATCATTAAACAAATATACAACCATCGGGACAAGAAAGCTCGGTCCAGGCCAAGGCATCAAGAAAATACTGTTGTGGAAAATGCTTTTACGTCTTTAGCTGCAACTTGATGTGCATAAAGCAACAACGGACGCTTTTTAGGGCAAGGAAACAAGCATTATCGTCGTTCTTGTCTGCACATCAAACTGCAGTAAAAGGCACAGCTACAGGGGCCAGTTGAAAAATTGGAAGCTATCTCTATCAGGCTGTTGATTCAGTTACGGAATTACTTTCTGTGGGGCTCGAGTCATGGGCTAACTTGCCTGTCTGGGCTGTAATCCACTATCCACACCCTGAGGAATTCAGTGTGAAGGCTTCCTGAAATATACTCGGAGTCAAGTGTGGATTTCATGCTCTTTATTCAGCTCATAGTAGTGAGGAATGAAAGTTCCCCCAAAATATCTGCTTTATATACATTATTTACACAATGGGTCGCACGTGATTGGCTAATTCTGGGATTCTCCTGTAGGCCAATCAGGTTGCGGATTCACTTCCACCTGGAGCTGGATTGGGTGGCTCCTGCGAACCAATCATACTGCTGCATTGTTCTAGGACCAATCAGACTGCTGCTTTTTGGATCCTATTCAACTCAGTACATAACAGTTCCCCTATCTGGAATCTCAAAGCAGTGTGCCGTTAACCACCTGACACCACTCCACTGGCCCTTCCCCCCTCCCCTTCTGCCCCCCCTTTCCCACATCTTCTTCCTAATTGTTTAAACCATGAACCAAGAGCTTAGACATGGATCACTAATAATGAAACATATGTTGTAGATATTTTTCCAATTTTATTATGCTATTTTTGTGATGCACAAATGACATGAGAAAACTTGGTATACTTATTGGTATAACATTATTCTTGTTTAAAAAACCAAATAATAATAATAATAATAATAATAATAATAATAATAATAATTAATAATACCAGACCCTCCAAGTGTCCTTATTTTCCAGGGACAGTTCCAGATTTACAGAAGCCGTCCCAGTTTCTGATTTGATCCTGGAATGTCCCGCTTTTCCTTAGGACGTCCCTATTTCCATCGGAGAAATGTTGGAGGGTGTGGAGTTATGCAACCCCTGAGCCAATGAGATAAGTTAACTGTACAACCTTTGGAAGACATCTGAAGGCAGCCCTGAATAAGGACCCCCCCCCCAAAAAAAAATGTTTAACATTTTATTATGTTTTATACAGTATATGTAGGAATCTGCCCAGAGTGGCTGGGGCAACCCTGTCAGATGGGTGGGGTATAAATGATAAAGTTGTTGTTGTTGTTGTTAAATGGAATAGGATGTCCCTATTTTAATCAGAGAAATGTTGGAGGTCATAAAAAGAAGCCTCCCAGGTGACCTTTGGTGTTTTGTTTTGTTTTCATCCAATGCTTGCTGGAAAATGGCTTCAAATTCCAGAGGGGCAGCTGTGTTAATCTATCGCAGCAAACACAACAGAGAACTGTGGCACCTTAAAGATTAACAGTATTAGGTTGCAATATTATACTGAACTCCCATATCGGGGAGCTTGTCTCACGGCACTGTTATTGTGGCATCAGCTTTCAGGGATGAGAGCCCAGTTGATTCGATGCTTGAAGTATTATATACCACCTTAGGATAATCCTTCACGCAGCTCCACTCTCGCCCACTACTGGGCAAACACTGTACAGTCGTATCTTGGTCCTCAACCAGAATGTCCGCTCGACTCCCGGAACCATTTGAAAGCGCAGCTTCCAATTGGCTGCAGGACCTTCCTGCAGCCAATTGGAAGCCGCGCTGGGCATTCGGCTTCTGAAAACCTACCCCTGTGAGGTAGCTTAGGTAAAGGTAAAGGGACCCGTGACCATTAGGTCAAGTCGTGGCCGACTCTGGGGTTGCGATGCTCATCTCGCTTTATTGGCCGAGGGAGCCGGTGTACAGCTTCCAGGTCATGTGGCCAGCATGACTAAGCCGCTTCTGGCGAACCAGAGCAGTGCACGGAAACGCCGTTTACCTTCCCGCCAGAGTGGTACCTATTTATCTACTTGCACTTTGATATGCTTTCAAACTGCTAGGTTGGCAGGAGGAGGGACCGAGCAACGGAAGCTCACCCCGTCGCAGGGATTCAAACCGCTGACCTTCTGATCAGCAAGTCTTAGGCTCTGTGGTTTAACCCACAGCGCCACCCGCGTCCTGTGAGGTAGGTTAGGCTAAGAGCAAATGGTGCAGTTACCGAGTGAATTTGATGGATGAGTGAGAATTTGAACCTTAGGGTGGGGGCCTAGGTTCTAGTCCAACATTCTAACCACTGAATGTGGAAAGAGTAAAAAAAGGGGCAATTCTCCCAGCCGAGAGCAGGTATTCAATATCCCCAAATCATTCAGATCCAGGATTTGAGAGAATTTAGAATGACCATATTCAATTAAGTGTCAGGGAGAAATTATCATTCCAAGATGCATAATAACCACTCAACCTTCCAGGGATTTGTTGTTGTTGTTGTTTAGTCGTTTAGTCGTGTCCGACTCTTTGTGACCCCATGGACCAGAGCACGTCAGGCACTCCTGTCTTCCACTGCCTCCCACAGTTTGGTCAAACTCATGCTGGTAGCTTCGAGAACACTATCCAACCATCTCGTCCTCTGTCGTCCCCTTCTCCTTGTGCCCTCCATCTTTCCCAACATCAGGGTCTTTTCCAGGAAGTCTTCTCTTCTCATGAGGTGGCCAAAGTATTGGAGTCTCAGCTTCAGGATCTGTCCTTCCAGTGAGCACTCAGGGCTGATTTCCTTCAGAATGGATAGGTTTGATCTTCTTGCAGTCCATGGGACTCTCAAGAGTCTCCTCCAGCACCAGAATTCAAAAGCAAGGATTCTTATAAACGTGCCCCCTTGTGGGAAGTCGAGGCAGAACTATGGAAAAAAAACTTTACATTTGCTATCTCCATGTATAAGAAAGAACATTAAGTAAACATAGTTAAAAAAGATACTAGGTGATGAGGGGATCGCATACAATTTAACGCACATAAACTGGCACATGGGATATCCTTAAAATTACCTTTTGGACAGAACCACCACTTTTGTGGGAAGGACTCCCTGCTGAATTCTTGGTTTCTCATGCAGCTGTTCATTTGTTTATAGTACTTCTTTAAATATTTTAATATTTTAAAATACATTAAACACAAGGCATATGTACATTCAGCAAACAATAAGGAAAAATATGCCAAACAGACGCAATAACATTCGTGGAAATATTGAAATAGATCCCTGTATCGCTTAAGATGAGCTATTCAAAACTTCAACAAAAGAACCCCATTTGACATACATTTTTTTCCTACGTAGATTAAAAAGGCAGTGCTGTGTATGTTTGCGCAGAAGTAATGCCACCATGTTACTACCTAGTAAGTACATTTAGCATTGCGATACAAATCCTAGTCAGACATACGTTGTTAATTTACTGCTTTAGCCATATACTGTATTTTATTAAGCTGTTCTGTCGCAGAAGGAACGCTAACAGGTTTCCATTTTAGAGGCTGCTAAGATTCTGGCTGATAACAACTTATTACCAACTAATTGCATATTTGCTGTATCTACGCGATCTTGTGTTACCCAATATGATAAAATGTTCTGTAATGATCTTGCCATATTCAATTACATTTATCTGATGTTTCTTAATTTGCAATGAGTCTCACAATGTATGTTTAAAATCAGCATAATCCAGTCCACATCTCCAGCATTTTGAATTAGTCAGTGTATTCTTTGTACTTCAGCCAGGGACAAACAGCACTTGTGCAAAGTTTCGTAATATATTTGAGATTTACGCATGAACAAACAACTAGAGTTGAAGTAAAAACAGACTTCCATAGTTTATCAAATAATGAAAATCATTTAAAATATAATTTAAAATCAGAGGGGCTAGGGAAACCCAGCTAGATGGGCAAGGTAATTATTATTATTATTATTAAGAATGTGAAATCTTTCCTATTCTCTAGTAGTCCATAATTAAATAAGACTGCAAACCTATCCCCACTTACTGGGCAGCAAGCCCCATTTCATTCAATAGGACTTACTTCTGAGTAAGCCTGTTATTCTATACTTGGATCTTCTAACAAGGAGAAAGATTACTTGAATTCAGTGAAACTTACTTATGGATAGCCATCTAGAGTTCCACTGCAAGTAGACTATTCAGTTCAATCTTGCAGTCCGAGTTTTTATACTTTCCCTTTTTTCAATTATATTCTACTAAGTTTCAACATTTTTAACATATACAGTCAAAACACAATTTCATCTTTTCTCTTGTTTTTATCGACTTCCCACCACGCTTTCCATGGAGTTGTTGTTCCTCCTGTTCTGCTGCAACCTATTATATATCATATTAAATATTGCAATATTACAACATTATAATCTAATTACTTCTCAAATCCTGCTCGCATGTTCATCATACTATAATATTTATTTAAATAGCCTGAAAAAAGGCATCCATTCTATAAAACACTCATCATTAGTTTTGCTGTTAAGCTTTCCAGTTCTCCAATTTCTATACTTTCCCATCATGGAGTGAGGGTGGTAGAAATTGCCTTTTTAAAAAATGGAAACCTTAGTTGTCATGTCATCTGCTTCTTCATTTGCTGGGCGAAACGATGAGTGTGTAGAATATCCAAAGCCCTAGAGGATTTCTTTTCACTTTTCTTTTCTTTTCTTTTCTTTTCTTTTCTTTTCCTTTCTTTTCTCTTCTCTTCTCTTCTCTTCTCTTTTCTCTTCTCTTCTCTTCTCTTTTCTTTTTACAAAACAAGTTGGGAGTCCTGGATTGTTTTGCCTATTAGAAAGAAGGACAAAAATCATCTACTGCCATAAATCCCTTGTGTGCAAAGCAAGTGCTGGAAAGGGTGAAATAAGCCTCTGATTTCAGCACAGGATTTCTCTGACTTTTGTGACACATGAGGCCCAGGGAACTTCTGGAATTTGACCTCCTTAGTTTTGCACAAGATCAGGGTGGAAAGCAAAGCATGCTTTTGCCTTCTGTACAGTAGCGACAGAGCTCAAACAAGGCATCAGTTTTAATTCCACTCAAAACGGCTCTTAACAAAGCGCCAGTTGTAAGGAGATCCCGAACCCCCCTTCCCTCGCTCACCTGCCTGTTCCCCTGCTGCCTTCCCAAAGGGGCTACTTGTGTCACAATTCCGCATTGGGAAGCTGCTTAAAACTGAGGACAACTACTGGTCCATCTCGCTCTTTACTGTATATAGTGGTACCTCGGGTTAAGAACGTAATTCGTTCCGGAGGTCCATTCTTAAACTGAAGCTGTTCTTAAACTGAAGCACCACTTTAGCTAATGGGGCCTCCTGCTGCCGTTGCGCCGCTGGAGCACGATTTCTGTTCTCATCCTGAAGCAAAGTTCTTAACCTGAAGCACTATTTCTGGGTTAGCGGAGTCTGTAACCTGAAGCGTATGTAACCTGAAGCATATGTAACCCGAGGTACCACTGTACTGTATACAGTGGTACCTCGGGTTAAGAACTTAATTCGTTCCGGAGGTCCGTTCTTAACCTGAAATTGTTCTTAACCTGAAGCACCACTTTAGCTAATGGGGCCTCTCGCTGCCGCGCGATTTCTGTTCTCATCCTGAAGCAAAGTTCTTAACCCAAGGTACTATTTCTGGGTTAGCGGAGTCTGTAACCTGAAGCGTCTGTAACCTGAAGCATATGTAACCCGAGGTACCACTGTACAGTGGTACCTCTGGCTGCAAACGGGATCTGTTCCAGAGGCCCATTCGCAACATGAAAAGAATGCAACCCGCAGCGGCGCATCTGCACACACGTGGGTTGTGATTCGCCACTTCTGCGCATGCGCATGACACAATTTTGTGCTTCTGCGCATGCGCAAGCGGCGAAACCCGGAAGTAACCCTTTCCGGTACTTCCGGGTCGCCACGGGACGTAACCTGAAAGAACGTAACATGAAGCGGATGTAACATGAGGTATGACTGTACAGTCGTACCTTGGTTCTCAAACTTAATCCATTAATCCAGGAGTTGGTTCAACTTCTGAAACCATTTGCAAACCAAGGCGCAGCTTCCGATTGGCTGCAGCAGCTTCCTGCACTCGATCGGAAGCTGCGGAAGCCGCGTCGGACGTTCGGCTTCCGGAAAACTTTCACAAACCGGAACACCTATTTTGCAGCGTTTGGGGGCCGATTTGTTCGGGTGCCAAGCTGTTCGAGTACCAGGGTTTCAGGCAACCCTACTTGGAGAAACCAGGGATTGAACCTGGAAACTTCTGCATGCAAGGCAGATGCTCTGCCAATGAGCACCAGCCCTTGCCAAGTTAAAGGTAAAGGTAAAGGGACCTCTGACCATTAGGTCCACTTGTGGCTGACTCTGGGGTTGCAGTGCTCATCTCGCTTTATTGGCCGAGGGAGCCGGCGTACAGCTTCCGGGTCATGTGGCCAGCATGACTAAGCCACTTCTGGCAAACCAGAGCAGCGCACGGAAACGCCGTTTACCTTCCCGCCGGAGCGGTACCTATTGATCTACTTGCACTTTGACGTGCTTTCGAACTGCTAGGTTGGCAGGAGCAGGGACCAAGCAACGGGAGCTCACCCCGTCACGGGGATTCGAACTGCCGACCTTCTGATCAGCAAGTCCTAGGCTCTGTGGTTTAACCCACAGCGCCACCCGTGTCCCTAGTTAGTAAGTGTATTCTTTGCCAAGTTAGTAAAGGTAAAAAAAAAGGTAAGACCCCTGGACGGTTAAGTCCAGTCAAAGGCGATTATGGGGTACAGTGCTCATCTCGCTTTTCTGTCCACAGACAGCTTACTGGTTCATGTGGCCAGCATGACTAAACCACTTCTGGTGCACGAAGGACCGTGACGAGTGCCAGAGTGCATGGAAATGCTGTTTACCTTCCCGCCACAGTGTTACCTATTTATCGACTTGCACTGGTATGCTTTTGAACTGCTAGATTGGCAGGAGGTGGGACAGAGCAACAGGAGCTCACCCATCACATGGATTTGAACCGCCAACCTTCCGATCAGCAAGCCCATGAGGCTCGGTGGTTTAGACCACAGCGCCACAAGCTCTGGCAATGTCAAGAAGGAGGGGCCATTTACACATGGTGCTGCTGCTGAGCTCGTGATGGGGAAATTGGCCAGAAGACAGGGTGCTTAACGCTTTTCATAGCAAGAAGAAGAAGAATTTCAGCAAGTGTCCTTCTCCTTACCATGGCTGCAAGACAGCCAACCTTGCTGAAATTTACCCTCCTGTATATCTGTTGCTTTGAAGGTACGAAGCTTTCAAATCTGTGTCCCTCCAAATCTTGTTGGACTACAACTCCCATCATCCCTGACCACGCTGGCTGAGGCTGATGCAAGCAGGAAGCCAGCGGTCCTTTCTCACATGTCAACATCCTCAGACCATCCAAGTGTCCCTATTTTCCAGAGACAGTTCTGGATTTACAGAAGCTGTCCTGGTTTCTGATTGATCCTGATATGCCCCACTTGTCTCTAGGACGTCCATATTTTCATTGGAGAAATGTTGGAGGACATGGAGCTATGCCACCCATGAGCCAAGGAGATGAGTAACTATACAGCCATTAGAAGACCTCTGAAGGCAGCCCTGTATAAGAAAGGTTTTTTGTTTGTTTGTTTTTTAAATGTTTAATGCTTTATTATGTTTTTATATATGTTGGAAGCAGCCCAGAAAGGCTGAGGCAATCCAGTCAGATGGGCAGGCTGGTACAAAAGGAGGAGGAGGAGGAGAAAGAAGAAGAGTTTTTTTCTAGAAAAATAGGTGCCAGTGCTCACCATGAAGTTGTTACAGTAAGTGCCACACTTTTTAACAACAATTTATAAATTAATTAAAAATTAAAAAAAGTGCCGGTACTGTGTGCCCTTGAGTAACCCCTGGAAGAAGAAAAAAGCACTGGTGATAATAATAAATAATAATAATAATAATGGAATACAGTGGTACCTCGGGTTACAGGTGCTTCAGGTTACAGACGCTTCAGGTTACAGACTCCAGTAACCCAGAAATAGTACCTCGGGTTAAGTACCTCAGGATGAGAACAGAAATCGCGCGGCGGCAGCAGGAGGCCCCATTAGCTAAAATGGTACCTCAGGTTAAGAACGGACCTCCAGAACGAATAAAGTTCTTAACTTAACTGTACAATGTTTCTATTTTCAGCACAGAAATGTTGGAGGGTGTGCTACTACCTCATTCTGCTTTGCCATGTGTAGACCAGACCTCAAGGCCCCGACTCAATTCCCTGCAGCGTTACTTGGGAGTAAGGTCTACTGAACGCAACGGGACATACCTAGGGATGAAAACCACATGGGGCCGAGCTGTTAATTCTCCCTTTTTCTAAATCAATGGGCTCTCAGAGTGTTCGGCTGTTGCCAGATTGTGGCCTTTCTCCTTGTCCAGCTGCTGCTGTCCACAGGGTGGATTGGCAAAGACAGGTGAAGGATCAGCGCAGGTTCTCTTAGCTGTCACACTTAGACAGCAGGGATCAGGCTTGCGGGAAGGGCCTAGAGATCATGCGATGCCACATTTCTTAATCTGAGGCCCACCGACAAAGCTTGAATCGATTAAGTGGGGCAGCTAATCAGCTAAGCCCTCGTTGCAAATCAAAATTCTTCCCCCAGTTAATCAGTGGGGCTGGCAGCAAGCCAAAGTTCTGGAACTCCTGAGGAAATTGCCACCATGTATATGTGTATGAAAGCTACTCTTGTTGAAAGATTGATATGTTGCCCACTGCCCAGCAGGTTCTGTAGACAATTCTGACCTGCATGGATCAGTCGCCTCTCTCAGCTTCCTCAGTTTCCAACTCATTTATGGCCAACTCACCAACAGGCCTGGGACACCACTGGTGTTCTGTTGATTTCGGTGGAAAAGATTTTGCCGCATGCTTAATCTTCCCATTTAAACCAATAAAATGTAGCAGCCCTTAACACTGGGTGGATTGACCCCAGAATGTTTTAATTATTTTCTTATATTTTTAATGCGACACGATACAATACGATAATCTTTACTGTCATTGTCCCATACAGAACAACGAAACTGAAAATCTACATCAGACATTCAGAAACCAACAAGCCTGCTATCCCTGCTATAGAGATGATAGATAGATAGATAGATAGATAGATGATAGATAGATAGATCTAGATCTAGATATAGATATAGATATAGCTATAGATATAGATAGATGATAGATAGATCGATAGATCGATAGATGATAGATGATAGATGATAGATGATAGATGATAGATGATAGATAGATATAGATAGATGATAGAGGATTTTAAAAACTCAGTGGTATTTTTGACTATCACTTGGGTCTATACACATAGCCTTTGGAGTAAGCCCCATTTAACTTAGTGGGGTCTGGACTTACTTTTGAGTAGGATTTTGCTTTAAATAACCCAGCCACTGTTTTCACATGGGTGACTCAACCAACTGCATACCCTCCAACATTTCTCTGATAAAATAGGCATGTCCTATTCTATAACAGACTCATAAACTCATAGAATTGTAGAGTAGAAGGGACCCTGAGGATCAACAACAACAACAACTTGGCTGCTATCTGCTTTACCATTAGCTGAGAAGTTCTCTGTCTTTATAAATTTCCTGTTTTAGAAGTATCAGTTGCCTATTTTAGAAATGGATGAATGGGCTAACCAACATCCAACGAAGTAACTCACTTACAAATCCTGTTACTCTTTCCCTCCACACCTGGAGACAAAGAGAAAGGAATCCCTCTTACCCTGGGCCTGCCTACCTCCATCTTTCTCCCACAGATTCCAGACAAGACCAAGAGTTCGGGTTTTTAATCTGTTTTATTTAGTTACTAACGGTGCAACCCTATACACCTTTACCCAGCTCCATTCAGTTCCACAGAACTTACTCCCTACTAACACTGTTCATGATTTCAGGCATAAGTTGTGTAAAAATGGTACCACACTTTTCTGAATAAAACAAACTCTAAGCAGTATAGGGGCTGCTGCTTGTGTCGCTCGCCACCCGCACCTACTCCTCATCTCAAGGCCTTTTGACTGGGTGGAATGTATCCTTAAGGCAAGGATAGAGAACCTGTAGCCTTCCAGATGTCTTTGAACTACAACTCCCATCATCCCTGACCATAGACCAAGTTGGCTGGCGTTGATGGGAGTTGGAGTCCAGGAACATTTAGAGCAGTGTTTCCCAAACATGGGTCTCCAGCTGTTTTGGGACCACAGATCCCACCATCCCTGACTACTGGTCCTGCTAGCTGGGGATGATGGGAGTTGTAGTCCCAAAACAGCTGGAGACCCAAGTTTTGGAAACACTTACCTAGAGGGCCACAGATGACTCACCTCTGCCTTAAAATGTGGTAATGCCCAGATGAAGGGAAGATGAGTAAACTGTTGGATTAAATGGTGCGCCATGGAACCAGAACAACTTGTGGAAGCCATCCCAGTGTTTTCCTGGACCTTTCCCACTAAGTTTGAGGTATTTCCAATTTGGACTGTCCAAAGATTTTTTTTAAAAAACCCACATTTAAAGGAAGAAAGATCTAGGACAATACTGGGATGAGGGAGAGTCATGTGGACATGAACAGAGAAGCCACACAAAACCACCCTTTGCTCTGTTGTGGATAAGCCCCCAAATTCATCTATTTTCTCAGCTGCAAACCCACTGGAGTAGCCAAGTCACAAGCTAGTCCTGCTTCAATATCTGCAAAATTTGATTCACAGAGGAACAGTGATGAACTGGGGAAGGGCTTTGCATTGCTTTGCATATGAGACAGAGCTTGATAAATCCTTCAAGGCACTAGTCCTTTCTCATAATATGTCAACAGATACCCAGATCTGTTATACAAATCTTTTGGCAAATGCATGCAGACTTTCACCTCCTAAATCTGGGTACATTTCTCATTAAAGTCTTATTGACTTAAACCCCCTTTCATTGCCCAAACACTTAACAATGTCACACTTGCAAATTACCAAATATATAAAATGCGCAGGGCTTATTTTGGAGACTGAAGCTAATAACGACAGGGAAAAGATGTCACAGGCTCCAAATCCCCAACGGAGAAAATTTGAGTGTGAATATCATGAGCATGTTGAGTTAATCTCCAGGATGTGGGATTACCATGGGATAAAGGGCATTTCCCCACCAACAGCTGTTCACGTCTGTGCAACGTTATTTGTATATGTAAATTGTTGCTCAAGCCATAATAATTTCAACAGCACACAGAACCGCGTCAACCATGGCCAATGTGTCAATTGTAAGAGCATCTGGCTGAGCGTGTCTGTTCTTCGAAGCAATTGCTGTGAATAGCCACAGCTCAGGATGAGAGACCTATATCTTCACAGTGGGGCAGAATGAAATACACCAGGGACTCGCCCCCCCCCCACTTGTGTTAGTTAGTTTGTTCGTTCCAGAATCCTAAGGATATCTGCTCAGAAAAAAATCCTGCTGGGCATTACTCCCCGGTAAGTGGAGTTAGGTTGCAATCCTAAACCCACATATCCTGGAAGCTTACCCACATAATTCAATAAGACTCACCTCTGAGTAGGCATGTTTGTTATACCTGAAGGAGCGTCTCCACTCCCATCGTCCATCCCAGACACTGAAGTCCACCTCTGAGGGCCTTCTGACGGTCCCCTCACTGTGAGAAGCAAGGTTACAGGGAACCAGGCAGAGGGCCTTCTTGGTGGTGGTGCCCGCCCTGTGGAACGCCCTCCCATCAGATGTCAAGGAAATGAGCAACTATCTGACTTTTAGAAGACATCTGAAAGCAGCCCTGTTTAGGGAAAATTTTAATGTTTGACTTTTTATCGTGTTTTTAATATTCTGTTGGGAGCCGCCCAGAGTAGCTGGGGACACCCAGCCAGATGGGCAGGGTATACCATATTTTTCGCTCTATAAGATGCACCTTTTCCCTCCTAAAAAGTAATGGGAAATGTGTGTGCGTCTTATGGAGCGAATGCAGGCTGCGCAGCTATCGCTGAAGCCAGAACAGCAAGAGGGATCGTTGCGCAGTGATCCCTCTTGCTGTTCTGGCTTCTGGGATTCAGAATATTTTTATTCTTGTTTTCCTCCTCCCAAAACTAGGTGCGTCTTATGTTCTGGTGCATCTTATAGAGTGAAAAATATGGTTAATAATAATAATAATTGTTGTTGTTGCTGTTGTTAGTTGATTTGTTTGTTGCCTATCCTTTGCCCTAAGGTCTCAGGTCTGTTCCAACTAAAAATCAGGAAGAACTTTCTGACAGTAAGAGCTGTTTGACAGTGGAACGGTCTCCCTCGGGAGGTTGTGGACTCTCCTTCCCCGGATTGGGACAGTTTGGCGTTGCCAAAACTCTACGTCCTGACCCGGGTTCAAATGGGTGGTACTTGGGCAGCAGACGTCCCCATGGTGCTCAAGATTCTACACACTCGGGTGGCCGTGCTCCAGGCGGAAGTTTGAGCCCTGAGGACGTCTGCCACAGCAGCTGCTGCTGGCGACTTCCGGCTGAAAAAAAGCCCTAAATATACTATTTAGCTCAGAGAGGCTTCCAGCTTGACTTGCACACCTCTCTTTGCCCTATGATGTGGATATCAGGGATGGGCTTGCAGTATCTTGCAAACTCGAAAGATGCAGATAAGAGACAGGGCTCCTTTCCCTTGCTGCAAACTCATTTCAGCCGCAGACTCGTGCAAGCCAACCCACTTTTGACACTGAATTGACATCTGGATGGGAAAGGAGTTCCTGTTGAAGATCTAACCAGAGCCTCCCGTCGTCAGATTCCTGGGCTTAGGTGTGTTCCCCGTCCACACCTGTCAAGTTGCTATTTTCAGTAGCCGGCTAATCCATTGTTCCCTGCCCCTGGGTGTCAAGCAAGTTGCTCATGCGTTAGCCTTTGGACTGTCAATTTGGCATGAATGACATCTTTTTGGTTTTATTTTTAGAGACGTGACAGTGAGGATGTGTCACAACTTGCTGTGGTTGTGATTGCATCTGAAGTGAATGTGCAATTAATCCTGTCTATCATCACCTCCTCCATGCTCCCCTTTCTCCAGTGATCGCGCATATGAACATGTACCATACCAACAAGCAGAATAAGGTAAAGGTAAAGGACCCCTGACAATTAAGTCCAGTTGTGAACGACTCTGGGGTTGCGGCGCTCATCTCACTTTACTGGCCGAGGAAGCCGGCGTTTGTCCGCAGACAGCTTCCGGGTCATGTGGCCAGCATGACTAAGCCACTTCTGGCAAACCAGAGCAGTGCGTTTACCTTCCCGCCAGAGCGGTACCTATTTATCTACTTGCACTTTGATGTGCTTTCGAACTGCTAGGTTGGCAGGAGCTGGGACCGAGCAATGGGAGCTCACCCCGTTGCGGGGATTCGAACCGCTGACCTTCTGATCGGCAAGCCCTAGGCTCTGTGGTTTAACCCGCAGCGCCACCCGCGTCCCTCTATCACATTCTTATAAGCAGCTTAATCCTGAGGCTACGCCACCACTTGCGAACAATTGTAGCTCTACTGAAGAGCAGTAGGACTCTTGGGCACCCCACTGTCAAGTCCATAGGGATGCAGAGAAACACATCCTAATGAGTTTTGCCTTCTGTTGTGTATGTTTAAAAGATCTTCTCTTTTTCATTCTCATGCCAATGCCTATGAAGTCTCAACCTTGGCTGGGCTAAGGGCAATAAGATGAAAGTATTTGCACAATGTGGGCATTATCCAGCCTACAAGGTGCAAACATTTCTCTGCTGAAAATAGGGGTGTCCTATTCTCTTCTTCTTCTTCTTCTTCTTCTTCTTCTTCCCTGGCCATCTGACCGGGTTTCCCCAGCCACTCTGGGTAGCTTCCAACATATATAAAAAATAATAAAACATTGAACAAATTCCCTATACAGCAGGCATAGGCAAACTTGGCCCTCCAGATGTTTTGAGACTACAATTCCCATCATCCCTGACCACTGGTCCTGTTAGTTAGGGACGATGGGAGTTGTAGTCCCAAAACATATGGAGGGCTGAGTTTGCCTATTCCTGCTATACAGGGCTTCAGATGTCTTCTAAAGGTTGTAATAGTTACTTTTCTCCTTGGCTTGGGGGTCGTACAACTCCATGCCCTCCAACATTTATCTGACGAAAATAGGGACGTCCTAAGAAAAAGTGGGACATTCCAGGATCAAATCAGAACTGGGACAGCATCTGTAAATCCAGGACTGTCCCTGGAAAAGAGGGACACTTGGAGGGTCTGTCCCATTCATTTCCACGGAGGAGTAAATGACATGTTTTGATCTCTCCCACTGCAATAAATGGTAGTTTAAAGTACATTGGCTGCAGAGTAAGTTCTCCAGATTCCACTGAACTCTGACCTGGGCTTGGAGCTTCCAATCTCTCAAAACAAACTTTTATTGTAAACACAATCCAATGATGTGGATTGAGCAAGACGCATTTCCTCGCCACTGTTTTCCTCCAGCAGATACCACTTAAGTCTGCCCCACTGACACCGACACCACAGCCCTGTATTAAAATAGATGTTAGCTAACTCAGATCTAAAGACTCCGGGCAGTTAAATATGTTTGAAAGAAATCACCCTGTACAACTATGAAATATGAATTGATCAAAGGAGTTTGAAGAATTGTTGTATCACTGAGCATCACCTTAGGCACAAAGATTTTCAATTAAATGCCAGCTCACATGCTAAGATGGCAGCACAGTAGTCAAGTTTAGAAAAGAAAAGAAAAACAAATTAAGTTCATACAAATGTGAAGAAGTAGCTTCTAAACACTCCAAAAACTAACATCAAAGGGACTTCAGCAGACATATATTAAGTACTAAGTCACCTTATTATGCTCACTAAAAGATATATAATCCAGAAAACACTTTTGAGCACGTAGCCCATAATATCTTATTTAAAGGAAGGGCTTATACATGGTCAAGAAGTAGCTATGAAAACTTTCAGAGAGGCAGCCATGTTTTTCTGACAGTTGTACCCAAAACGGCAATAGGTCATGTGCCACGGTAAATAATTATCAAATTTATTGTGGCACAAAGTGTCAGGGATTATTGGCCACTGGGGAAGAAATTGAGGCAGTGAGAGATTTTACTTTCTTGGGCTCCATGATCACTGCAGATGGTGACAGCAGCCACGAAATTAAAAGACGCCTGCTTCTTGGGAGAAAAGCAATGACAAACCTAGACAGCATCTTAAAAAGCAGAGACATCACCTTGCCAACAAAGGTCCGTATAGTTAAAGCTATGGTTTTCCCAGTAGTGATGTATGGAAGTGAGAGCTGGACCATCAAGAAGGCTGATCGCCAAAGAATTGATGCTTTTGAATTAAGGTGCTGGAGGAGACTCTTGAGAGTCCCATGGACTGCAAGAAGATCAAACCTATCCATTCTTAAGGAAATCAGCCCTGAGTGCTCACTGGAAGGACAGATCCTGAAGCTGAGACTCCAATACTTTGGCCGCCTCATGAGAAGAGAAGACTCCCTGGAAAAGACCCTGATGTTGGGAAAGATGGAGGGCACAAGGAGAAGGGGATGACAGAGGACGAGATGGTTCGATGGTGTTCTCGAAGCTACCAGCATGAGTTTGACCAAACTGTGGGAGGCAGTGGAAGACAGAAGTGCCTGGCATGCTCTTGTCCATGGGGTCACGAAGAGTCAGACACGACTAAACGACTAAACAACAACATATCAGATGCATGTTGTCCCTTCAATCAGCAGATCTCTCTCTCTCTCTCTCTCTCTCTCACACACACACACACACACACACACACACAATGAGGAAGAGCAAACCATTGTCTCAATTCAGGTCCAACTGAATAGAATCAAGCCATGTTAATTGCCTGCTGGACAGCTCAGTTGGTTAGAGCATGGTGCTGATAATACCAAGGCCGCAAGTTTGATCCAGTTGCATATTCTTACATTGCAGGGGGTTGGACTAGATGATCGTCAGGGTCCCTTCCAACTCTGTGATTCTATCATTCTAATATTCTTATGTAAATTGGTGGCTCATCTATGTATAGCTGCTGAAATCTATCTGAAACACTTTGAGTTGCAGAGGAGGGGCCATGACAAATAAAAGTGGATAGATGTGTCCACTGGTCATTTTAAACCCTATTTCCATTTCAAGGCTAGGCAATCGCATCTGCTTGTATTAGCATTTTAATAGATGAAAGCATTCCCAGACTGGTTCCACTGAGCACTGACTTCAACTCAGTTTCTAGTTTCTAATCAGACTGGAGCTGTCCCCAGTTTAAGGTGGCCAACAGTGAAAATGGAAGGAATCAATGGAAAACAACTGCAAGAATTAAAGCAACTGGCACCAAGGTAAAAAAGTGGGGGTGTGTGTGTAAAGGACCCCTGGATGGTTTAGTCCAGTCAAAGGCGACTATGGGGTTGCGGCGCTCATCTCACTTTTCAGGCCGAGGGAGCCTGTGTTTGTCCACAGACAACTTTCCCAGTCATGTGGCCAGCATGACTAAACTGCTTCTGGCACAACATAACACCGTGACAAGTGCCAGAGCACACGAAAATGCCATTTACCTTCCCACTGCAGTGGTACCTATTTATCTACTTGCACTGGTATGCTTTTGAACTGCTAGGTTGGCAGGAGCTGGGACAGAGCAATGTGAGCTCACCCCGTCACGGGGATTCAAACCGCCGACCTGCAGATCAGCAAGCCCAAGAGGCTCAGTGGTTTGGACCACAGCGTCACTGGTTCCTACAAACTGGAACACACCTCTTGACCCTGGTCGTTAACACCTGAGATGTGCATTTTCAGGGGGCCACCCTATTCTACGATTGCAATCTGCTTTATGAATTTTTTTAATATTGAATTATGAATCATAACACTCTGTGGGACCTTGCTGCTGAAAGGCAAGTAATAAAAGCAACAAATGGGGAGCCACTACAGAGAAGGCCCATTCCCGTGTTGCCACCCTCCAGACCACACGCCGAGGAGGCACACAAGGAAGGGCTTCAGATGATGAAGGCAGAGTCTGGGGTGGTTTATATGGAGAGAGGGGGGTCATTGAAAATAAATGAATTCTAGGTTGGCTTGATTGACGATCAAAATCCCAGATGAATAAGACTCTGCCACGTGAGTCCACCTTCTTTTTGAAGATACGATGATATCTTTATTGTCATTCTTCCATACAGAACAATGACATTGAAAAATCTACATAAGACATTCAAACCCCCCTAAAAACTCTGAAACCCCATTTTAAAATACAATATACTCCTATAGAGACTCCTTATACAGTGGTACCTCGGGTCAAATACTTAATTCGTTCCAGAGGTCTGTTCTTAACCGGAAACTGTTCTTAACCTGAAGCACCACTTTAGCTAATGGGGCCTGCTGCTGCTGTCGCGCCGCCGGAGCCCGATTTCTGTTCTCATCCTGAAGCAAAGGTCTTAACCCAAGGTAATATTTCTGGGTTAGCAGAATCCGTAACCTGAAGCGTATGTAACCCAGGGTACCACTGTACTGTGTTTAAAACCAGAATTGCATTTGGGTAGAAACTGTTTCTCAGGCGGCTAGTCCTAGTCTTTATAACCCTGTACCTTCTTCCAGAAGGCGGAAGCTGAAAAAGATCATTTCCGGGGTGCACACTATCCTGCACTATCTCTGCAGCTTTCTTATGGCACCTGGAAGCATAGATTTGATCCAAGGTGGGAAGAGTGCACCCAATTATTCTCTCCGCAGTCTTTACAACCCTGGACAGCATTGGTTTTTTTTCCCCTGGCCGTGCAGCGCCCAAACCACACACAGAGACCATAAGTTAATACACTCTCCACAGTACAGTGGTAAAATCCCATCAACAGGTCCTTTGAGAGATTGTTTTTCCGGAGGATTCTCAGAAAATATAACCTCTGCTGTGCTCTCTTCATCAGGTCTTTGCTGTTTTCACCCCAGGTTAGAATGCAATAATTTATAGGCTCTGGGCATGCATTCACACAACCTTTGTGCACGCCATAAACAAAGGGGGGGAGGAAGTGTCATATTGCACTCCGGTTCCGGTGGTCGTCTGTGCTTTAAAAACATGGTGCGTGAATCAATCAATCGCACGATATAGCTCGACTCTGCTGCTGCTCAGAGGGCGGGGCACGCGATTCCAAGGAGAACCCTAGATCGCCGCCGCTATAACCACTAGGAGGCAACCTCTCCCCTTTCTTGCGACCGAAGCGCGGGTGGGGAGGGTGTGTGGAGAGAGAATCACCCTGCTCTTGAATGCTCAGATGGCAGCATTCAAAGGGGGGCGGGCGAGAGGCGAGAGCGAGCGAGCGAGCGGGGAATACTGGAAACACGAAGGTGGTGTCAAGATTCCGCCCGAGGGAGCGCGGCATTCCGACGCGACGGTCCTGCCGGATTCCTGGCGAGGACCCAGCCGTGCGTCTCGCGGAGCGCAGGGCGTGAGCGCAAAGAGGCGCTCCCTTCTTTTGGATGGCGGGCGGGCGGGCGGCTCCCCTTTGCAAATGTGCCCGGCGGAATTGCACCATCGGAGCGGGCTCCCTGCAGGGGGTGGGGACCCGAGGGCGCTTCCTTAAACAGGCACCAGAAGGAGCGGGCGGAGGCAGGCCAGGCACGCCGCGATCCTCCTTCCTCCTGGGCGGCTGCAGTCGCTGCTGCTGCTGCTGGATTTGCTGCTGTCGCTGCTGCCGTCGCCCAGCCCTGCCCAGCCCAGCTGCAGCTCGGGCTTCTCTGCATGTGTCATCGAACACGTGGGGCTCTTTTTGCGCCGCGGAAACTTTCGAGGGATACTTGCTTCCAACTTGGACTCGCGCACGGCGACATCGGAATGGGGAGGCGCGGGAGAGAGAGAGAGAGAGCTCTTAGATCTACTGCACCGATCCAGACGCCTCTTTCCTGGACGTGATCGCCTCGCTGCCTTCCCTTTCTGCTGGCGCTTGGAATTGCGCTCCCGCGTCGTGAAACCACGTCTGGACACGCCAACCCGCTTCTTCCTCCCTTGCCCTCTTCTTCACGTGTGGGAAATGTGGCATGCGTGTCTTTGGAAGGAATGGGCTCTGGGTGTTGGGGTTTTGCTGCTGTTTTTTTTTTAGCCTAAGTGGCGAACCTCGCCCTCCCTGCACCTCCCTCCCTTAGTTCCTTCCTGGGTCCGCTTCATAGTTTCGAGAAGATCTGGAAGGCCATGCTATTGACGGCCAGGAGACCCACTTGGTTTGCTTCCAGCACCCCCGGACCAAAGGTAAGCGGCGAGGGCTGGGGTGGAGGGACAAGAGAGCAACTCCGCCCGCGTGTTTTGCGTGCGCGTGTCAACTTTTCAGCTGCGTGCGCTTCGAGACTAGGCGGTCGCTGTCACCGTTTCCTCGCAGCAGACGGCGATTGGGGAGACCGGGTCCCTTGCGAAGGGTTGAGCAATCAAGCTTGCGCACGTTCCGACGACCGGGACGTGAGGAGCCGCGAATGCCCAGGGCGTGCTCGGCGAACCCGCCGCGGACGCGGGTCCTCCTTTCAGAATGAAAAGGACACCAACACACGCCCCTCTCGGACTCTGTCGCAAGAGTGCTCTGCTTTGGAGAGCAGCCCGTGCCAAGTCAATTTCGCCCCGAACGCGTTTCCTAAACAGGGAGGTAGCTAGTTAAAAATTAACACGCGTTTGAAACAAACCGAAACGAAAACAGAGTTGACCCCCATAACATCAGTGAGTTGCGCGCGGCTGGAGTTTGACTCAAGTTCTCCAGAAATATCTGGAGTTGGGTCTATTTGTTTTTCTGGCTTGACTATCTTTCAATCATTAAAAAAAAAAAAAGAACAAAAATGTCCCAAGCCCTCCTGAAGGTGCGTCACGTGTGAACGATCGAGCGGCGGGTGAAATGGGGAGTTTGGGGCTGGGTCTTTGCGGGCGAGATGAGAAGTTTCTGCCTTCAACTGGCCTACAAAGTCCCATTTCTCGGCTCCCAAGTCTGCGCTCTTGTCTGCTGCCAACCTGAGGTCCTCTACCCTCAGCGGCTGAAACCTTTAAACGTGGGGAGGTTCCTAATATTACAGGCCGGGGTGAGGGGGGGGGGAGAGATCTACTGCCTCTTTGCAGATGCAGATCCCCAAACGAGATCTCCCCTTGCTTCCCCTCCAAAGCTGGCAATGGCTTGGCGGGTGTTTCTTCTCCAACCACGCTAACACAGTTTGGGGCAGGGCATATTGATCAAGGACACGATCCAGTCACCGTGGAGCACTTTTAAGAGCACTTTGGTTTGAGTGAGAAAACTAAGCTGTCTGATGCCCAGTGGGTTTCCACTGCGCTTCGTTTTGACTCTAGTTTTAGCAAATGGCCGCAGTTGTAGTGACCGGTTCCAAACCGACACTGAAATCAGAGAAAGTATAAGAACAGATGCCAACATTTCAGAGGTTACACTTAAAAGGTTTTAAAAAATATATTAAATTAAACTTGGTCAGAGACCAGACTTGCTTCTTGCCCTGTAATTTGCTATTTAAAATATTAAGTACAGTACCAACAGAGTGTCGCTGTCAATTGAAAGTTCGACGTTGTTTTCCGCTGAAACTGATTTCGCAGGCCCACGCGGAAAGATATTTATGTCTCCTCAATCTGCAAGTCATGCTAATCAAATCTGGTTTAAGGCCTTCATCTCTTTACCTATGCTTTTTTACTCTCTCTTTTAAAGAAACTCTTCTCCATATATATATGTATATATATATATATGAAAATAGAGATTAATTACTGCACATGTTGCCTCCATATAGTTCTTTTGGCTAAAAGCACAAATCAGCTGATGATCTGCACTTTTACGCCCAGAAAAATTAGGCCATCGTAACTTTATATACTGCCTGCGACAATGAATATCTTTTTGCTTACATACATATAACGTAAGTATTTTTAAAACGAAAAACCTAAAATAGTTAAATTGCTTATTTTAAAGATCGTCTTTTTTTTAAGGTTGTCTTTTATCATTTCTATTAAGAACATAAAGACGACTTTTTAAAAATATGTGGCCTGTATTCATAATGATGGTGGCTGTTTCATTTATGTATGTTTGTGTATGTGGTGCAATTTGGAAAATCTTTTCGCTGAAATGAAGTTACAGGCAACACTTCATTGCTAGGGAGCAAAGGGAAAAGCTGAGTCCATGTGTGTTACGCAGAAGTAAGCCTCTCTGAGTTCAGTAGGGAATAAGTAATTGTGCGTACGACAGTAGCATTTAAAAGTCTCTCTGAATTTTAACTCTGAAGCAAAAGCTCTAAATCATCACAATTAATTATTCTTACCATAACTAATGTGGTCATTATGGTATACTTCTCCAAAGTCCCATGACATGTAACTTACGTTATAGCTTGCTCTTTTCTACATAAACAGGTAGATAGATTGATAAATAAATAAATTTCCTCAGCCTGGGAGTATTCCCTCACCCCACCCTCCTCTTCAGTTAAATATTTCAAATTCCTGCAGATTTATTCTAAAACAATCTTGATGATTTTTCATTTTCTCCTATATCTTTATGAGCAATGGGAAAAAATCCTGGCCCAATTCCCCCAGATCTGAACTCGCATGTTCAGATTACGCAACCGATGAAATTTGTAGCCAGCCTTTGCTAATTAGATTTAATCTGGTGCGTTATGAATTCACCCACACCCCAATTCATGAATAAAACAAAATTAATGTTTCCCCAGCTTTTTCAAAACTAGTCCTCCTGTTAGGCCTTTGCTTACCGTGTGTGTGCAGCTGTTAATCTATTGTAGTCCCACATATCTTTGGGTAAATATATATTTTTTCAACTCCTACGCAGTTCAAGAGAGCCATTTATTGTTGTTATTATTATTATTTGCTAGGAAACGGTTTATAAATGTAAATAATAAATAATATGAACAAGTTAGTTTGCAAAGGCTTTTAAAAACCCGTTGGGAACTTGGGATCTGATATTAAGAGTGTCCCATCCTCTGCTCCCCACCATAAGGCAGAGTTCGAGCCAAAGAGCCATAAACCTACAGAACGTCCTCTTTAATTAAGAGACCACCAATGTGACCTTAAGTGGACACGTTTGGAAGACTAGGCCATTGAAATCACAGCAATTTATTTCCAAGTGACACTTCGCCTTTAGGATCAAGGTGCCAGTTTTTGATCCACAGGCTGGAATTTAACGTTCTTGTAACGAAATTATGCCAAACGATTCAAAAGCTCTAGGTTCAGGTAGGCAGCCATTGTTGGTCTGACACAGTCGAAATATATAAAAAAATTGTTCAGTAGCACCTTAGAGACCAACTAAGTTTGTTCTTGGTACAGTGGTACCTCAGGTTACATACGCTTCAGGTTACGTACGCTTCAGGTTACACACTCCGCTAACCCAGAAATAGTGCTTCAGGTTAAGAACTTTGCTTCAGGATGAGAACAGAAATCGGACTCCAGCGGCGCAGCAGCAGCAGGAGGCCCCATCAGCTAAAGTGGTGCTTCAGGTTAAGAACAGTTTCAGGTTAAGAACAGACGTCTGGAACGAATTAAGTACTTAACCTGAGGTACCACTGTATAAGCTTTCTTGTGCAGACACACTTCTTCAGATAACAGATTCAAAAGCTGAATTGGATACAATTTCTACGCTGTTTCTTTGGGCTCCATTTTTTTGCAACTGTTTGTTTCAAGTAACTTCTTCTAAGATACAAACCTTTTACAGTATAACTTGCCATTACAGTGGCACCTCTGGTTACATACGCTTCAGGTTACAGACTCCGCTAACCCAGAAATATTACCTCGGGTTAAGAACTTTGCTTCAGGATGAGAACAGAAATTGTGCTCCGGCAGCACGGCAGCAGCAGGAGGCCCCACTAGCTAAAGTGGTGCTTCAGGTTAAGAACAGTTTCAGGTTAAGAATGGACCTCTGGAACGAATTAAGTACTTAACGCAAGGTACCACTGTATATCATTACCTTTTTCAGATAAAGAATGCCAAATTGCTTTTAAAAAATTGCCATATACCTGGGAGCTGGATGTGGCGGATACATGCTTGGAAGAAAAACTTTAGTCAATGGGACTTGATTCTGAGTAAACTGCCACAGAAGGGCAGGCGTAATTCCATGCATTTTTATTCGGAAACTCCCACCGAGTTCTGTAGGGCAAGATTCTGTTAGCTGCATTTAGGCTGCAATTCTAACCCTCTTGCCTTGAAGTAAACCCCCTCAAAATTCAACAGGACTTGGGTAGACATGGTTAAGATTGTTCTATTCCTTTGGAATAAGCCCCACTGAATTTATTCAAAAGTTAATAGGCTGGAATGACATTAAAACCATTGCTAGCTAATATATGTTTTCGTCCAGACCCAGCGATATAGGTTTGTTCTTGTTCAGTTGCCTGTCTTGGACATCACTGGACTGAAAGGCAGCGGGGAAATTTACTTAAATAAATAAAAATATATAAGTTGGATTTTTTTAAAAATCCAACTTATATACCAAAGGTAAAGCCACTCTGCTCCAGAGTGGTCTGGAAATCTGTATCTTATGATGTCCCAGACTTAAATTATTTCACGCAAGTCATCTTACAGACTGCAACCCAAACTTATTTTCAAAGCCGTTATCGGCATACTTTAGCGACATGATAAATCTGGTTGAAATAACGTGTGTTCGCTCAGAGGGTCAATGCGCAGAGTTGCATACCGCAAACTTATTGCAAAAGGGTCGCCTAATATGGCCTATGCAAGGATACATTCCAATGTGTATGAAATGTCGACTATTTCCATTCACAGGCCCCCAGCCTCTCCCCGTTGTGTGGACTAGGCATACAGGAAAATGACAGGGACTTTTGCTGCTGTCCAAAATAGCCAGACAGCCTCGTAGCAAAATCGTAATAATAATTTCAACTTTAAAAAATCTGTTTCTCTTGCTTTCTTTCCCCTGATTTAAGTTTTGTTGCTTAACGCATAAGTGTTGCAGATGTGCAGAAAGGCGGGGTGTGTGTCAGAGAGAAAACAATACGAACTTGGGACACTGTTGCCGAAACACTTCCAGAAGTGTGGTTTATAAATTCTCTTTAAATCTATAAGATTTAACATTTATTACATTAGGAATTCTGTTTGGTTCATGCTGTGCTCACAGAAAGGGGAAATGTGCCATGGATTGGGCTATTGATCATTATTATTATTACTATTATTATTATTATTATTATTATTATTATTACTCAACAAAATAAGGACGTGATGCAACACACAGTTACCTGTGTTTAATTTTCTGTTAAAATCGCCTGCACCAAACAGTAGGATCACCAAGGCAAGGTACTGTAAACCACCCTGTGAGGTACATATATTTAATACAGAACACAGTTGTACTTTGGTCGCCAAACGCCTTGGAACTTCTACGTTTCGGCTCCCAAATGATCGAAACCTGGAAGTGAGTGTTCCAGCTTTCGAACGATTTTTGGAAGCCAAACGTCCAGCACGGCTTCCGATTGGCTGCAGGACACTCTTGTGTCCAATCAGAAGCCGCGTCTTGGTTTTCAAACGGTTCCGGAAGTCGAACGGACTCCCGGAATGCATTCTGTTCAAGAACCAAGGTACAAATGTAGAATAACCAATAACTGGGTAGTGGTCCGGGCTCCGCTCCGCAGAATGAGCAGGAGACATCCTCCTCCCCTCCCACCACATATGAAACAAGTCATTTAGGAACATTACCATCTGAGGAGAGGGAATCCTGACACCCAGAGTCGAAAATTTCCTAAGTGCATGATGGACACCAGACCAGAATTCTGTTTTGTGCAGATTAAGAATGGCCCTCCAGAACAAATTAAGTACGTAACCAGAGGTACCACTGTATTATCTTCAGTGGCATATATATATATATATATATATTGCATTTTCAGAAATCAGGAGAAGTTTTGCCCCACCTATTTATTCGATTTCTGAAAGAGAAATAATGGCATTTCATTCCAGTCCTATTTTTCTCGGAAGCCAGTCGCATTGGTTTTGATGGAATGAACGAAGCATGCTTAGGTTTGCAGCCTTATTTTCATTTCCAGTTTATGAGTCAGTTATAATTTGTATGTGAAAAGTGCCTTTCCTTGAAGTCACCGCAGGAGTCCAGCAATGGATGGGAGGAAAAGTTGCTTGCTCACTCCGTATGCGGCCCATGCAAAACTTTAAAGTACAGTGGTACCTCAGGTTAAGAACTTAATTCGTTCCGGAGGTCTGTTCTTAACCTGAAACTGTTCTTAACCTGAAGCACTACTTTAGCTAATGGGGCCTCCCGCTGCTGCCGTGCCGCCGGAGCACGATTTCTGTTCTTATCCTGAAGCAAAGTTCTTAACCTGAAGCACTATTTCTGGGTTAGCGGAGTCTGTAACCTGAAGCGTATGTAACCTGAAGCATATGTAACCCGAGGTACCACTGTAGCCTCTGGTGTTTATACCTTTCCCACCTATGTTGTTTCCCCAGTATAGATCACCCCCCCCAAAAAAATATATGTATTAAATAGAAATACCGTATGTAGAATCCTCACTGTGAAAAAAATAACCATATTCATTTGGAGTGAAGTCCCTGAGAATGAGAGGACTTCGTGCACATACTATCACTGGATCAGGGCATTTAGGTAGATGAATGATCGATCGATAGATCTCACACGTACAGACAAACATTATTATAACCACCGCTCCAATCAGTGGGAGTCTCTCTGATGGTCAAAATTACAGAAGATTTATCCTTCCTCAGACCATTGCCTCCCATAGAATAGAAGACGATCCTCTCCCCTCTCTCAATTATTTCTTTGAAACATTATTTCTTTTCTCCCCTCCAGCCAAAAAGTCTCTCCGGAGCAGCTTACATGAAATCAATAACACGGTCTTGCTCCAGGCTGCTCTTCAGTGTTGGAATCCCTGTCTAGCAGATTTCTCCCTCTATCAGTTTCACACAAGACTCTTAACTGGACTCCGGTGGGGGTTTTACTTTACTTTATTTTTTAACTTCCGGCAGACAGGACAAAGACTTTGGGAGAGCAGGATTTCTGTTTGAGAGAAAAAAAGTTGTCCCGTTCTTAACATGGATGGCATTGTCTTTTGTCTGCTAACAGTGTTGGGCTCCGTTCTTTTTCCGACGAACTGTATGTAAGTTCTGCTTCGAAGTTCTCCGTGTTATTCTTTCCATAGTCATTGGTTGTAACGAAAACAGGCTGGTCAACCTGGTGGCACTTTAAAGACTAAGGGTGAGATCCAATGTTGCGCTAGTTGATCCCCCTCCCCTTCATCAACCCCTTGTGACGCCCCGCCCCCCCAATCTGTCGTGAAGGGTGGCCCCCAACTCTCTGGACCAGATTTTGGGAGCGTAAGTCTGTTTTTGTGCAAAGTGAGACACTACAAATTTTAATATAGCATGAGCTTTGTGGACTGTGGCCCATTTCACCAGATACAGGTAGGATTATAGTTGCTTGCAAGTACAGTGGTACCTGGGTTCTCAAACGCCTTGGTACTCGAACAACTTGGAACCCAAACACTGCAAACCCGGAAGTAAGTGTCCTTTTGTGACACTTTTTTGGAAACCGTACATGGTCCTTTTTGAGTGCCACACAACCGTTTTGAGTGGTACACTGAAGTCTGTCTGATTTGCTTTTTTTTGTTGTTGTTTTTGCATTTTTGTGGCTCTTTTTTTTGTGACCGTTACTGTGTGGAATGCAGTTCGGCTACTGATTGATTGATTGTGTGATTGCAGTACGTTGTTTATCGCTTTCATTTTATGGATCAATGGTCTCGTTAGATAGTAAAATTCACATTAAATTGCTGTTTTAGGGGGTTGTTTTTTAAAATCTGGAACGGATTAACCCATTTTGCCTTACTTTCTATGGGAAAGCACACCTTGGTTTTGGAATACTTTGGTTTTGGAACGGACTTCCAGAACAGAATAAGTTTGAGAACCAAGGTACCACTGTATGTGGTTGCAGGAAAGGGGGTTGTACAGAGTAAGGTTGAAAGGAAATTAAATGCAGAAAAGGACAGAAGGTGATATTTATCTCATTATCAATGGTCTTCGTAAAAGCCAGTTGCTGTTGATAACACAGGTATTCTGGCATCGGTATGCCCATTGACACATGCAGTATGTGATTTAAAAACAAACAAAAGGCAACCTCTGTCACAATTCCGTCCACAAGTGACAGAACTGAACTGCTTGACAAGTTATAGTGGAGTAGTTTCATACAGTAGCCTCCCTTTGAAGTTTTGCTGTTCCAGTATAGCCATTTTAAGATCTGTTACAGGATGGGAGGCTGAAATGTATGGTTCTGACATATCTTTTGATTCATGACATTTCTTTCTATTTCCCACACAATATTCCTTTTGATTCAGATTTCTGGGGATGGTCAAACTATTTTTATTCGTCATGTAGTTTTCCTCGGTATACTTTGATTGCTTGTGGCACTTCGGCGTTGCCAAGGCCCAAATACTTTTAAGAAGTATTTTTATATCATGGGCTTACATGTGTTCTATATCACAAGCTGACTTGTCTGTGCAGACTGTCAATGTTTGGACAAAAGAGAAGGCTCTTTCTATTAGGCGAGGTTTGCGTGGGGGGAAGGTGCCAAAGGAAATCTGTAAACATACAACAGGGGGCACGTTCCACACTCTCTGCAGCAACAGTGCTTGCCATAGCTGAACGGGGGTTAAATTAGCATTTTCTGCAGCCAACCGGCAAAGTGTGAAAGGGAGAAGTGTGTTTCTGAACGACTATTGGACATGCTGATTGGGGCAGATGGGAGACAGAGTTCAACTCAAACTAGAGGGCTATGGGATCCTCAACCCTGCAGCTAGCAATACTAGGCTAGATCTGCTTTCCCCAAGGTGACTGTGTCCTCTGCGTGACATTGGACTCCAATGGGCCTGTCAGCTCCAACCAGCATGGCCGGTGGTCAGAGACAGTTTTAGAGACTCAGATATATAAGCCAGGCACCAAATGGCTCCTTAAACCAAGGTTACAGTCGCTAAAATGGAATGTCCAGTTGCCATTTTGGGGTAAGACAACGGGTAAGACAGCGGGTGGCGCTGTGGTCTAAACCACAGAGCCTCTTGGGCTTGCCAGTCAGAAGGTCGGCAGTTCGAATCCCCGCGACGGGGTGAGCTCCCGTTGCTCCGTCCCAGCTCCTGCCAACCTAGCAGTTCAAAAGCTTGCCTGCGCAAGTAGATAAATAGGCACCACTGCGGCGGGAAAGGAAACGGAGCTTTCATGCACTCTGGTATCCGGCATGGTGTTCTGTTGCGCCAGAAGAGGTTTAGTCCTGCTGGCCACATAACCCAGAATGCTATCTGTGGACAAACACCAGCTCCCTTGGCCTGAAGTGAGATGAGCGCCACAACCCCATAGTCGCCTTTGACTGGAGTTAACCGCCATGGGGTCCTTTAACTTTTTTACCATTAAGAGGGTTCTAAAGTCTTATTTTTCAACTGACTGTGATTGATTCTCAGTTAAGCATCTGGCTAGTTCAGATGACAATCTTGAGCTAGGTTAAGAGCTCTGAGAACTTAAAGGAGAAAAGTTGTTCGACCCAGGGTCCACATATATATTGGCCTATTCCGACATCTTTTTCTTAATGGTGACATGAATCATTCATAACGTGAGAATATTCTTCACAACTGTGAGCAGGGCAGTGGGGTTGGGGACATGAAGACAAGCGACAACAATTAACTATAATATTGTTCACCGCTCCTGCTCAGGCTGCACAGAAAAAGTACTGTATTTTCTGGCATATAAGACTACTTTTTAACCCAGGAAAATCTTCTCAAAAGTCGGGGGTCGTCTTATATGCCGGCTACAGCAGCAGCTCCTGCAGCAACTCCCCACCAAAGGACAAAACGACAGCAAATTAAATCAGAGGACACCAAGCTCTCTAGATGAAGCAGAAATACGCTTGAAAATTGGTCCCAGAAGCCCCCCCAATCACTAGCAACAGAATGACCCTAACCACTCCTAGTAGTAGACCACATGGCCCAAAATGGCGGCCTCGCATTGCCCCAGCAACTAGACATGTGGCCGCTGCCTCAGCCCATGCAGCCCCCGCAGTAAAAGAAAAGGAAAGGCTCACAACAAAGGCAGGGAACCAACAACAGCATTAAGCACACCCCAGGTCACTGGGAAGTGGAGCGGATTTTATTATTATTATTATTTGGTGTGCGTTGGAATAAGGGTAGTGTTATACAGCAAGTATATCCCAAACTCTATATTTTAACTGGAAAACTTGGGGGTCGTCTTATACGCCCCGTTGTCTTATACGTCGGAAAATACGGTATTTCGGTTCTTGAAATTCTTTCTGATTGTGCAGATAAAATAGAACTGATAGAATTCTACAGGATGGGTTATTAGTGTGTAAAAACAATCGTGATCTAAGGATGCCCAGATGGTGGAGACGTCAGGTGGCATCCTGGCAACTGGGCATCTTCACTTGGTTGCAAGTGGGTGATACCCAGGTGCAAAATGTGCTTGGCACCTGGCTAATTTTGAACACTGGTCAGAGGATGATGTGAATGCAAGGTCCACCACTATCTTGTGGGCACCAGGTTGGAGAACATTGGGCTACATAGACAAAAGGTCTGGCAAATAGATTCTTGTCTCTATATCATTGAAGCAATCCCCAAGTAAAGTTGGTGTAGCAGTTAATTTGTCTTTGGACTTTACGAGGCAAACACAGATCAGGCCAGGCTTCCCAGATCTGCGTGCAAGAGGGGTTTGCCTGGGCATGTCTCTCACGATTTCTATATTATCTCTGAGAAATATCAGTATAACACCAGCATGCATGCAGCAGTCATGTCTGCCTTGTAAACGGCGGAGCCATTCTGGAGAGATAGCTTCACTTTGGGTTTCCCTATATCCGGAATTAGTGTCAGGGTGTGTGTGTTGAAAAATTGGTAAAATGTCTGGGGTTTTGCCCACAGAACCAGGTGTTTGAGTATCACTCTTTGCCTTTGGGGGGCAATTTCCCCCAAAATGCTCAACAAGTTTTTGGGTGATTTTCCTCACCAAAATAACTTTTGTGTGTGGATTTTTACTTCTTGAAATATGGCGACCCTATCTCAGCATGCTGGATACAGGCTTTAGAGTCACACAGGGCTCTTCGTCAGGTTGCATGCTTTTGAAAGGGGGAGCTCCAAAAGCAGAGGGGAATGGTGGTGACAGTCCTGCTCAGCTATGGGGCATTCATAGATCGGCAAGGTCTCTTGTAGACTGTATAATGGAGAAGCAGCAGCCTTTAAAAAAAAAAAAAGCTATTCATTGGAGTCAATCAAGCCCCATCACCGGGGTTTCATTTAAAATGAAGCATACTGTGACTCTAGGATGGGGGAAGTTGCGCCTTCTGATATGAATGCCTTTCTGCCTAAGGCTTTAATTAAGACGATGTTTTGCAGGTAGGGGCTGGTTGCAATTTAGGATGGGCACTTTGATGCATGAGCAGAAAAAAAGAGGACGCCGATTTGTCTGAAATTTGAGCATGCTCATTCGTAAGTACAGAAGACACTTTATTAGTAATAATTACTATAATTGAATAGAAATAAGTCTTTTGCTGTGATGCAGTGACCCATGTGTCTGCTCAAGCCGCTCTTTATTCCGCTGCTCACTGTGGACGGGTAACATAAAGACGTCCTCTGCTTCCTCGCTTCTGATGGTTCTTGAACAGTAGACAGGAACTAAACAGTCCTGCAGATAGAGGACGGTCTTTTGTAAAGTCACAAGCCCCTCAGCCCCAGTTGTGGTTATTTGGCAGGGCTACTGACTGACCAGAAAGAAAGCCATGCATGGCTTTGTTATTCTGCCTCTTGACAGCGCCTTGATGTGCAGAACTCAGCAGGGGGAAGCTTTTCACAGTGCGGAGACGCACATTATCAGCGACCGGTGTCTGCACATCAAGCTGCCGTTAAAAGCAGAAGCTGCGAGGGCCAGCTGAAAAATGGCCAGCCCTGTGACTCTGTCAGCACCAGTTCAGATATACAGTATTAGAAAACTCCTTCAGAGATAGCCGGCTGAGCAGAGCCACAAAGCTCTGACGCAATGCGCGAATATCGAGAGGAGTGGAGATCGGTACACAAGACGTGGCCAATATCTGGGCCATGGGTAAGCAAACCAAGGCCCGGGGGCCGGATCCGGCCCAATTGCCTTCTAACTCTGGCCTGTGGACGGTCCAGGAATCAGCATGTTTTTACATGCGTAGAATGTGTGCTTTTCTTTAAAATGCATCTCTGGGTTATTTGTGGGGCCTGCCTGGTGTTTTTACATGCCTTTTATTTAAAATGCATCTCTGGGTTATTTGTGGGGCATAGGAATTTGTTCACCCCCCCAAAAAAAATATAGGCCACCCCCCCACACACACAAGGTCTGAGGGACAGTGGACCGGCCCCCTGCTGAAAATGTTTTCTGACCCCTGGGGCTGTTTGAGCTCCTGCAAACGCTGCCTTTGGGTGGTGGTGCCCTTTGAAATTTGGCTGCATTGGAACAGAATGATGACCCGCCTCTCCTCCTCCCAGTACTGTGCTTTCAGCTACAAAATGTGTCATCCTCCAGGGAATGCAGTCTGCACATGCTCAGAGTGACTTCCTATCATCTGATGAGGCTGCCATCTTCTGTTTCCAGAACTCCAACCGTTTAGCTTGAATGCCTCGGCGAATGTGGAACACGGGATAGTTCAGTTGGTTGGAGCATGGCGCTGATAATGCCACGGTTGCGGGTTCGATGCTCGTATGGGACAGCTGCACATTCCAGCATTGCAGAGGGTTGGACTAGATGATCCTCAGGGTCCCTTCCAACTCTACAGTTGCATTTTTCTAAGTTGCCTTGTCCTCTTTGTGGTTATAAACAAGCAAACCAATAATGTGCCTGTAAGCTTGTGCAGGGCCTCTTTTCCTTCTGATAAGACGTAGCTGCTTAGCGCATGATGCATTTGAGCATGTGCAGAGTGCATCCTCAAGGTACCACGTTTCTCTTTACTTTAAATGCATCTTGTGGTGGGGGAAAAAAAGAAATAAAACCACTAACCAAATTTCCCCCTGGTTCTTCATCTTCCTGGGTATGGCAATTGGACTAGAAAACTGGGAAAATTTAATCAAAATGTTTTATAGATGGTACTTAACACCTGCCAAAGTAGCTAAAATGTATAAAACAAAAGCAAACCTGTGTTGGAGGTGCAGTAAAGCAGAAGGGACACTTATACATATCTGGTGGAGCTGTGAAAAAATCAAAAGCTTCTGGGATATAGTACTGTATATGATGAACTTTTAAAAATGTTTAAATATAACTTTGTGAAAAATACAGAAGCTTTCCTGTTAGGAATAACAGACACAGGTATAGCAAAAGAAGATTGGAAAATATTCCTTTGTGCCACAGGCGCGGCGAGGACCTTAATTGCCAGAAATTGGAAAGAAGAATTTGTGCCAACAAAAAAGGAATGGCAGGATAAATTATTAGATTACAGTGGTACCTCAGGTTACAGACGCTTCAGGTTACAGACGCTTCAGGTTACAGACTCCGCTAACGCAGAAATAGTAACTCGCATTAAGAACTTTACCTCAGGATGAGAACAGAAATTGCATGGCGGCAGCGGGAGGCCCCATTAGCTAAAGTGGTACCTCAGGTTAAGAACAGTTTCAGGTTAAGAACGGACCTCCAGAACGAATTAAGTTCTTAACCCGAGGTACCACTGTATACTGAATTGGCCAGATTAACAGAGACAATTAGGGGACAACCCAGACAAGAATTTCAAAAAGGATGGGGAAAATGCAGAGAATACTTTACCAGACAGTGCCCCAAAATATACACCTGGACTTGTTTCGATTAATTTCTACAGGAGACTTTGCGGGTTTTTAAAGACATAATTAGGAAAAATTGTAATAATCACATATTAAAGAAACAGTATTCAAGAAGTAAATAAGGAGGCCATTTCCAGGATAAAGGAAGTCTTTTATTTTTATGTTATGTTTTCTTTGTGTAAGGGGATAGGAGTTTAATTTCGATAATTCAGTTGTCAATGGTGGTGGGTTTGTTTGTATGTATGACTTGTTGTGGACCATGTTGTAAAATAAATTACTAATAGACAACTGGGGTATTGGCCCTACTGGTGTTGAGCTGGGGATTTTGGAGTTGTTGCAGGGCAGAAAGCGAGGCCACAAACATCCCAAACAGCATCCTTTCCCCCTTCCCGTCATGCAACACCACTTTGGCCTTCTTGGGCAAGCTGGCCGTTCCAGACCAACCCCTTAGGAAATTTCCCTTGCAGGCCCCGCTTGTTTGCAAACATGCCCCGCCTTTTCATTTCCCCACTTGTTAAACAGATTCCAGACCTCAGCCCCCTATCTCAGATTAATCCCCATCATCTAGCTCATACAACAAGGGATTCTTTCTCTTGAGATAAAGATGCAACCCTGAGTCCTTGGATTGGACCCGGAATGAAATCTAAATAAACAAATAACCTTGTGATGCTGCAGTTTCCCCCATTTTAGAGCCCTTACGCAACCCGGTCCTAGTAACAATGTGGCCCCAGTAGCAGAATGAATGCCGGCTGCTTGGCTCTCTGAACAGCAACCAGGAGAATCAGGCTATTGGCTATGTTAAGTGTTTCACAAAGGGAACAATCCTAAGCATATTTACTCAAAGAAGTAAAGGGGACCCCTGACCATTAGGTCCAGTCGTGACCGACTCTGGGGTTGCGGCGCTCATCTCGCTTTACTAGCCGAGGGAGCCGGCATACAGCTTCCGGGTCATGTGGCCAGCATGACTAAGCCGCTTCTGGCGAAGCAGAGCAGCATACGGAAACGCCGTTTACCTTCCCGCCAGAGCGATACCTATTTATCTACTTGCACTTTGACGTGCTTTCGAACTGCTAGGTTGGCAGGAGCTGGGACCGAGCAACGGGAGCTCACCCCATCGCGGGGATTCGAACCGCCGACCTTCTGCTCGGCAAGTCCTAGGCTCTGTGGTTTAACCCACAGCGCCACCCGTGTCCCTAACTCAAAGAAGTAGATCTCACTAATAAGCAGGGGTGTAGGAAGGGGGGTGCGGGGGGTGGGCCGCCCCGGGTGTCATCCCTGAGGGGGTGAAAAATGGCACACTGCGGGGGGCAGCACTTACCATGGGGCCTGGCCTGCAGCACGCCTGAGCCACACATCTCTCCTGAGAGTGACGCAGTGGCTCGGGGTCCCGCACTGCCCGAAACTGCAGCGTGGGGCTTGCGTCCGCCAGGCGGACTTCATGGGCAGCTTGTCGCGCCGCCCCCCTGGGCAGATCTCCAGCCTGCCCCCGTGCGCGGATCGCCCCATCCCCGCCACTCTGGGTGCCAGAGCAGCTAGCTAGGCCCCTGCTAATAAGCCTTGTTGAAGCTTGCATACTTTTCTGGAAGTAAAAGTCATTGAACTCTACATATTTTGGATACAGTGGGTACTCAGGTTGCGAACGTGATCCGTGCGGAAGGCACGTTCGCAACCCGCAGCGTTCACAACCCACAGCACCGCGTCTGTGCATGCACGGGTCGCAATTTGATGCTTCTGCACATGCGCAAAGTGCTGAAACCCAGAAGTAACCCGTTCCGGTATTTCCGGGTTCGGCGCAGTGCGCAACCCAAAAACATGCAACCCGAATCGTCTGTAACCCGAGGTATGAGTGTATTAGCATTTTTTAAAAAATGTAAAATGGACTGGCTTCTTGCACAGCAACTGTGGGAACGAATGGATTGAGCACACAAAAGTGTGAATGTTAAAAGATTTATAATGGATTGATTTAAATGCAAGCAGGGTGTTAAGTTGTGGGCGAACATAGCAGACGACACAGCAATTCTTCAAACAGCTCTTCTACATTCAGATGTCAGAACAGAACTGAACTGAGGGGCTCAGTCAGCCTGCTTATATAGAGCTCCAGAACAATGTAACTGTTGCCATTTTCTAAAACTATCCAATCACTGAACGTCACTTTTCGATCCTTCATTTGCATACAAACTATCCAATCACTGAACGTCACTTTTCGATCCTTCATTTGCATAACTATCTACAGTATCCCCCTGCTGGCCCAGGGTGAGAACTTCAGTACATAACACAGGGCTTGTTCGCAATGCCTCGCCCTCCCTGCTTTTTTAGCCCAGCTTGAGTCACCTGTGTGAGTGAGATATAAAATGTAGAATTGAGCCTTGTATGGAACAACTATTCAAGGGGCTGCCAACAGGATTATTTCCAAATGTTGCAACTCTCATCATCACTGGCCATTCTGGCTAGAAGTTAAAGGACCCCTGGATGGTTAAGTCCAGTCAAAGGTGACTCTGGGGTTGCGGCGCTCATCTCACTTTCTGGCCAAGGGAGCCAGTGTTTGTCCACAGACAGCTTTTCCGGGTCATGCAGCCAGCATGACTAAACTGCTTCTGGCACAACTGATCACTGTGACGGAAACCAGAGTGCACGGAAATGCCATTTACCTTCCTGCCGCAGTGGTACCTATTTATCTACTTGCACTGGTGTGCTTTCGAACTGCTAGGTTGGAGGGAGCTGGGAGAGAGCAAGGGGAGCTCACTTTGTCGCAGGCATTCAAACTGCTGACCTTCTAATTTGCAAGCCCAAGAGACTCAGTGGTTTACACCACAGCGCCACCTGCGTCCCATGATTCTGGCTAGAGTCTAGGACTGGGTGATATATCGATATATTGTCCAAAGCTGGTTTGAAGTCCATATTGTGATATCACTTTCATAATTTTTGGCCTGGCAATATATTATGTTTATTATTTTGTTTGTGTGCTATATAGAAATCACAATGTGGGGAAAACCATGAAGCCAGCCAATGCTTCTCTCAGTTCCTCCTGTTTCCGAGGCAGCTGCACCAATCAGAAGTCGTGCCTTGGTTTTCAAACATTTCGAAAGTCAAACGGGCTTCCAGAACGGATTAAATTTGGTGCTTTTGTTTTTGCTATTTATTTTGCGTTTTTGAGGCTTTTTCGGTTAATTTGTTTTTGTGACTGTGTGGAATCCAGTTCAGCTACTGATTGATTGATTGATTGATTGATTAATTGTGTGACTGTGGAAATGGATAAAAGTCCCCCATCCAAACAATGACTGTCATCAGTGCAGGTAAGAAAATAATAATAATTTTATCACCCACAATACTGTCTTATTTATTTTATAGTACAGTACATTGATTATTGCTTTCATTTTATGGATCAATGGTCTCGTTAGATAGTAAAATTCATGTTAAATTGCTGTTTTAGGGGTGTTTTTAAAAGTATGGAACAGATTAATTTGTTTTGCATTACTTTCTATGGGAAAGCGCGCCTTGGTTTTGGAACGCTTTGGTTTGGGAACGGACTTCTGGAACGGATTAAGTTTGAGAACCAAGGTACCACTGTACAGTGGAAGAGCAGATGCAGGGAATGCAAAGCCTGTGCAGCTGATCGTTGCTTGTGAAACTGGCCTTCTGTGGTTCAACAGTTTCGGATGCCAGTGGCTCTGGTTGAATTGCGCTCATGTGCTGCAGATGGGACAAAAGCGCCAATCACCTTTGATGGCGTATCTACTAAAACTAGCTCCCCAACCCAGTCCTGTTCTGAGCGTCTGATTGGTGGTGCTGCTGATTATTGGCCTGAGGCTATGCGCATCCAGGTAGAAACGAAGAGAAGCAGTGTGAATGAATGCCATTTCCAAATAGATGCATAAGCATTGATTTATTCATGCTTATACGCGGGTGGCGCTGTGGGTAAAACCTCAGTGCCTAGGACTTGCTGATCGTAAGGTCGGCGGTTCGAATCCCCGCGGCGGGGTGAGCTCCCATCGTTCGGTCCCAGCTCCTGCCCACCTAGCAGTTCGAAAGCACCCCTAAGTGCAAGTAGATAAATAGGTACCGCTTTATAGCGGGAAGGTAAACGGCGTTTCCGTGTGCTGCGCTGGTGCTGGCTCGCCAGAGCAGCTTCGTCACGCTGGCCACGTGACCCGGAAGTGTCTTCGGACGGCGCCGGCTCCCGGCCTCTTAAGCGAGATGAGCGCGCAACCCTAGAGTCGGACACGACTGGCCCGTACGGGCAGGGGTACCTTTACCTTTTATACTTCCTGACTGGCTCAGTGCAAATGAGTCTCAAAGGGTAACCTCCTCTCATGACCGTTTTCCTAGACGTGGACAACGTTAGTGTTGGGAAAATGCATACTTTACTGATGCTCAGCGTTTGCAGAACTGAGTACTCCATTTCGCCATTTTAGCCGTTAACGGTACTATAAAATAAAGGCAACCTGCCCATCCATTCACAGCAGCTTAATATCTAGTCCATACAATGCACGATTACAAATCATCTTCCAGCGTCCCTGGAAAGGGCGATTCATGCAATTCATTTTTGGATCTTGCGAGCAGCCCTGGGCAAGCTGATTTTTTCCCACGGGGAATTGTATTGTGAAGTAGCCACAACCTAGCTAAAGTTAGCGATTCCTAAAATCCCGAGGTACCACTGTATAGGACTGGCAATATGACCTCCCTACCAATTCACAGCTATACAGTGGTACCTCGGGTTACAGAGGCTTCAGGTTACAGACGCTTCATGTTACAGACTCCGCTAACCCAGAAATAGTACCTCGGGTTAAGAACTTTGCTTCAGGATGAGAACAGAAATCACGTGGTGTCGGCACGGTGGCAGCGGGAGGCCCCATTAGCTAAAGTGGTACCTCAGGTTAAGAACAGTTTCAGGTTAAGAACGGACCTCCAGAACGGATTAAGTTCTTAACCCGAGGTACCACTGTACTTGAATGTTTTTTGCCCCTTAAACAGATGGCACACTGTTATTTGCACTTCAGGCGGCCTTTATTCAGCAAGCTTGCAATCTTCTTTGCCTTTTGCTGTCCTTAAAGGAGTTTCGCTTTGTTTTCTCCTTCAAAACTTGACATTGCTTTTGCTAGTGAACAGGGAGGTAGGCTCCCTTTTAGCAGCCGGGACAGACAGCTGCCACATCATAATGGTAGATTTTTTTTGGGGGGGGAGTGGGTCAGCTCGTCCTCTCCTCCCCACCTCCAAAACTTAAATGCTGCGAAGTTTTATTGTGCTGCAAAGGTGACATTTCCAACATTCTGAAAGGATTGGTAAATATTTGGCAGACCTGATTCACGGGATGCAGAAGGTGGGGTGGGGTGGGGGAAATGGTTGTATCTTATCTGCGATAAGAGCTGAAACAAAACTATCTGGAGCGACCCAGTGCTCAAATTGGCCACGAGGAACAGGACAGGGGGAGGAGAGGGGAAAAAATCAGGAGACGAAATACTATGGAACATGGAAGTTTTCCAAACGCAGGACAGCAATTTGTTGACAGTTGTGTTTGCTGTTTTTAAATCTCTCTCTCACTCTTTCTTTCTTTCTTTCTCTCTCTCTCTCTCTCTCTCCTTCCACCCCTCCTCTTTTTAAATGTTAAGTTACCCTCGAACATTCCTCTGCTAAGTTCTGATTTTTAGAAAATGGAAACAGCAAAGGGTTTATTTATTTATTTATTTAACCACAAGGTTTGAGACAGTTCCCCCGAGAAAGGGGGATTTTGGTCTCCTTTGGTATCTTTTGACGACATGGGTAAATCTTGGACAAGTCGCAGCTTCTGGTAGAGAAGCCCTAATTTTTTTTAAAAAATGCTTTTGCATGAAAATAGCTTAAAAACGGATTACCTCTTCAACTTTCGAAACAGCTCAGTTTGACAAGACGTTTTAAAAAAGATGCTCTTTATTCCAGGATCTCAAATATGTGTACGGCGTAAGATAATTATGGATGCCTCTCATACCGGGAAACGAAAAAGCAAAACAAAATCCCCATCGACCCCTTAGGTTTTGAAACGTTGTTTTGGAAAACTTCATAGTAGGGATGCTTCCTTGATTGAGAATTCATCCTGATTTGTTTTGAAGGAGATTAGACAAGCGCTGAGTATTTAACAAGCATTTGTTCCAATTTGTTTTGGGGACGTTAGGCGATGATGCCTGCAAGCAACTTTTCCAGGGTACCGCTCCATCACTTTCACCACTGCGAAAAGTTCGGTATTCTAGGAAGCAGGTTTGTTGTATAAGGCCCCCTTTAAACGTGCAACCTGAATTGACCAGTCTGCAAATCTATTGCAAATCTGAATGTTTTATTGGCAGGGCATGGGTCTGAGGCAGTGCTAGGCCAGCTGAACTTTGTGGGTTTCCACCTTTTTAAAGGATGATAATTTTATCTTAAAGTATGAGGCAACAAAAAGCTTTTCTTCTGTTCCCTCCCCGCCAAGCCTTGCTGCTGCTTCTAGTGTCTGTCTGCCTGTTCTTCACTGTTTCCTCTGGAAATGACGCTGTAACATCGCATTTAATTGTTGTTTTAATGTGCTTTTATTTTATTTCCGTTGCATCATTTTACCAGCTTGGTGTCTGCTGCTGTGGGGCTCCTAAGTTTGGAAGGGTGGGGTATTTATTATGGGCAATGCCAAATTTACGTATGAGGTAAACAAGCTATAGCTTAGGGCCCCACTCTCTTGGCCCCCCAAAAGTATACTTCTTAATTGTATTTCACTATTAATATACTTCTTCTTAATTGTATTTCAGTTCAACAATTACTTCGATAAAATGCATATTTTGTTGTGTGCAAATGGCTTTAGATACCTCTTAGGTCCATAAATTACTATATAGCATATATTCAACACAAAAAACAGCGACAATTTGTCATTGACAAAGGACAGCTGGACATATAAAGGGCCCCATTACCTTCAGTAGCTTAGGGCCTCATCAAACCTAAATCCGGCCCTGGTTATGGTTGGCATTTACTCTTGGGAGATGCCTTGAAATTAATGGACATGGTTAGGTTAGGTCCCTTAATTTCATTGGTGCTTCTCTGAGTACAACTTAATTGAAAACCACCCTATTTATTTATTAAATTTCTACCCAGCCCTTCCTCGCAAAGGAGCCCAGGGTGGCAAATGCACAAGCGATAAAATGATTACTCTTAACATCTAAAAGCAATAGACACTTTGTCCTGGATCTTAGGCAAGTCAATCAAATAATCGGTTATTTTCTGGCGCTCAGCAGCTCAACAATTTTGGGGTCTTCCTGTTAAAAGCTCAACAACTTTTTGGGGTGTGCTGGTTTTTATTTTTTGAAATATGGCAACCCTCGTTTGCCTTCCCACTGCGGTCACCCGTCGTGTGGATTCAAACCGCCAACCTTCTGATTGGCAAGCTCAGGAGGCTCAGCGGTTTAGACCACAGCACCACCCGCTCTCTTATCAGCCAAGGGAATGCAGTCCTGTATAGGGATGTTTTTAATGTTTGATGTTTTATTGTGTTTGATGTATTCATTTGTTGGAAGCCATCCAGAGTAGTTGGGGCAATCCAGTCAGATGGGCAGAATAATAATAATAATAATAATAATAATAATAATAATAAGGCAATTCTGACCCAGAAACCCATGCCATTGCCAGTAGCACCTATGGCACTATTTGAAACTGCTTCAATGCTTGGATCTTTTTTGGGGGGGGGGGTATGTGTTAAAAAATGAAGAGCAAATCTAATAAAAAGCATTGACCGGCTCACATTTAAAGGTATGGATTGTTTAAATTTGCAGCCAAAAAACACTGATTTAATTTTTTAAAGACATGCAGCAAAACCCTCAGCAGATTTACTTGGCCTCATTGGGGTTTTCTCCACACTAACTGATGCCAGGAATGTCTAGAAGACCAAAAGGCAGATGTAAATTTATATAATTTGTAAAAGTAAATTATGATTAATAATAAAGAAACTGCAACAGTCAATTAATTAACACACACCTCAATTTGGAAGCCAATGCAGCACACATTTATGCAAAACGAATCCAGAAAATAGGAGGGAGGGAGAAGATGCCATTATTATTATTATTATTATTATTATTATTATTATTATTAGAGAGTGAAGCCTTTGGACATTGATCCTTTGTATGTGAGTGGAAGTGCTGTAAGTACAAAATCTTATCCCAATTTCCACTGGTGAAATATTAGGGAGGACAATTAAGTTAACTAGTTATAAAATAATATATGTAAACCAACCTAACAGGTTTATGGAAAATGGGTTTTTATTGTAATGTTTTGGAATAACAAATTCAATGATAATGTCTAACCTTATGCTGCTTTCAAACTGCTATAATAGCATTTCTTTATCTTTGGTTTATTTTGTTCAAAAAAAATGGGGGGAATGTAATGTAGAAGATGCCCTAAAGTGATAATAGGCCCTGTGAATCCAACATCTCAGATTTTCACAACTTTGAAGATGACAGTTCCTGAGCCCAACGTTAAAAATCTCACTGTTGAAAAATTGTAAATTGGATTAATGAATCCGTTAAAGAATTTCTGTAATGTTTCTTAGCTTTAAAAAAGACAGCAAAAACGTCATTTATCCAAATGCTAGCAATTCAGTTCATCTTCTGTCTTAAAATGAAATTGTAACAGAGTTCAAAAAGTTTTTGGAAGTTCAACAATGAGAATACACAGCTTTAAAATAAGACAGTGTACCACGTATAGGTTAGATTTCAATGTTAATTTTCTCTCCCCATAGAACAAGCTTCCTTTGAATATAGGATTTCAAATTCAGAGGATTTCTAAGATAGAAAAAAGCTTTATTTAATTCAAAGTTAACTACAGGGTTAAATTCAAGTATGCAAGTGCAATAATGAAAGGAATAAATTCCAGAAACTGCTAAACCCTCGGCATTGTTACAGAACTGTGATGGGTTTGCCTTGTGCGGGAACATCTGGAATAATATTGTATTTCCACCAAGCGGAATTTTATTCAAAAAGAGCAACGATAGGCTGAGATTTGAGGGATAAGAAATCCTGATTTATTACCCTTTTAAACTGAAGTACTTCAATTTAATCAGATTAAGGGTATATTCTCTAGCCCACACTTGCATTCGTTAGTTTCATTTTTAGCACATTTTCATCACCCGTTTGTATTAACAACCCTGGTGATGCTTAAATAGTTGTGAAAGGGAACAGTAGTGATTCCAGTCTAATTAAACCTGGCTAAATTAACACGGAGTTCAGGCCATTGTCTGTGTCGTGGCAGGGGGGGAAAGTATTTATTCTTAATTAAGGCTGTGGGATGATCATTCTAGAAGTTAGGGAAAACTTCTTACATGCTATCAAGCATTGCACGATAGCGACGGTCTGATAAAATGCCCAGGAACGTTATTTTGTGTTATTAAATATGTGTTGCACATTGCCAAGACACCAATTTGGCAGAGAGCGTAACTGACAACTCTCTGAATCAGAACAAAATTAATTTGCGCATAAAGCCTCTTCGGTAACATCAGTGGATTCCAGGACACGTTCAGACGTAGCAGCCGAAAGGATGATAGTTCCATGACGCACAATTCAGCAAGTCCTAAACCTAAAGTTTCACTAATTTCAGTCGCATTGCCCTTTTCCAAATCGGCCTAATGAAAGCACTGATGCAAGAATAATGAAACTTCCCCTAATGGCTGGGGTGCCAACTTGAATAAAATATTAGGGAGGGAGGCAGGTAAGCCCTGCCCAGTGCCGGATTTACATATAAGCTAAACAAGCTATAGCTTAGGGCCCCATTCTCTTGGGGAACCAAAAAAAAAAAAAAAAACTAAATTTACATTTCCAAAATATAAGATAAATAACAAATAAAATAAAACCTACATACAGCAACAGTGTTTTGTGTTGTGTAGGCTCCTGTGATGTAAGTAATGGGCCCCGCCTGCTCCCTAAAATATCACTGGTTTGCTCATTTCTATATATAGGGTGCCTACATTCTGCATGTGCAAATGTCTTTAGATACTTATTAGGTCCATAAATTACCATATAGCATATATTCGACACAAAAAACAGCGACAAGGGATATCTGCTTTTGAATTGGCTCTTTCTTAGCTGGAATCTTGACACACACACAAAAAAACCGCTGTGAAAATGCTTTTTTTCAAAAGTGCTTTGAAAAAAATATTGAATTTGCCATAAGCTCACCACCACCATCTAGTGTCACATTTCTTTTATGCACTCAAAACGGCCTTAAAACATTATATTTGCAGCTCTATAGCTGAGTCATTACCTTCTGTTCCTTAGGAAGAGTATTCACGAGATAGATTCCAGACTTAGAAGATTTTCTTACAGCCAGGCGTCATGCTACATTGTTGGAATATCTCCTTGCCGATTAAGATGTGGGGTTGAATGTGTGGAGGCCTCTCTCTCAGGGTAGTGTACACACACACACAGCATGTCAGAGGAAAATCTCTGCCCTTTGCTTGTCTGTGCTTTGCTTAATGTACACATTTTTGTAAGCAGCTTATCCCAATGTGCTTTATTTTTGTTTGCTATTTGCACTGCTGTATGTGTAAGGTAAAGGTAAAGGGACCTCTGACCATTAGGTCCAGTCGTGGCCGACTCTGGGGTTGCGGAGCTCATCTCGCTGCTTTATTATTATTATTATTATTATTATTAATAATAATAATAATAATAAATTATTTATACCCCGCTCATCTGGCTGGGTTTCCCCAGGCACTGTGTGCGGCTCCCAACAGAATATTAAAAGCACGATGAAACATCAAACAGGGCTGCCTTCAGATGTCTTCTAAAAGTCAGATAGTTGTTTATTTCCTTGACATCTGATGGGAGGGCCTTCCACAGGGCCGGCGCCACTACCGAGAAGGTCCTCTGCCTGGTTCCCTGTAACCTCACTTCTCACAGTGAGGGAACCACCAGAAGGCCCTCGGAGCTGGACCTCAGTGTCCAGGCTGAATGATGTGGGTGGAGACGCTCCTTCAGGTATACTGGGCCAAGGCTGTTTAGGGCTTTAAAGGTCAGCACCAACCCTTTGAATTGTGCTCAGAAACATACTGGGAGCCAGTGTAGGTCTTTCAAGAACGGTGTTATGTGGTCTTGGTGGCTACTCCCAGTCACCAGTCATGCTGCTGAATTCTGTATTAGTTGTAGTTTCTGGGTCACCTTCAAAGGTAGCCCCACATAGAGTGCATTGCAGTAGTCCAAGCGGGACATAACTAGAGCATGCACCACTCAAGTGAGACAGTCTGTGGGCAGGTAGGGTCTCAGCCTGCGTACCAGATGGAGCTGGTAGACAGTTCCGCTGGACACAGAATTTACCTGTGCCTCCATGGACAGCTTGGGCAGGTTACCGTCTCTCATTTTCGTTGTCCCATTGTTAACTTCCATACAATAGGTATAAAGCTCAGACGAATATTCGTTGGAAATTTTAGCTTTTTCTGGACTGTCGTAATTATACAATATGACACTTTCCACCCGAACCTAGTAAGTACAGAGCACCGTACAAACATACGATTCAGGGAGGCACGAGTTGTGACGTCAGACTGACACAACCACCTTTGCTCTCTGCTTCAGTTTTGCCAAAGCAGCAGCTCAAGTGATGAGGGCTGAAGTCCATTTTCATTTTTCAATGGTCCACCCACTGTGGTCCTTCTCTGGAGAAAGAAGCTTCTCTATCCATCTCAGGAACCATAGGAGCAGCTGTTTCACTTATTAAAGCCTTAGCAAGCCAAACATGGAGACAAATGACGGGTTTTGTCAGAGAACATATTGAGGAGTTTCCCTTTTGGGCTGTTTTATTTTAGTAATGCAGCGTTGTCTATTTTATATTTTCTTAACGGATTGTTTCTGGAGCTCCGGTGGGAACTTCATCACCCCAGATTTATTAGAGTGGTGCGTTACATTGTTTCCATTTAATATAAAACTGAAGTAAATAGGGGGAAAACCCTGCCGTGTGGGTGTGTTTGTGGGTGTGTTTGTAGGTGGTCGACTGCATAGAAGGAATAATCTGCTGAAATAAACAGATCACTTCAGAATTTACTGGAGTGTACTAATATAACTTCTAAAAATGGGGTGTGATCTGCTTCCTTTAACTTTCGAGTTTCCAGTCTCCTTCCATAGCTGTTGCCTTCCACCAACACCCTGGCTCAGCCTCACGGGCAGCACAGGAAACTAATAATAATAATAATAATAATAATAATTTTTACTTATACCCCGCCTTCCCCGGCCAGAGCCGGGCTCAGGGCGGCTAACACCAATAAAATCACAGTAAAAACATACCGGTAATAGGGGAAAAGGAGAGAGGGGGGAAAACCCAATTTAAAAACAGTTAGTGGACCAAAGCTCATTTTTATATTATTGTCAAGAAATTGAGCTGCTTTGTATAATTTTTTGTGAGTTCGGCAGGCGACATCCTGCCATTGATAGATGTATTTGGCCTCTGTTTGTATAACCTGTACGAAAATGTTGCCCTGAAAATGTGACTCAGCCCTGGTAGACTCTCACCAGGATTTGTAAGAATAGAAAAACAACGGAAATATTTCCGCAAGGCCAGCTTTTAGGCAGTAAGTTGTCATTTCAGGGAGATAGTGCAAAACGCCATTCTAAATCCAGTGTACAAGGTTTTGGTTGGGGTTGCAGATACAGGCAATGAAAAACAACATTCTTTTCACTTTATTCTTCTTGGTTGCCTTTTAGTGCAGTGAATTTTGGAGGAATCGTGGAATTGTAGAGTTGGAGGGGACCCTGAGGATCATCTAGTGCAACTCCCTAGACCCCCATCGGACTATAACGTGGGCTGCCATTATGTTTGGAAACGCCAAGTGGCAAAGTTATTTTAATGGACTTTGCCACTTTTAGGTCACATCATGGATGGAAGTATTGGTGCCTTCCGGCTGTTGGTTGCAACAGTGAGCAGCCCGTTGTTTCTGGGATTCGAAAGCCTACAAGCAGGGAGTTGAGGCAAGAGCTATACCTTTTTGTTTATCCATCACAATTGCCCAGTGTATCTCTATGGGGTTCCTGGTCATGAGGGCTAGAAACTTGGAGAAAGTTCCAAAAGAGTTGCACTTTTTGTTTCCCTGCAGTAGCTCAAATCAGTTAAGAGTGGGGTTATGGAAAAAGAGCTGGGGATTGCTACTTCAATGTCTTCTGGACAAAGGACATTGCGGTATTGCACAAGACTTGGACCACTGCAGTAATTTGAACTCTGCTGATAACCTAACAAGTGGCTAAAGGTAAAGGGACCCCTGACCATTAGCTCCAGTCGTGACCGACTATGGGGTTGGGGCGCTCATCTCGCTTTATTGGCTGAGGGAGCCAGCGTACAGCTTCCGGGTCATGTGGCCAGCATGACTAAACCGCTTCTGGCGAACCAGAGCAGCGCACGGAAATGCCGTTTACCTTCCCGCTGCAGCGGTACCTATTTATCTACTTACACTTTGGCGTGCTTTCGAACTGCTAGGTTGGCAGGAGCTGGGACCGAACAACGGGAGCTCACCCCGTCGCGGGGATTTGAACCGCCGACCTTCTGATTGGAAAGTCCTAGGCTCTGTGGTTTAACCCACAGCGCCACCCGCGTCCCTAACAAGAGGCTACTTTGGTAGAAATATTTATTGTATATCACAAGAGGTCTTGTGGAAGCAGACATAAGCATTTGGAGAGAGACTCTGGCCACAAGGTTATTCTGCTTTGAAGAGAGATTGTTTATCATATAATAAGCAATTTAGAAATTAGGAGAAACATTAAGCTACAGTGAGCACTCTCTCTGGCAATGTGATCCCCCCCGCTTTCTTGGCCTTTATTTTCTTCCATGACTAAAATGTGCCTTTTCATGAATTTATTGGCAACAAACAACATGTGATTGCTTGGGGGATGGTTGTTTAAGGAGCTGCCACAATTTATCAATTATTTTCATTCACAACAGCCAATTGTATTAAAGGATGCGCCTTATCAGCCTGGGCAGTGTGTATGGAGGTCCTGAGCTGCCCAGACGACAAGACTCTCAGCCTCATTGATGTGGTCTGAAGGAAAGCAGAGTAATACATTTGGCATGAGCTGGGCTGCAGGAATTGTTGTAAGGAGGTATACAAGGTGCAATCCAAGTTTTAGGAACTCCACTCTGGATGTGTGTAGAGTTTACTCCTTAGGGATGCGGGTAGCGCTGTGGTCTAAACCACTGAGCCTCTTGGAGTTGCCGATAAGAAGGTCGGCGGTTCGAATCCGTGTGACGGAGTGAGCTCCTGTTGCTCCGTCCCAGCTCCTGCCAACCTAGCAGTTCAAAAGCACACCAGTGCAAGTAGATAAATAGGTACCACTGTGACAGGAAGGTAAACGGCGTTTCCGTGCACTCTGGCTTCCATCACGGTGTCCTGTTGCGCCAGAAGCGGTCTAGTCACACTGGCCACATGACCTGAAAAGCTGCTTGCGGACAAATGCTGGCTTCCACGGCCTGAAGCAAGATGAGTGCCACAACCTCATAGTTGCCTTTGACTGGATTTAACCATCCAGGGGTCCTTTACGTTTTTTACTCCTTAGCCTTTTCTTCTCCCAAAGATGTCCCACAAGGCAGGAGGTACAGATTTTTCCTTGGGGTTTACTCCTGAAACCTTTCTTGAGTACAGTGGTACCTCAGGTTACATACACTTCAGGTTAGATACGCTTCAGGTTACAGACTCTGCTAACCCAGAAATAGTACCTCAGGTTAAGAACTTTGCTTCAGGATGAGAACAGAAATCGTGCTCCGGCGGCGTGGCGGTGGCAGGAGGCCCCATTAGCTAAAGTGGTGCTTCAGGTTAAGAACAGTTTCAGGTTAAGAATGGACCTCCGGAACGAATTAAGTACTTAACCCGAGGTGCCACTGTATAGGCACGAGGCAGCAGAGGTTTACTATCAGCATTTTCCTTCTCCTAGATGGCCTCACTTCTCAAGTGGATGAGCCTCATCTGCCCCTCACTTCCCTCTACAGCACGTGCAGTAACCACTTTGTTGACCATGGGTAGGCAAACTAAGGCCCAGGGGCCGGATCCGGCCCAATCGCCTTCTAAATCTGGCCTGCAGACGGTCCGGGAATCAGCTTGTTTTTGCATGAGTAGAATGTGCCCTTTTATTTAAACTGCATCTCTGGGGTATTTGTGGCCTCTGCCTGGTGTTTTTACATGAGTAGAATGTGTGCTTTTATTTAAAATGCATCTCTGGGTTATTTGTGGGGCATAGCAATTCGTTCATATTTTTTCTTCTTCAAAATATAGTCCGTCCGCACCCCCCCCCCCAAGGTCTGAGGAACAGTGGAGGGAAGTTTGCTGACCCCTGTTCTTGACGTTTGGATTCAGTCTTGGTCTCGTCTGCTCAATCCACCAGAGCCTGTCTTTGCATGCAGATCAAGCCGTTTTTTGTTGCTAAGGTGCGGAAGCGAGAGCCAGTAAAAATGTGGTCTAGTCTTCCGTCTTCCAGAGAACTGAGAGCAGCAAAAGAGGGCCTTCTCCATGTACCCCTTAGGAGGAGAGGCATTCTCCCCAGTGAATCTAAATTTTAGGTTCAGATGTTACTTTAGGACTTCTTTTTAATTTACCCAAGGATTTCACTTGGCTTTGTTGCATGGTGGCAAAGCTGGTGTTTATTTTGAATGACATTATCCCGCTTCTTTATAGTCTTGCTTTTACCCTTCTTCTGTTTGCTGTTTTTGCTTTTTCATATTTTGCTACGGTTTTAATCCCGCTGCTGATCTCATTTTATGAGTTATGTTCAAATGCTTTTTTAATACAATTTTTATTGCTTGATTTGTGCACACATGTGGGGATGCACACAGGTGTTCTCTGCCTCGTACAACAACTTGGGAGTTTTAGAAAAGTGGAAAAGGTGATTTCTACATTTTAATAACATAAAAATTCAAGGCAGCCCATTTAGGGCCAGTGCATATCGGAGGAGAAAGAGCCCTGGAGACTTATGGAGCCTACAGTAATGATCTGTTTCAAATTTCAAATTGAGCTTCTGCACAGGGATTCTAATCGTAAATTTCCCTGAAAATACACTTCTAAAATTAATAGTTAATGTGCGGGCGGTCAGAATTAGTGGACACAAACTAGGATCAGAATCAAGTTGCACTATTTTTACACGCATATTTTTTTTAGATTCAGTTACGATTTACAAATACAAATATAATTTGAATCCTAATTTGAATACATAATATCATGATATATGATTTCATAATGTGCCTTATTATACATTTGTATAATTAGAATTATATCTTTTTTGTACAGTGGTACCTCAGGTTAAGTACTTAATTCGTTCCAGAGGTCCGTTCTTAACCTGAAGCACCACTTTAGCTAATGGGGCCTCCTGCTGCCACCGCGCCGCCGGACCACGATTTCTGTTCTTATCCTGAAGCAAAGTTATTAACCCGAGGTAATATTTCTGGGTTAGCGGAGTCTGTAACCTGAAGCGTATGTAACCTGAAGCATATGTAACCCGAGGTACCACTGTATTTGCTTTGCTTCGTGCAACACACACACACACACACACACACACACACACACACACACACGGCCCCTTAAGGGGCAAAGCAGTTGCTTAAGTTTGGTTTCACTTTTCTTTTTGCTTCTAGCAGTGAAGTTAACACCCAGGCAGGAATCAAAAGAAGCTTTGCCTCCCACTGACTGGCTGTTCTGCTGGGTGTTTGTGTCGAATGACTACAAAGAACCAGTGAAGATTTGCAAAGGCTTTTTGCCTTGCGTTTAAAACTAGGCCGTCTAGTTATGTGGTATCCCCATAAACTTCCCTGCCACCCTTTTACAGGAATCCCAACCCCTTCGCGCAACTGCGAGGTGGCGTTTAAAAAGTGTGGGACCACCACCCATTAAAGCATTAACTTCACTTAAGCCCATTTATGTGAGCCGGCCTTAAGCACGTTTCACGACTCTGTGGCTGGGGAATTTGGAAACGCAGTCAGCCATCTGCGGAATAGAAATCTATTAGTGGTTTAAAAGCAATTTTTGCAAAGAGCTCAAATAGAGGGGATGGTGGGAGTTTTGTCTGTTTGAATGTACAGCTGCCACTATCGTGGAGAAAGGGGGGGTTGACTTGTTTTAAGTAAAATGGGGTTAACTGTCCCTGCCCCCAGTTCCGTGGGACATTCACCCTCCCTTAGGAAGATGAAACAGGAAGATACTTAGTGTTTTTTCGGGGCGGGGGGGCGGGCAGTTGAATTATAATACAGTGGTACCTCGGGTTAAGAACTTAATTCGTTCTGGAGGTCCGTTCTTAACCTGAAACTGTTCTTAACCTGAGGTACCACTTTAGCTAATGGGGACTCCCGCTGCCGCCACACCACCGCCGCACGATTTCTGTTCTCATCCTGAAGCAAAGTTCTTCACCTGAGGTACTATTTCTGGGTTAGCGGAGTCTGTAACCTGAAGCGTCTGTAACCTGAGGTACCACTGTATGGGGGGGGGCAATCTGTTAAATACAGTGGTACCTCAGTTTAAGAACAGTCCTGTTTACGAACTATTCGGTTTACAAACTCCGCAAAACTGGAAATCGTGTCCTGGTTTGAGAATTTTACCTTGGTCTAAGAACGGAATCCAAACTGTGGAAGGGCACCGGCGGCGGGAGGCCTCATTAGGGAAAGCGCGCCTTGGTTTAAGAACGGTTTCGGTTTAAGAACAGACTTCCGGAATGGATTAAGTTCATAAACTGAGGTACCACTGTAAAAGCTATTGACCTGGGATAGCTCAGTTGGGAAAGCATGAGACTCTGAAGCTCAGGATTGTGGGTTCAAGCCCCATGTTGGGGAAAAGATTCCTGCATTGCAGGGGGTCGAAGGCCCTCATGGTTTCTTCCAACTCTGCAAATCTATGATTCAATGACTGTTGGCATTCCATGGGATCAATGTAATGTCATGAGACCATATAACACCGGTCCTGAAAGAAGCTACATTGGCTCCCAGTACGTTTCCGAGCACAATTCAAAGTGTTGGTGCTGACCTTTAAAGCCCTAAACGGCCTCAGCCCTGTATACCTGAAGGAGCATCTCCACCCCCTATTGTTCAGCCCGGACACTGAGGTCCAGCTCTGAGGACCTTTTGGCGGTTCCCTCCCTGCGAGAAGTGAGGTTACAGGGAACCAGGCAGAGGGCCTTCACAGTAGTGGCACCCGCCCTGTGGAACGCCCTCCCTTCAGATGTGAAGGAAATAAACAACTATCTGACTTTTAGAAGACGTCTGAAGGCAGCCCTGTTTAGGGAAGTTTTTAATGTTTGATGTTTTATCACTTTTTCACTATTATTATTATTATTATTATTATTAATAATAATAAGGTAACACTGTTCCCAGAGGCATGAGGGAGAGATGGAAGCCCTCTGTTTTTAATTGCAAAAGTGAAGCACCCATGCATACCACAGCCGGTGTTATTTTTCTAGAAAAAGGAAGTTTCGGAACTCACCACAAGCATTTCTCATTGCCTGAACTCTGGCAGTGTGAATGACCTCACTTGGGTGAAATGCCCCTTGCCAGAAGGGGATAAATGGATAAATGTGTGCCAGCGCCTCATTTTGTGTTAAAGACTGGGAGACACACGCGCAGAGAGCCTCTTTCTGTAGGATTGGGCAGGTCTGTGTTTAAACAGAAGGAATGTCTCTCCCATCCTTAATTTGGTCCTTCAATAGCTTTGCTTTTCATTCTGAAGGGCAGGAGGACACAGTGACTTCTCCTGGACAATTAATGGGGCCTGTTTTGTTTAATGTAATCTGAGTCACACAGGTACAGTCTCTCCTTGATTTGTCTCCCCTCTCTCAGTCTGCGAATCCCCCTTGCACATAAATAACGGTGAGATAATCACAAAGGGGCTGAAAGAATTCAACAAGTTGCTATTTGAATGACTGGCTCCAGCATTGTTTTTACAGCTACATGGAAAATCTGTGTGGTGTGTTTGATTAGCCATTCCTTCCAAGTTCAGAGATACACTCTGAAGGATAAAATCAGCCCCAAAGATAGAAATTGCTCCCCCCCCCAAAAAAAAATCAATAATTAGGGCTTGAAAGCTTTGCCAATGCTGGGCAAATGTGAATCTATTGAATCTGAAATTTTAAATTCGTTTCAAAGGCTTTGTTGTTGTTGTTTAATTTGTTTAATTTTCTTAGTTTACAAAATACTGCATTATCTCTTTTCTCGGGTTGTAAAGTCTTTTCTATGTTGTTGAAACTACTGTATTTTGTTCTAAAATACTTCTGAAAGAAAACATTTTTCCCCTTAAAAGGTCGAGCTAGGCTTACCAAAAACAAATTTTAGTAACAATTCTCAGTTACATATGGATGTCGAAAGTCTACCGGTAGTTGAAAATGTTGACTTGTTCTACCATCAAAATGCAACTTTTTTTGTTTGTTTTATTTTTACTGTTTAAGTATTTTGTCGCAGAAGCTCCAAATCCAGCAAAACAGCAACAAAATATTACCAAATGGTAGGGTTTTATTTCAGAAATCTAAACGGCTTCCACTGTGTGTGTGTGTGTGTGTGTATGTGTGTGTGAATGCAAGTTTCATGGTTGAAAATGTTCAACAACATCTACAGTGTCCAAGTGGTTTGCTGAGAATGCCATGAAACTGAAAGATTACTTCCAAATCACGAGCTCTTTCCCGTTCCCTTTTTTTAAAAAATTCTGTTTGTTTTTAAGCATAGTTCATGTTTTTTTCCTGCACCCAAGTGGCCTAAAAATGTGATTTCAAATCTAACATGTTTTATGGAGACAGAGATGAATTCGTCGCCTATGATGAAATGTGAAGCATTGGCCAATTTGCAAGGAGCACTTGGGTTGGATGTGATTATTAATTTGGCCTTCAGAACTTGGTTTCGGCCCTCCTTAATGGGAGCCAGAGTTATAGCCTTTCTAGCAGTGATGGCGTCTTGCAGCATCCCAAGCAACTTTAAGTTGGAAGGTTGCTATGGCTCTCCAGACGTTGCTATTTTCAGTGGAGAAATGTTGAAGAGAATGAGTGTGCTCACTTGACTTTCCTTCCAACCAGGAGTTGCAAAGCTGCAACGGCTACTTCCTGTTGGTTTGGAAGAAAATGTTGACTGAGGAAGGTCAAGATGACAAGTTGAAGGTTTGGGGAGAGGGTCAGATGAGCATGTGAGGGACATGGGGATGGGGGTAAGCAGCTGCGGAGCATCTCTCACATGCAGCAGCTTTCGGAATACACTGGTGCCTCGGAAGTCGGACGGAATCCATTCTGGAAGTCCATTTGACTTCCAAAACATTCGGGAACCAAGGTGCAGCTTCTGATTGGCTGCAGGAAGCTCCTGCAGCCAATCGGAAGCCACGGAAGCCACAACGGATGTTCGGGTTCCAAAGAATGTTTGCAAACTGGAACAGTCGCTTCCGGGTTTGCGGCCTTTGGGAGCCAAAATGTTCATCTCGCAAGACTGATCGACTTCCGAGGTATGACTGTAGTACTGAGGCTAAGCCTGACAACTTGGGCTGGGGACTCTGGTGTAAATGTGTGGACTACCACCCAGCCGAACATGCACGCCGAGTGAAAAACACACCGCTCGCTTCGAATCAAAACAATTCTGGAATCCAAAGCAAACCTCTGGCTTTTGCACAATAAATTCTGGCAACTGGTCTGGAGAGCAGGGGAAAAAATCCACTGGCTGCTTCTCTGTTATCCCCCACCCCGGGCAGGGCTTGTTGGCAGATCAGCTTGTTCATTCTGCCACTAGAAGCTACTCTTTTGCTTAGTGTGAAAATGTTGCTTGCTTGCTTGCTTTACTTTGACAAATCGTGAAGGGATTGTTTGCAGATGTTGCTCCTTTCCCCAAACCCACCCCTAATATGGTTCAGCTCAGGAACTGGGCACTGAATCCTCCTCCTCTTGCTATGTGTTTGGTGCAACAGCCTCTAGTGCAGTGGTAGCCAACAAGGTGCACGCCAGATGTTGGAGCCATCCCTGACTGCTGGACATGCAACAACATCTGGGGGGCACCATGTTGGCTGTTCCTGCTCTACTCGCTCCATAAGCTGTGGCTGTTGCAGACCAGAGCTAGCCGGGCAATGCTCGTCTTTAGATCGAATGCTGGTTTTAATGTTTCCTTGGAGATGTGCAGTATAATTTTTAAGATGATGAGCCTGATTGAGTTTTTAAAGAACAAATCTGAGACAAGGCTCTATTCATAAAAGATAGTATGTTCTTCCAGAGGATAAATACCATAACTAACTGATTTTGGAATGCCTGCTTCACCACTGCGTCTCAGAATAGATGCAAGAACTCTGAGCAGAAACCTGCACAAATTCTTTCTTTACGTGTGTGCATGCATGTGCACAACCACACTGTTTTGATTATACAGTGTTACCTTGGTTCTCAAAGTTAATCCGTTCCGGGAGTCTGTTTGACTCCCAAAACTATTCAAAAACCAAGGTATTGTTTCTGATTGACTTCAAGCGGAAGTTGTGTCGGATGTTCGGCTTCCGAAAAATGTTCACAAACTTACTTCCGGGTTTTCGGCATTCAGGAGCCGATTTGTTCGACAACTAAGCCGTTCAAGAACTAAGGCACCACTGTATTCTGGCTTACTAGGGTTGCCATATTTCCAGAGGCAAATATCCGGACAAAAAGAGTTGTCGATCTTTTCTGGGACGATCGCAAGAAAATATGCTGAGCTTCTTTGAGGCCATCGCCCCTCCCCCAAACTGGGCATTTGCTTAAAATTGTAAATATCCCTCCAGAGGGGCGGATAGACCCCTCAAAAGAGGACATGTCCAGGATTTCCCGGAAGTATGGCAACCCTTGTCTTCTAGTCAGGTAACTCTCACTTATTCTGTAGTTCCTCCTCCTGTGTATTTTGTAGAGAACAACCTGCATATAGGTTCTGTGCCAAAGTGTAAAAAACCAAGCGAGACGCAGCCCTCCAATACACCGCCTGGGATTGCTCTTATTTCTGGAGACCTTGCTGGAGTCAATTACAAAGTCTCAAAAGAAGTCAGTGTGAATGAGCAGAGCTGCGATTGGGTCAGAGAGGCCTGGCCTCAGCTAGATGGCCTAGGGCATGGGTAGGCAAACTAAGGCCCGGGGCCCGGATCTGGCCCAATCACCTTCTAAATCTGGCGCAGAGATGGCCCAGGAATCAGCGTGTTTTTACATGAGTAGAATGTGCCCTTTTATTTAAACTGCATCTCTGGGTTATTTGTGGGGCCTGCCTGGTGTTTTTACACGAGTAGAATGTGTCCTTTTATTTAAAATGCATCTCTGGGTTATTTGTGGGGCATAGGAATTGGTTTATTTTTTTCCTTCAAAATATAGTCCGGCCCCCCACAAGGTGTGAGGGACTGCTGAAAAATCATTGACACCCCATCATTAAAATAGTCTCCCAAGGCACTGTGCCATTATCAATGAGCCGGACTGCCTTCCCTATAGGAAAAGGCAAAAGAGCTTGGGACTCTTTAGTCTACAAATAGACATGGGATATAATCAGAATGTGCAATTTTCATTTTCCAAATGTTAGGAATCAGACAGGAGAAGAAATCTTGCCTCCAGCTGCAGTGAACCTCGCTGCTAATGGCCAATCCCAGATTTTTTTATGGCTGTTGGGTGGCTGGGTTTTACATCCTCAGCTGTAATAGAAATGCGTATTATTATGAAAGATGTGCATAGACTAAAGGTAAAGGTAAAGGGACCCCGGACCATTAGGTCCAGTCGCGGACGACTCTGCGGTTGCAGCGCTCATCTCGCTTTATTGGCCAAGGAAGCCGGCGTACAGCTTCCGGGTCATGTGGCCAGCATTACTAAGCCACTTCTGGCGAACCAGAGCAGCGCACAGAAACGCCGTTTACCTTCCCGCCGGAGCGGTACCTATTTATCTACTTGCACTTTGACGTGCTTTCAAACTGCTAGGTTGGCAGGAGCAGGGACTGAGCAACTGGAGCTCACCCCGTCACGGGGATTCGAACTGCCGACCTTCTGATCGGCAAGTCCTAGGCTCTGTGGTTTAACCCACAGGGCCACCCGCATCCGTGCATAGACTAGATGGAGACGAATATCCTTTTGCTATAGCACCAGTTTACTTGCATGAGAGAATTAGGTTAATGAACAATAGGTTCAGATCAGACAAAAGGAAGCCTTTTTGCATACTGTATACAATGGGATGGGAGGAACTTTGGCCTTCTAGATGTTGCTACAACTCCCATCCATCCTAACTGTGAGTCATGCTGTTTGGGGGTTGACCAGAGTTGGGGTTCAACATTATCTGGTTTCCCATCCCTGGAAACAACAGAGAGACCAGGTCCAGGACCCAAAGAACCTCATACCTTGGTGGCAGCTTCTTATGGGTGGAAGGATTCCCAATTTTACATTCCAAGTACATGCCACTTTGAATCCTGCTCTAAAGGACTTCTCAACCCTCAGCAGCTACATTTTGGTTGTTGCGAGGAGCTTCAGTGGGGAGGGAAGGCAAGAACGCCCCATCATGTGCCTAGAATTCTTTGGATCCGAGCCATAATGGATCTTTGTTTTGAAAATGTGGTAAAGCTGCAGATTGGGTTGGCTTTTCAAAAAGGGATTGGATACATCTACAGAGGGTAGGTCTAACAGTGGCTTGGTAGTGAAATAGGACCTCTGTGTTCAGAAGAAGTGGAACAGTGGCTGAAAATCACATGATTTTCTGCTTCTAAGCTTCCCAGAAACATCTGGCAAGGGACGGTTGGAAACAATGTGGATTGGATGGTTTCAGACTGATCCAGGAAGCAGTTATGGCCTAATACTCTTTCTGCATTCAGAATGCTACAAAATTGTTTGATAGCAGCTCTTTCTGCAGTTACTGTTTTTGCAAGCTAGGGGGATTTGCTTGCCCTCAGTTTTGGGGTCACCACCTATTTTAGGGAATTCCTCATGTGTTCAGAACATCCTACTTGCTCCCGTAAATCTGAACCAGGAAACGGTGTTAAGTTTAACCAGGCACAGGCAAACTCGGCCCTCCAGATGTTTTGGGACTACAACTCCCATCATCCCTAGCTAACAGGACCAGTGGTCCCAAAACATCTGGAGGGCCGAGTTTGCCTAGGCCTGAGTTTAACCAATCCCTAATCCAGGATAGCAAACAATAATTTGATTGCTGGGTTTGTAAATATTAGTCAAATCTAACAGTCACAGGAGAAAGGGGTTTAACAAACCTTAGAAGTACAGTGGAACCTCGTGTTACGTACCGTCCTCCTTGCGAACGCTGCGGGTTATGAGCTCCACTAACCCGGAAGTAGATGCCCCTTGTTGCGAACTTTGCCCCAGGATGCAAGCGGACATCGCACACTGGCAGCGTGACAGCAGCGGGAGGCGCCATTAGCGAAAGTGCGCCTCATGTTACGAGCGGTTTCGGGTTACAAACAGACCTCCAGAATGGATTAAGTAACCAGAGATACCACTGTACAGTGGTACCTCGGGTTAAATATGCTTCAGGTTACATACGCTTCTGGTTACAGACTCTACTAACCCTGAAATATTACCTCGGGTTAAGAACTTTGCTTCAGGATGAGAACAGAAATCATGCAGCGCAGCGGCAGCAGGAGGCCCCATTAGCTAAAGTGGTGCTTCAGGTTAAGAACAGTTTCAGATTAAGAACAGACCTCCAGAACAAATTAAGTACTTAACCTGAGGTACCACTGTACAAAAAAGATATAATTCCAATTATCCAAATGTATAATAAGGCACATTATGAAATCATATATCATGTATTCAAATTAGGATTCTTAACCCGAGGTACCACTGTACTGTGTTAGGGTGCAGAAGAGAAATTAGGCAGGGAAGGGAGGGAAGAGTAGGAAGCCTACACATATCACATTGTTCATTCCTGGTCCACTAAACCGTAGTTTGTTGGACTGGGATTCATAGAATCATAGAATTGGAAGGGACCCTGAGGATCATCTAGTCCAACCCCCCAAAATGCAGGAATATGCAGCTGCCCCAAACGGGGATCTAACCTGCAAACTTGGCATTATCAGCATCACGGTCTAACCAACTGAGCTACCCAGGCTGACAATTTGTTACAGTATATCTGATCTGAACCAAAGTTTCATTCTTTATGAATCCGGTTATTCTGGTAGATGACAGCATATTGTATTGCTTCTCTTCATATGGCCTTAAAAAAAAAAAGAAGATAATTTTCCACAGTGCATGGCTCAGATTGAAGTTCATCAAAATAACTTTGTAGAAAATTTACACCATCACAAATTAATACTGATTTATACAACTATATAACTCTTATTTGCATCTTTCTAGTGGGTCTGCAGGGACGCGGGTGGCGCTGTGGGTTAAACCACAGAGACTAGGACTTGCCGATCAGAAGGTCGGCGGTTCGAATCCCTGCAACGGGGTGAGCTCCCGTTGCTTGGTCCCTGCTCCTGCCAACATAGCAGTTGGAAAGCACGTCAAAGTGCAAGTAGATAAATAGGTACCGCTCCAGCGGGAAGGTAAACTGCGTTTCCGTGCGCTGCTCTGGTTCACCAGAAGCAGCTTAGTCATGCTGGCCACATGAGGCAGAAGCTGTACGCCGGCTCCCTCGGCCAATAAAGCGAGATGAGCGCCCCAACGCCAGAGTTGGTCACGACTGGAGCTAATGGTCAGGGGTCCCTTTACCTTTACCTAGTGGGTCTGCACGGCAGTAAAGTATATCTAAACAATTCCATGATTCCTTTGATTATTAAATACTGCTACTACAATCATTTATTTTTTTACAGGCATTATACTGCCCTGTCGTGGCACTTTTAAGGACTGTTTTCTCTCTTACCAGAAGCAATATAAGTGAGGAATAGTGGTGATAATCAGTGGTGATAAAAGAACAATGGAACCCAAAAGATGCAATTGCAGCTGTGGCATCCCATTTACTTCAGTATTTGAGTCTAGCCACGTCCTGCCGCTACGCATGCTGTTAAAAGTGTGTGGTGTTTAATGAAGCAAATTAAACTTGATAAAAGCACAGGTGAGCTTGATTAATTTATTCAGATGGTTGTATTGCAGCGATGGGCAAGGCAGGCTTTCCCCATGCCTCTGACACTAGCTTATATAGTACATAGGTAATTGCAATATGGGTGCTTGCAGGAAGGGGGAGGAAAAAAATCAATCTGCTCAGAGAACAGTAATTAGCAAATACCCTTGGCTGATTAGTATGCTCTTGAGCAAGAAACAAACAAACAAACAAAAATCTTTAAATTTAACTACAGTTTCACAGCTGATCAGCTGAGTCTTTCAGAACTCGCAACTTGGCAAGCTGAGTGCTCCTTTCACCAGGAAAGAGATCCACGTCTCCACTAAAAGGTCCATGATGTTATAGCTAGGGCAACAGTATTCCTGGAAGCTGCAGTTTAAAGCAATTTTTGCTTATAGAAGACAATAGACAGTGGTGGGTGCTTTGACATCATCACCATCATCATCAAAATTTGTATACCACCCTATACCTGCAGGTCTCAGGGAGGTTTGCAAGATAAAATCACAATATAAAACACAAATAATCAACGTAACAATAAAAACAACAAAATAACACCCCACCCCTTCTTCAAGCCGTTGGGCAAGCCGTGCTTAAAAACGTCTAGTTTTAGGGCAGACTGGGGTCAGGAAATCATATATCAAATATGAGATAAACATATGACAAAGAACCCAGATTTGAGGGCTGAGCCAAAATTGCTGCAAACACCCCCCCCCCAAATGCCGCTGCAGGTATTTGCAGGTAGCAAAATTGAGGGGATGTCAGAGAATTCCAGTGGAAGCAGGGAAAGAAATTGCCAATGCTTGCTTATTCATTCCATGTCCAGAAGAGAAATCAATCCACCAATTATTATTGATATTCACTTGTCAGGGACAGGCAGGGCTCTGGGGAGTGGGTGGATGAGGTCGCAGGGCCAGGGTCTAATCCCGGGGTAGTGATTTGTGGGATTTCGTGTCTCCTGCAAGGCAGAGCTGAAGGTTTTGGGGTGGGGTGTGAGCAGTCAGAGATGGGATAGAGATGCAGGACAGTGGAAAGGAGCAGGAGTTGGAAGAAGGACGATGGTGGTGTGCGGTCAGTGGACTAGAGGGACTAGGGTAGTACTCTAGATGTTCCCCTGTGCCAGGCATGGAGAGTCCTTGTCTCCCTTCGGTAACTTCACAGATACGAATTAACGAGCATTTGATATATTTATAGTTCTTTTATTACAGTGTCAGGTTGCAAGCACAAATACAGTGGTACCTCGGTTTCCGTTCTGGAAGTCCATTCTTAAACCAAAGCCATTCTTAAACTGAGGCACGCTTTCCCTAATGAGGCCTCCTGCCGCCAGTGCCCTTCCACCGTTCGGCTTCTGTTCGTAGACCAAGGTAAAGTTCGCTAACCGGGACACTACTTCCGGTTTTGCGGAGTTCGTATACCAAATAGTTCATAAACAGGGCTGTTCTTAAACCGAGGTACCACTGTACACAGCTCTCCGCAAGGAGGCCAGTTGGCTACTCAAAATTCTCCTTCTGGCTTCCGTCGCAGTTAAGGCACCAACAGGAAGTCCCTCCCTCCACCTCCTTTGCTCTCTGATACGTTCGGACCTCCGAGTCTTTGTGGGGGGAGTCATCCACACTCTCAAGTGACGTCTCTGCTAGCTGCTTCCTCCCTTCTGGCTCCCTTGTCATGATCTTGTAATTGGGTAACTCCTCCCTAAGCTGTTCAGGTTCTGTCTCTGGCTCTCTGCTTCTGGACACACTGTGGACAAGGTGGGAGACTCTTCCTCCTCCAGCTTTCCATCGGAGAGAAGCTAGTCTGCCATACAATGCATTCCCCAGTCCTTGTCTTCAGAGAGCCAGTGTGGTGTGGTGGTTAAGAGTGATAGACTCGCAATCTGGGGAACCGGGTTCGCGTCTCCGCTCCTCCACATGCAGCTGCTGGGTGACCTTGGGCCAGTCACACTTCTCTGAAGTCTCAGCCCCACTCACCTCACAGAGTGTTTGTTGTGGGGGAGGAAGGGAAAGGAGATTGTTAGCCACTTTGAGACTCCTGAAGGGGAGTGATAAAGCGGGATATCAAATCCAAATTCTTCTTCTTCTTCTTCTTCTTCTTCTTCTTCTTCAGACTATTCCCTGACACCCAGGTGCCTCCTTCCCAAAGCCCTGGAAGCTTCTGCCCAGCTTAAGGAGAGAGCCCTCCCACCACCTTCCCAAAGCCTGCCCAGTTTTGAGAAGGAGGCAGGAGGGCTCAAGCATCCTCTCAGAGGCCTGGCATATCCGGAGCTGTGGTGCAAAGATCCCTCCAGCACCGCCGCCCCCTTTCCCAGAGTTTTTTTAAGGGCTGGAAGGCAGCTCCTCTGGTGGGGAAGAGGTGGAGGCTGGACGTGGCGCCTCCTGGCTCAGCTGGCCGCTTTGTGCCGCAGTGGCCACGGCAGGCAACACACCGAGTAAGCGGGCCTACGCTGAGCAAGCAAGGATGCGTGCACAGCTCCCTCCAAGCATTGGCTCAGTTTTTTCCTTTTTAGCCTTCTGGCGCCCCGCAGAATTCGGCGCCTGGAGGCTAAAAGGGAAAAAACTGAGCCGACAGTGGGAGCAGCACACATACCGTCTCCAGCTGTTTTTGGAGTGGATGTGTCAGGAGCAAAGTGGGGGGGGGGGGAGAGACAGTGACTAAAGCAGTGTTTCCCAGCCTTGGGTCTCCTGCTGTTTTTGGACTACAACTCCCATCATCCCTGACCTGGCCTGCTAGCTAGGGATGATGGGAGTTGTAGTCCAAAAACAGCTGGAGACCCAGGGTTGGGAAACCCTGGTCTCAAGGGAGGAGGCAGCAGCAGCATCCCACCCATCCCTGCCCCCATCATCAGGAGGGGCTCAAAGAGACAAGCACAGCGACTACTTACCTGTAGGAGAAGTCACAGGTTGCTTGCCATCAGACGAGGTTTGCGTGTGGCTCCAATGGTCCAGCTCAGGGCTCAAGTCTGGGGAAGAGTTCCAGCCACCTGGTCACCAGAAACATGTGTGTGCATATTTACATTCAGGGGCTCCTGTAAGTTCAGGCTTTGTCAATAAAGAATTAAACTATCGGCCGTTTCTCCTCCTTGGGCTGGGTGTGCTCAGGACACTGCTGTTCCTTTGTTTTCCTGTCTGCAAACAACACCGTGCATTTTCTCTGTTTGCATTTGCTTTTCCTTTGCCGAAACAAATGGCGCAGAACAATATAACAGCAGTGTAACCAATTCAGTAAATAATTATATAAAATGATGCCACAGTGAGACAAATAGTATACCGTATTTTTTGCTCCATAAGACGCACTTTTCCCCTCCTAAAAAGTAAGGGGAAATGTGTGTGCGTCTTATGGAGCGAAAGCAGGTGGGAGGCTCTGCTCAGCACTCCCTTTAAAGAGCTGCGCCTAGCGTGTGTGCGGCTCTTGGGGGCTTTTCCGCGAAGTGGGAGAAGGGACTGACAGGCTGCCCTTTGTCCCTTCCCACACCTCCCAGAAAAGCCAGCAAGAGCTGCTGCCAGGCTCTGCTCAGCGCTCCCTTGTAAGGGCTCCCTTTCGTTGCTCCTCCCACTTTGCTGGGAAGCCAACAGAACAAGAGGCACTCTGCAGCTATCACTCTTGCTCTGCTGGCTTCAGCAAGAGCTGCACAGTTTGCTCTGCTGGCTTCTCAGTGAAGCGGGAGGAGCGACGGAAGGTTTTAAAGCAAGAAAAGCGATAGCCGCTTACATGCTTTGCGCAGAATATATTTTTTCTTGCTTTCCCCCTCTAAAAACTAGGTGTGACTTATGGTCAGGTGCGTCTTATGGAGCAAAAATACGGTAGCTCTTCTCAGAAGTGAAACTGCAGCGGAAAGGAAACAGCGCTGCGTGCGATGAGCAAAGGCTGGAACACAAACCAATGCCTTCTTACATCCCCAGGACTGCTGGAAGTTACATGCAATGTGGACACTTTCAGCAATGTTTCGAATGTAGAGACTCACATATAGTTTGGGCCTCTGGGAGGCTCACAGTAACAGCAACCAAGAGATTCATGTGCAGGAAAAAAGAGTAGTGTTTCCTAGGATAGTTCAGTCAGGAGAGCATGTGACTCTTAATCTCAGGGTCTGGGGATCGAGTTCCACCATGGGCAAAAGATTCCTTCATTACTGGGGGTTGGACTAGATAACTTGTGTGGCCCTTTCCAACTCTATAATTCTATGATTTTATGATTCTAGTAGTCTACCTGTTTGTTTGCTTACTCCAAGGGACACACACATATCTGCCAATAGCCCTTGAAATGAACTGGGTCAGGTGGGAATGTGCAATAATTCTTAAAATAAAATAAATAAAGATCTTGAACTTTGCCAAGTTTCCCATGTTGCAGCTCATTGCTAAATTCTGATTCAGGCTGGCAGTTTGCAAAATGGCTGGGTAAATACCAAGCTCGCGGTCTTCGTCATTGCCGTGCCAAAAGAAAGCAAAATCTTTCAACTCTCCTAGCTCCTAGGGACAGGACGGATGGATGAGAGGCAGCAAGAAAAATGAGGGACTTTCAGGGGCAGCTGTGTTTTACTAACCCAGTCATAATGCCCCTAAAAATCCTTATTGTTCTTGCAATGTTCAGCTGTGATCGTCAGCAGAAAGAGGCTTTCAAAGGTGAGTATCCAATTTTGGTAAAAAAATCAAAGCCCAGCACTGGGTGGCCCCAGGACGTCAAAGAAGAGCAGCAACCCTACCTTTAACAGCAAATAAACGGCAAAAATGTTTCCCTTTAACCATGCCTTTGGCTGATTGAGATCCAATGTGGGGGGTTTTTTGGGGGGGGGGGTTATTGAGTTGTTTCCATTTTTATTTTGAATATGCATATTGTGTTTTTATATTGCGATTTCATTTTGTGAACCACCCTGAGACCTGTGGGTATAGGGCGGTATAGAAATTTAATAAAGAA